TTGGTGGGGATATTTTCTAATGCGCTACCGAAAGGTGGGTGTTACCGAAAGGGGGGTGGGGCATGGTAAGCCATGTCGTTGGAGCTTTCGCCCACCTGAATTAGCTAGCACACGAGAAGGCCGATCTGCATAGAAATCGAATGAGCTTTAGTCTGAACATTGGGATGGTCGTACGATGAAGCAAGTCTATTATTCGTCCGATACGCGCCTCATGCATTACTGTCACAAGGATGCCGCCTACCGGCTCGGGCGCGGGAATCAGGTTAAGCCCGTGCCCCGATCGCCCATGGCGAAAGAACTCCCGAGTTTGTGGATCTATATGCCCCACTATGGCCGGAGGGTGTGGAGATCGCCGTGCCGCCCGGGCTACAGGACCGATATTTGCCAATCAACCGGCACGGGCACCCCCCGATAATGAGAGGGATCCAGCCATGAGGCAAGTATACGCGCTTATTACTTCTGCATGAATGGTCCTACCTCGGCCTGTTATAGCATTGCGTCCTACGACAGTGTAAATTTAGAGTCCGTAAATAAGTGTAGGATGGAAGAGGCTCTGTTGGGCTCGCGGGCCCACATCGATCGGCCCAAGCATTGGGACCCCCCTGTGTCGCGAGGAGTAACGACAACGATGATTCACGCCGTCGGCGCGTCTAGACCACGGCGACGATGGAGCGACAAGGCATTTTTCATTGAACTGTCATATATGATATTGTGCAGGCATCGTGCATAAGACTTTTGACCCCTTCTAGTACCAAAAGTAGAGTATTGACGTCACGTCTCTTTTCAATTTCGCAATCCACCCCATAGGAGCCAACACTTATCTGTCTGCATGAACTCGCAGGCATCGCGAGGTCCGTTGAAGTCTCCAAGGGATGGCCGTCGATACAGGCACTCGAATGCGTGTTGGCGCCACCAGAAACTGAGCAAGCCAATCGGACAACTGCCGCGCCTCTACTCCGCATTCAAGCTAGCACATAGGAACGGTGACAACTGCCAGATTCGGCCTTAGCTGGTCCCGACAAGCCGGAACGCACTAAGCATCAGCGTGCCGGTCTTGCTCTGAAATTGCCCCGCTAGCCACCTTGAGCCAGTAGCATGATGTCAGCGATAACTCGGCCACCAACGTAGACCTTTTGTCGTAGCAACACACCTAAACCCGAGAATATGGAACCGCCACAATATTGCCTATGGCCTGGGGAAGCCCTGCCTGAGAACACTGATCAAAGCTGGCCGGGCATGGCCGGAGAGCCCGCGATAACCCAGGGGCCGTAGAAAACACTTTTTTGGTATATCAGCTAGGTTACGACCCCAAGTGGCGCATTGCAGCTCAGGCTTTCCCAAGACCTGTGGCTCCTCCGGTATGCAGCTTGATGTCAAGCTGATGAGAATACGAGAACGGTCTACCCCCTTGCTGCCGAGGTGTTTAACAGATCACCCAAGGATTGCGATATCATGCCACATATTTGGTCCCAGCATTTTAAACATATGGACAGTGGCGAACGCGAAGATGAGAAAATCAGGAAATTACTCCGCCTGATGAGCAAATCTACTGTCAACATGTAGAAAACGATATTTGGTTAGCCAAAGAGCCCAAATGATGTTACATTGCGAACCGCACCGAAAAACATCACTCTTAATGGCATTGATGGTCCACGTTCTGTAACGTGAATCCGCCTAGCCTCTGGGGACTTATAACTCCGCGAATTCTGCTTGTAAATCCATTCTCACTCCTCCGGCCTACTCAGTAGTGGCAGTCAACTGAACTTCAGCCACGGACACTCCGATTTTCCGTACTTGCCAAATTCGGTTCAGTCCCAATATCGTTGACGTAAGATTTGACCATGTTTCCTATCCTCTCCACCTCAGAGACGTCAAGAGATCCTCCCGCTGCAATTGCTCTTCTGACTAAACTTGTGAATGCCTCGCACAGGCAGATGACCCTGCTGGGAATTTCGTTGAGTGCTCCAACAACGAGTTGCTGAAGGGCCTTATCGTCGATACGTGATGTGTTCTTGCTGCTTCGTAGTTAGCATCTGCGTGACAACATTGATGAGGGGGCCGACCTACACGACCGCCTCGGCGGCATCAGAGTATAAAATATGCTGACACCCTCACCGGAGGTGGGGAGGGTGTAATACAGTCCGAAGGATGTATCTCTATGACATGATGCTCGTACCTCTGGGTCTGGCTATGCGCTGGCGCACCATGAAGCGGTTTGTGCATGACAATGACGAGCTTTGGCCCTCCGTGCACTATAGCGACGTCATCAAGAAAAGCGAGGTTGGAACAGTGGTTGGCGAAGTTGTTGTTGTTTGCGCCGATGCTCGTCGCGAACTTTCATCAGAACACCTGCTAATCTGTTAGGGCTTATAGAGCCTCAAGCAAGAATAACATGATGGAGCTCTACTTGCCATCAGGTAGCTTCTCATAGTGGAGAGATGCCCGTTCAAAAGGCGTATCGATCATTAGGCCCTCCAATGTCTTGACCCTGGAGACTGCAACGTAGCTAAGCCCAGTCTGGAAGTCACGTTCAGACAGATCGGTCACCATTTTGTCAACTGTGATGCTCTGTGACTTATGAACCGTGATGGCATATGATGCCATGAGTGGGAACTGCGTTCGGGTACTGGCGGACGCCCCAAGAAAGAAGTCTCGCTTCACTGGGAGTATGGGCACCACCTCGCGCCCATCATCCGTGGTTAGATACGATGGCCCGGTATACTTATCCATCACCATCATAATGACACATGGCGGGTCACGGTGCGTATCAGCGCCAGGCGCCCAACCGATGTCATATACTGTCCCTTGGGCCCCATTGACTAGGCCTGTTGGATGCCAGATGTTCTGGGTTAGCATGAGACGAGCACCAATACATACCGGAAACTGGCCAGCCAGGTTGCCAGCTTGTTCCGACGTTGCCTTGTCAGCACCGTTACCAATGTTCTTCGCCATGACTTGGATTGCTGGACGCTTGAGACGGACGAGATGCTCGTAGTTGTACTCGCTAACACGAGCTTTCTTGCTATAGATACGAAGAGCAGCATCAAACGAATCTACGTCTCGCTGGCCTAGCTTGGCCTGCACACGCTGGCTCAGAAGTTTCCATGACTCTATGGATAGCTCTAGGCCACGTAATTCGTCAAGTGCAAGACGAAAGCTAGCCTGGTCGTCGCCCTGTTGCCGCTGGACCTTTGCAAGAAGACAGTGTGGTTAAACGCCCTATATGCGATCTGGCCAGAGACCTCGTGCAGGTCTTTGAGTGGTCCATCAAAGTAGAGGGTTTGTTCGCAATCGGCGGGAGCTGGAAGAAGTCACCAACGAGGATGATGCTTATGCCGCCAAAGAATTCGGCTGCTCTAGCAGGAAAGACTTGGCGGAGGCGTTTGTCGATCCACGAAAGTTGACGCAGACCTAGCATGCTTTTCTCATCAATCACGAGATACCTAACGTCCCGTAGCTTCTTCTGAAGAGCATTAGCATCTGCTGGGGAGAGCTCTGTAAACGCCCTATCAACAGGTAGCCGGAGCAGAGAGTGTAGTGTTGTCCCCATTATCTGGTTGCTTGCAACCCCAGTGGGCGCAGCTCTCCAGATTGGACTGGGCCGGTTCCTGGCAAGCTTCTGAAGATGTGAAGATAGGACTTTGATCAGATAGGACTTGCCCGTCCCGCCACCACCGTCAACATGGAGTAGAATCTGCTCCTCGCTCGCATTGGAAGTGTCCGACTATTGTATCGTAAACTATCCGCTGCTCTGCGTTGAGCGTATCGCGGGCCTCTGAAGGCAGGTCTTCAACATCCATATAGAGAGGATTCTGCGCAATGCGCTGGCGCCAATAATCGCCCTGAACGATCCCTGGATCAGCGTAGAGACCGACGTGGGTGTCCAATCGTATTGATATCGATATCCCGTCTACCCAGGAGATCTACCATCTCTTGGCTTGGTGGGCAGTCGGGAAGCTGGCGGGCAAGCTCAAGCCAGTCCTCCTCCAGAAGGTCAGGCTCGTGAAATTCTTCCTCGAACTCATCCGGATCCGGTCGACGGTCTTCGGCATTAGGTGTGCCATAGTAATCATCAGGGTGCTGGTGGTTCGCAAAACAGAATTCGGCGGCAGATGCATACGAGTCATACTCTACACCGTTGATCTTGCGTAGTTCGACGGGATCGCAATGAGGGTGAGCAAGCATTAGCTTTACCCGACAAAAATCATCGTATTGGTGATGCTGCGGATTCGACTTGTACCGCGGAAAGTAGTATAGCACTCGAGGCTTAGCTTGACGACTCCAACGTGTCCACTTTCTCCCATCCCTCTTGCTTGTATTCCAGTTGGCTAGGAAGTCAAGGTAAGTGAGTTCTTCGTGAAGGGCAGGGCGAGAAAGATACTTCTCATATATCCCAACGACCTCAGCGTCGTCATCATGATCACCCTGGAGGCGAAGCGACCGGCCCTGTTGCTCGTAGGGACGGCAATCGACGGCTCTTACAACACGAGTACCTTCCTGGAGCTCGCAGTTGAGTAACACATGGCAGATCTCTTGGCCCGAGAAGTCCCTCTCAGCAAGCAGCTTGTTCATTAGACGCGAGGCAAAAGAAAGAAGTGGATTCTGGTGGGAGACATAGGGCAAGATTTGCTGCCCCAGGCTTGCATAACTGTCGGTCCGCTTCTCCATCTTACTGCAATACTTGGCTGCGTAATTAATGACGGCTTGAAGGCTGGTGCAGGGGGAGATATCAATGTTGGCTAACCAGCCAAGACTGAGACACCGGTTGTAGTGGTTCATAAGGCTATCATTCCTGGCCGCCTCGAAGGAGAAATAGGAGTGTCCTTGGCGTCGAACAACGTCAGCCGTATCTCTCGCATCCCGGGGGAAGAAAAAGCGGCAAGAAATCTCGTCTGAACCCTTCTTCTTTCGTAGGCAGTATGTCTCACTGCAATGGTGGCGTTGGCAGCGATTCAGAATTTGTGAGAGCCATTGGAACGTCAAGGGATGCTGCACCGGATTCACAGCCAAGGGTTACCCTCTCCTTGCTGTTGGACTCGGGCTGGCTCAGGATTGAATGCTGTGACGTGGAAACTCCAGACGCGGGCGAACTCTTTGCGCACATGCTCCCTTTCCAAGTCAACACTGGGGGCACCATCCATCCAGTATAGGCCGTGGCAATGGCTACTTCCACGACCCTGCCACTCATACCTGTTCCAAAAATCAGTGACATTGAATTTCTGCTTGAGAACGATATCTCTGAATAAACCAAACCGCCTGTGGAAGTGCCAGGCTGCAATATGTGGGTTGTCACGGAGAAGTTTGCTAGACATCCCCATTCGTTGTTGCTCGGGCAACTCCTGCCAGTCTTGAAACTGGGGCAAATGCTGATAGAGGCTCCTCCAGTGTAAGTCTGCCGGGCTGAATGTAATAAAAGCACCTGGACAGCGAAGGTTGTAGGCGTAAGACTCGAGCTCTCGGCGCTTTCGGTACCAATACGGGCGCGTCCCGCGAAGCTGTGCTGTCTGGCGGTTGATAGAGTTGAGCAACTGCTGGGCTTCTGCAGATTCAGGGTTCTGGAAAGCCTCAAGTAGATCATCTCGCGTTAGTAGGCCCTGCCGTTGTTGGTGTTGCTTGACGAAGTAGCTGCTTTTCGCTCGTGCCTGTACTCGCATCAGCGTGTTGAAAACCACAAACCGGAAAGTGGGATGGCAGGCAAATCTGCCATCATGCCATCGAAGGGCATGCTGTATGTAGTCCGCATATTTGATAGGCCGTAACCTTGGCTCGATGAAATCAGCTTGACCGCGAGGAAATAGTGTCGGAAAGGCTAGGGACAGGAGTGCCTGTGACTGGTTGAATTCGTTTATCGGTGTTCTCCGAATATCTGGCATTTCAAGCTGATGTTGTGTCGCTGGTCGTGCAGGGGGTGGTGCGTCGTGCTCGTCGCCAAGAACGTGCGAGTGCAATGCTTCCATCTCTGTATCCTCTGGTAGTAGATCTGGCACTGCAGACTGATCAACCTCATCTGCCTCAATGTCGTCATTCTCGATGTCACCCAAATTACCTGCCAGAGGATCGGAGACTTCCACAATAGCAACCTGATCAAGTACATCGCCATCTTCGGGTAGCACTGACATCCGCTTCTGGCAGACAGTAATATCCCGGTAGCCCGGGTGGTTATGAGACAGGAAGTCCAGCCACTGCTGAAGACAACGACGGCGCACGCGGAACTGGCGTCTGAATTGGCGGTTAAGGTGGGCATGTTCACCCGCATTCGGAGGACGTAGCAAGATAACATCTAATTCAGGCGGTAAAAGGGGAAGTTGTCGATACACCTTGCCAACATCGCGGAGAAAGTGCACAATATGGCCACGATATTTGTATTGCTGCCCTCGAACCTGCATGACGTTCACGAACACATGAACTGGAGCAATTAGCATCTCTTCCACTTTCGTCAATTGGGGAGGAACGCAGGATTGAGCCAAAATCCAACTGATTTTCGGCTGAAAAAACAAAGGCTCATCCTCCTTTTGTTCTTGTCCTTGGTCACGCAACGCTTGCAAATGTCATCCTTCAAGCCCATGTCAAACCATGTCTCCTGACAGCGAGCGCAGTGTTCCATTCGGTCGTTTTCCAGCTCCGTCCAGAATTTCTCCAGGAGCTCCTTATCCCTATCAGACAACGGGCAATGGGACAGATCACCCATCCAGCCAGGGTCCGGAAGCTGGAAATCTCGACGTTCGATGGCCGACTGCTGGACAGGTGGGCGGAAATATCTTCCCCGGGCATGTCTCGGCCATATAGAAGGACTCGATACTGGAGATTCGATCGGCGCTCCAAGTCGTACGCCTTCTTGAGAAGCAGTCGAGGACCTGGTCGGGAAGGAATCGGCACCTGCGCGCCCGCTCCTCCTGTTGACGCGGCAATTGGTGTTCCCAATAGAATAGGTTCTTGTGAAATAATCGGTGTGCCCAGTTGCAAGTCTAATAATGGCAATCCTTGTCGACGTATTGGGGATAACCCAGCTTGTTCTGCAGTACGCTTAGAGGTGCCTGGGGCATGTCGATTCCTACAGCCGAGACAGTTAACCGTAAGCGGTCCACATGATATGGAACGACTTTTCTTCGAAATGAATTGATCTGCCGGCTTCGCCTGCTTGCAGTTCCTGCAAACTTTTGTTGAAGGGATAGAATCAGCCATTAGCATGCCGGATTGGAGGGAAGGTTTGGTGAAGAAGGATGAGTGTCAGGAGCACGGGGCTTATTCAGCCAGAAGTGTGCTGGAAGCTCTCGAGGAGCTGGCTAGCTAGTCGATGCTCAGGGGCAGGCTGTGAGACCCTCATTTGGTGGCGTTATTGCATCGGCATCAGCCGAGCGCACCCCAACGGCTCAGCCCGGGGACAGAGTGGGGACACAGGACATATTCTGACCAGTCCCCGATGAGTGGGGACTCAAGGACGTATCTGACCAATGAGAGCGGAGCTTATGGTGTCAAGTTATCGTCGTAATAACAGTCCTTCGGACGGGAGAGGCAACCCAACAGGGTTGCGCAAAGAGCCTTGAGGAACGAAAAAAACGTCTAGACAAGGGGCAGACAGATGTACAGAGGCAGAAAGGTAACGACGACCAAGGGGCAGCCAGGCTGGACGAAAAACACTTCCCATTTAAGGAGTTATAGCAGCGTACGCTATTCCATTTCCGTAGCTTTCTTAGATAGGTGGCGGTTTCGAAGCGGACGGGCCGGCGAGCCCAAGCCATGGGCGACAATGGAATCGAGGAAGAGTCCGTAAGTCAGGACCCGGCTTAGGTTGTCCGGCTCATGAGCGGCGGAGGCAGCCGAAACAGAGAACGAGTGGGTAGCAGAGGAGGCGGGCTTAGGGAAGACGAGATCACCGGGGCCTTATGCAGCAGACACGGTCGCTTCGTCGGCGTATCGGCAGGCTCAGGGCAATATCGTTTCCCGGGCGGCGTAAGGTGGCCGGTCGAGGGCGAAGCCGAAGCCAAGGGTGGAGGACTGAGCGGGAGGGTGCCAGGGGTGATCAAAGACAAAGAGGCAGCGCGCACGTCCCGGAAGGCCGCGGAAGCGGAGGAAGCTTGTTGCCTCTGTGGCGTAGAGAGAAGCGGTGCCATCGTGGTGACGGCGGCGGCGGCCTTGTCGAGAAAGTCCAGGAATCCGGGACGACGATAAAGACGTTGTCCCGGTCCGAGCCCGGGGTAGAGCATGACATCATGACGGAGCAGGCCAGCGACCTTGCCTGTGCAGGTAAAGGGACGTTAGGCTGAAATTGAGAGTCCTGCCTCTCGGCCATCTTCCTACACAAGATGGCCCAGGGGTTAGCGCGAACAGGGAAGATAACGAAGACCTGGAACGGGTGGAAGCCCTTGAAGGGGACCTTATTAGGCATCCCAGGAGCGACATAGGTAGAAAGGCGGACAAATCCGCAACAGTTAAGTTGGGCGGCGCCTAGACCGGGCAGTAGGTCCCGCCGCAGCGAGGAGTGGCCGGTGCCGACGATAAGGCCGGTAAAGGAAACAATAGGCGGGATGCAGGGGAAGTCGCCCATGGAGGCAAAGAGCCTAGGGAGAACACTTCAAGCCCATCTTAGCCATATACCGTTTCGTCGGCACTCGCGAAGGGTCAGGGCACGGCTTACGGCTGGTAGCCCTGATCGCGGACGACAAGGGCGGGCATCGTATAGAGAAAGGTGCGGCCCGTGTCAGACTCGAGGCCGTCGCGTTGCTCAACCTCCCATGCGAGCGCGTAGGGGTGGACGCGGGCATGCATGAAAAACCACTCTTCGGTCCAGTCGGAGGGATCAATAGGCTGGCCGTAGATGGAGAGGTTGAGGCTAAAAAAGACGGATGTCGGGAATCATCGGCATCCGATCGGAGGGCGCATATTCCGTCGCGAGCAGCCAGGCGGGAGGAGGCAGGAAGACGCGGGCCATGGCCTCGGCGTTAAGACCCCTGATGCGGTGGTCGTCCTGGTGGGAAAATCTAGCAGGACAGTCCGGCTGGACAAAAGACATCATAGACATCTCACCGCCAGCGCCCCTTTGGCTATCGAGCGGCTTTCGAAGGTGCGGTGCGGGCATATCGGTACGAAGTAGAGAGGAAGACATAGTGCATCTGCGCAGGTCGATAGGCCACTTGCACGCACTAAAAGGACGGGTTCTCAGCGTCAAGAAAGGAGTAGGGAAGAAGTCGAGCGTAGACGCACTTATAGTAGATCAATAGTGGTATGGATTCGCCGGGAAGAGCGAGGAGCCTTGCCGCTGTAAGTAAGCAGACGTCAAAGAGATGCGTCGTGGTGTTGCGGAGCTGGGTACTGATCGGGCAGCAAGGGCGACGCGGATTAAAGTGTCCGGCAGGGCTACCGGCATAGGATGGCGAAAACTAGGGCTGTCGGCAGATAGGCCTGTCGATAGGTACAAAGGAAGCCCGGCAGGTCCGAGAGAGGAGAGGTCTAATGCAGAAAGGGGATATTAACAAGGAAGGATATAACCGTTAGCAAGAAGAATGCCAACGCGGCGGAACGCCATTGCCAGGAAGCGAGACAATCTCGGGTATATCCCGGTCGAAGGCTTCCTAATCTATCGTTCGTTTGCGGAGCCTTGCCGATAAGACAGCACCAGCATGGGGGAGAATCGTAGCCGCGAGGTAAGATCGGTGGCAGGAGAGTGCGAAACGGGGACAGCAGCAGCGGCCGCTGCTGCGACGAGGAGTATCGCGGCGGCGAGACCGATCGCAATGGACGAAGGGCCGAAGCGGGCGTCGGGCCACAAAGTCAAGGAAACGCGGCACCCAGGTTCCGGCCTATTGAGGCCAAGCCGGCCGCGGCGGCCGACGATGCCTCACGAAGAGAGCAGGCAGAGGCACTCAAAAGAGCGTTGCCCAAGGGAAGTCGGCGAGGCGGCTGGCCGCGGAAAAGGACGACTAACGTCGATAGTTCCTCCTCGAAGGGAGGGCTCGTGGAGGGCGTCCAGAGGGGCACGTCTGGAAGGCGAAGCCGTGGTGCGCGGACAGGGCCAATGGGCTCCGAGGGACACCCAAGCCGCCCAGGAGGACAGGATCGGCCGGCAAGCCCTGTCGGGAACTCGCCTAGAGTCGTCAGGGAGCTTCTGGTTCGGCCAATCCGACCTCAAGAGATGGATGATGGCGCAGGAGATACGCAGTCATCCGGACGGTGGCCACCGCCGCCATCACGCCAGAAAGGACAGGGTCGGCCGGCAAACAGTGTCGGGATTTCGTCTACAGCCGTCAGGGAGCGCCTCATTCGGCCAATCCAACCTAGAGCAATAGAAGATAGAGCGGGAGATATACAGTCATCCGGATGCCAGGCGGGACAGGATTGGCCGGCAACCGCTGTCACGATGTCGTCTGGAGTCGTCAGGAGCCCTCGTTCAGCCAACCCAACCCAGAGAGATGCAAGGCAGGGCAGGAGATACGCAGTCATCCGGATGGTTGCCACCACGGCCATCACGCCAGGCGGCGGCGGGAGAACAAGATCGGCCGTGGCGAGACGAGGCAGCGGAAAGATCCTCGCAGGCCGTAGAACAGAGAAAGAGGAACCGCCAGCGTGACCGAGACCAGACCCCGACGAAACGTACTCGAGGAAGCCATCCGAGGCAGAGGAGGAGTGAGCTGCAGGCAGAGGATTTGGCCAGTGTCTTGCTTTACCTCGAAGGGAATTCGTCGCGAAGGAAAGGCTGTCTAAGGAGCAAACCTGGTGCACACCAATACCGCATGAGAGGAAGGTATCGACGGTGCGAAAGTTTTATCGGGCGTTCCACGATGTGAGCACCTTGCCGATAATGACCTGCAGGCTGTGTTACCGCAAGCGTACAAGGAAGGAGTTGAGGAGATTCCGTGGGATCAGTGGCTATCAAGTCCCGTTCCTCGGGGTGAGCGCTCACCATTTGCGTGCCGAAGCTGCTTTCCCGGGGGTGAGCCCGTCTCGGTTTGTGTGGAGTGTGCCCGATGCTTGGGGCGCGGGAGCCTGTCGTCGGCGGTCCACCTTCACAGTCGCCTCGGATGCGAGCACATGTTCCCCGACGAGCTGAAGGCTGACGCCGGTCGAAGAGAAGCTCATCTCGTTGAACTCGTGTTACGGCTTTGTGACGAGGTATAACATTCCGGGCGGGCAGACGCAGGCAGTGAGGTATCCGAGACATGTCAAGGGCCACATCACGGTGTTTCCAAACAACGTGCAGGAGCTGGCGAGAAAGTGCTCCCGCACCCGCTCTGGCAAACAATGGACGAGATCCACGTCTCGTGGCAGGGCGCGGAGAAGCCAGCACCGTGCGACTTATCGGGTCTCTTGTCGGTGAGGCGTCAAGTCGTCGAGAGCGCTTATCTGGTTGAAGAAGAATAACCCCATTACGCCGATATTGAGATTGATAGGGCGGAAATGGATAGCTGGGGAACACCATCACACGGTGTGCCGCGGGTGGTCTACGACCGCATGGAGCGGAACGAGCCGTCTGCGTGGGAGAAGACGCGAACGGCGCAGGTCGTGCCGCCCGCAGAGCGGGCCATGGACGACGATAGTCCGGCGGAGATCGAAAGTCCTCGCCCAGCTCCTCCAAGGACAAGACGTATTGGACAGGGGAGTCGAGAATCCGAGGAGTGGAGCGGACGGGACTGACGATGCTGAGCCCGATGACAGAGCCAAAACGATCAACGAGATCACCTCTTCCGGCATGTTTGCATTGGACGGACCGCCGGAAGTGTCGGACGCAGAGAAGCTCCGCTTTGCGTGCAATGCCGTGGGTGGCGATGGGGCCGAGAACGACCGCAAGGGGCCGAGGGCATGGATAAGGTCGGCGGAGGCGGGTCAAGAAGGCACGGATGTCCGCGAGCCATACATCCACGTTTGTCGCGGAGACGAATTCGCCGACTCGCTCGACGCCTCGTTCTTCGCCAAGACCTTTCCCACCCTACTGCCGTTCGGATTTGGAGGACCACGGCTCGCGGAGGAAGTCATCTTAGGACCCGAGGGGCCGGTCAATTGGCGGGTACGGCTGCTGGAGAAGAGACGGCGGCGCGAGATCTTCTGTCGTCTCGGAACATAAGCCTTCGGACCTGGGCCGGCATTGTGCTGCGGCGCCATGGTGGCCGATTCGCGACGCATACCATCTTCTCGTTTCTCGTTTTCAATATGGATGTGCGGTCGAAGAATCGTCGGGTCAGCATGCTCAGCGCGACGCGGAAGAACTTCGCCGAGGTGGAGCGCATCGTACGGTCGCTGACAGCGGATAGGTTAGCGGCCGCCAGGGCGGAGCTGGAGACGTCGGGCAAGACTACCGACGATGGCGTCAAGGAGCTTCTAAGATGCCTTTCGCTGTACGGCTATCGGCAGCCCATGTCGAGGGAGCTCCGTCTGAGCATGCGGCGCAAGATCCAGTCACTCATCTTATGTCGTGGCGTGCCTGCAATCTGGTTCACGCTCAACCCGAACGACATCACGAACCCGGTGAAGCTGAGACTGGCGGCATACCGCACACGTGATCCCGCAGCGGCCGAGGCATTCCTGCAAGGCCTCGACAAGGCGTTCAAACGTGCGCGGCTGGCCATCTCGGACCCGTTAAGCTCGGCCGAATTCTTCCACCGAGAAATGACGTTGTTCTTCGAACATTACGTGAGAGTGGGCGAGGAGTCGGTGTTCGGGCGCATCAGCCACTATTACGGTGCCGTCGAGACCAACGAGCGTGGAGCGCTCCATGTTCACGGACTGCTCTGGCTGCAGGGCAACGTGCATCTAAGCTCGATGCTTGCCGATATCGACGGCGAGGATCAAGCGGCATACCGAGAACGCATCGTCAGATACGTCGACAGTGTCTTTTCCGAGGTATGAGCGGGGCCGGCGTGTTGACCTGCGTCCTCCGTCTGTCAAAGCCGAGAAAGCTGACGAACAAGACAGGATCTGGACCAGGAAGGCTTCTGCGCAATGCAGGCCGAGCGATCGGTGACGTCAGATATATCGCAATTTCTGGGCGACGAACGGCAATTTTCAGCCTCGTTCGACGAGGAAGCGAACTTCTGTGCCGGCGCGACGCAGATCCATACCCACAGCCCGACCTGCGTCAAGTACTCGCTGGGCAAAGGGGCGCAAGGGCGATTTATGTCGTTTCAAGGCGCCGTGGGGACTGGTCGACGAGACGGCCTTCACGGGAGACGGCGTGCTGCGGATTCGGAGGTCGCACAGCATGGTGAATCGGTGGAACAAGGCCATTGCCGTGGGCTTCGCCACAACCATGACATATCTTTCATCGCCACACAGCGTAAGACGATGGCCCTCATCTTTACGTCACAAACTATGCGACCAAGGTGGAGGACCCTGTATGGAAGCGCGTCGCCGCCGCCGCGGATCTCTTGCCTCCCAGGGCAGGTGACGGAATGGCCGACGGCGCGGAGGTTCGTGGAGACAGTGGTGCCGGTGACGATGGCAGGCAGAATAAGACACGGCAGTTCCTGATGAAGGTGGCGAATCGCGTGTTTACGGAGAGCCGTTATCGCAGGTCGAGGTCGTCGCGGACCTCCTGGGATGCGCGACTGAACTGACGAATGGCAGTGCTTGGGCGTTCCTGAACGTATCGTTGCTCTACTGGCAAGTCTTCCGACAATGGCCGCACCTTCGACGAGAAAGCGGCGCAGCCGTTGCAGATGGCTCTGTGGACGAGTCAATACTCGTCGAAGAAGCAGGCCAGAGGATTTGCCGTGTCGAGGCATACCGTCATCGGGGAGACGTCCTTCGAGGGCTGTGTCTCTACGACTACGTTTCGCTGGTCAGGCTGAAGCGCAACGAAAGGGACGAGGGCCCGCCGGCTGGGAGGTCCCGTTCGAGAGCGGCTGGGCTCCGGGAGGCCGTTGGGCGCAGGTGCTCAGGCGACCGGGCAAGCAGGCCACGGTCTGCCTCGACGGGTATTTGAGCAAGGATTTCGACGAAGACGACGAAGGGTCGTGCTACCGAAGGTGCGTTTGTCGTCGACGGGCCGGAGGCGCCGGGTCGAGAAGGCTAATTTCCATGGCGAAGAGCGGCTGTGCAGCATCTTGCGCTGTTCGTGCCGTGGAGTCTTTCTTAGACGAAGAAAGGGGCGACATCAACTGCATATGGGGCGGCAACGAGCAGCCCTGGCCCCGAGGATATCATGTTTCGTCGATAACGTGCAGTTGCTGCGACGGTCGGCCGAAGATGCAAAGCGGGACGCACGGCAGTGGGCGGCCTCGTCCGGTGACGGCGACCCCACGGCAGTACGTCCGGACGAGGACGGCACCGGGGAGGTGGGTGTCGAGCCCGGATCGGGATACCAGGCCGACAGTGCGGGAAGCACGAATCGCCTAATCGACGTTGTCAGAAGCTCGATCGGGCCGAACCAAATCACGGCCGGCTCGCCGGAGCTCACGGCGATGATGCAGGAGCTCAGCCGATTTCAGCAATCGGCGCTGTCCTCTTCTTCCGAGGTCCAGGCCACAATACTACCCGAACGGGGCCCAAGACGAATCAACATCCCGGGCGGGCATTCTCCGGAGCCACCATACCGCCGCAAAGTGAGGTTAGGGCCATAAAGTCGCAGCAAATCCGCGCATCCAGGAGAGGAGAAGATGATACGGGGCATACAAAGCCTGTCCACGGCACCGGTGACTGGTCGCCGCGCGGCGGTGCGGGGCGTGCTCACGGGTTTCGGGGATGACGACGTCCAGATGACGGCAGCGGAGCTCGAGGAAGGAGTAGCGGGGCCAGCGCGGGAATGGAGATCCGGTTCGGTGCCTCAACCTCCTTCCTCGAGGCGGGCAAGGCCCTGGCAGCGCGGCTCACGCTAAACAAGAAGCAGGCGATCGCCTTCCTAATTATATGCCGCCAGCTTGACCTGATACGGCGCGGGGAGAAAAGCAACGTACGCCAGCTGTGCCAGTTCGTCGGTGGAGAGGCGGAACGGGCAAGTCACGAGTCATCGAGGCGCTCGTCGAGCTCTTCGCGTCCAAGGATCAATCGAATCGTCTGATGATAACGGCGACGTCGGGGACGGCAGCAGCGCGGATCAACGGCATTACGATCCACTCCGCCTGCGGGTTCTCGAAAGATCTCGCGGCAGCCGCAAACGCGGCCAAGGATCTCGACGGGGTGCGACTGCCGAAACAGGCGGAGCGGTTCGTCGACGGGCAATCCCGGATGGACTGGCAGGAGAAGGACGTGCTCGTCATCGACGAGGTGAGCATGCTCGGGGCGCGGACGCTACACGCGGTGAACGAGCAGCTCTGCCGGCTGCGCGGGTCGCACCAGGATTTTGGAGGTATTCCGATCGTCCTCTTCTGCGGAGACTTCCACCAATTCCGCCCCGTCCAAGAACGCTCGATCCTCCTCCCCAGCACCGCCGTCTCGTGGGACGTAGACAGCTCCTTCAAGGCCGAGACACGGCACCAGCACGACAAGGCGCACGCGTTGTGGAAGAGATTCACGACCACGGTCATGCTGGACGAGCAGGTGCGCGCCGCGGAGATCCGGAATTGCAGAGGCTGCTAAGGCGGATTCGACTGGGCGTGCAGGACCGCTCGGATCTGGACCTCCTCAACTCAAGATGCTACCGGGAAGGCAGGCGGATCCCGTGGGAGACGTGCATCACCGTGGTGACGCCGCTGAACAGGAACCGGTGGAACCTCAACATGGAGGCCAGCTTGGCGTTCCGGGCCCAGCAGCGGTCAGTGATGCGCATCTTCATCTCGGATCATACGTGGAAGGAGGCCCTGCCGACGGAGGAAGAGGCCATCATGATGCTGAACCAGGGCGACGACAGCGCGATCCCGGTGCCGGCCGTCTTCATGTTCGTGCCGGGGATGCCGGTCGTCGTGAACCATAACACCCATCAGGGGCTAAAGCTGGTGAACGGCGCCGGCTACACGGCGCTGGAGGTCGTCCTCGACAAGTCGTACCCGGGGCATCGTATCACGGCAGACACGACGGTCCATTTCGGGCCGCCGGCGGGATAATGCTGGAGTCGGAGACGACGAACGACGTTCACTTCGTCGGGATGCCGCCAGGCACGGTCCTGTTGACGCCCATGACGGTCAAAATACAGTGCCAGCGAAAGAGGCCGTGGCAGCAGAACGACGTCAGCCGAAAGGGCCTGCCCTGTACGGCAGCCTTCGCGTGCACAGACTATAAAGTGCAGGGCAGGACGCTCGAGCGTGTAGCTCTGGAGCTGCGGGAACGCGGACGTCAAACATCGACGGACGCGCCGTGTCCTCGCAGTGCGACCCGTACAGCCTGTACGTGCAGCTGTCTCGCTGCCCGACGCTGGACGGCATTATGCTGGTCTCGAAATTGCGGGAGAGGGACCTGGTGGGCAACAAGGTGCCAGACGAGATGACAGACGCAGAAGCGAGGCTGGGCCAGCTGAGCGACAAGACTGTCCGCGAGGCCTCGGGATGGCTAGACGTTGATTCCCTGGACTCTAAAGGCACGGGCCTGGACGTGTAGCTATCGCGATGCCGGGCGCAGGGCGCTGGACGGCACCATGCTCGTGTCAGGGGTGCGGGAGAGGGTTTGGTCGGAAAAGGCCAAAAACCGGTTTCACGAGGAGCTGAGTCCTAGTCGCGAGGTTAGGTCGCTGGCAGGACCGGAGAGGGCGAACTGCGCCGGAAGGCGAAACAAAAGGGCTAGGACGAAAAGGGTAAGTAATCATTAAGCGACCAAAGGAAGCCGGGATTTAAAAGCTCTCCAATCAGCAGCCAAGATGGGTTCTCCAATCAGAAGCCAAGGGTTTCGAGGGTAAAGTAGGTTTGGGGGTTTTTGGGGTTTTTTTCGCGTCCAGAAGAGCCTTTTCGTTCCTCAAGGCACTGAATAAGCAGAAAGAACACGGATTTTTCTGCCAATAGTTTCCAACGCTTCCCTTCTCTCTTGCGATTCCTCAGCTGTTTTTCGATATCATTAGGTTGGAGATCGTCCTTGAACGCCTCAACGTATAGATCAATTGCAACACTAGCGTTTCGGTACCCAGGAGCAAGACGAACTAGGCCTTTCTGTCTTTGATCCTCGATTCTGGTCTTGAGGTCGTCAAAGAAATCTACCAGTCGCACATGTCCAAGCCGAGATTGAAATCTGGTCGTCTCGTTATTTGTAATGGCGTCGTTAAGGGCTCTGAACGCGGAATTGATTCGGTGGCTTGGGATTGCTGTGCCGGCGGCCAGGGTGGTACTTTGAAGCAAAGATATGCAGCTTAGGAGAGCTTCCTCGCAAGGGGCGACGAAGAAATTCTGCGCATCTTGTCTTATAAGCGTCTTTGAGAGTGTTAAGGCTTCTGCAAACGACCAACTGTTTCCTGCATTCCTTCGAGTAACGCTCAAAGGTGAACCAGACCCAGGCCTACGCCGTTGTGGCTCATAAAGGGCTTTTGGGAGAGTAGCCGCCTGTTTGTCGCTTCTAGCAAGTGAGGAGAGTTCTTGCAGGTTCTCCAGACTGGCATTCACGTCGTCGCATACTCTCGGAGAGATTGCATAGCCGGAGATTTTATCCTGAGACGCCTCTGGTGAAAGCAGTGCCGTCGTGCTTGACTCCGGCGATTTTTTTAATGGAACGCCAATTGCATTCAGCTGGTTTTCGACGGTGCGCAGCAGAGGACGCGATTGACTTGCAGAAATTTGAGTATAATGTAGTTCCTTCGCTTCTGCACTAAAACTTATGGTCGCTTCCCTTGCTGGCTCTGTTGATTCAAAGGTTGTCATGACACTGGGAGCATCTGAGTTTAGAGAAGAGGGTTGGACTGCAAGTTGACTCCGTTGATTAAGCAAGTCCAATGCAGCCCGGGCTCGATGTTCCACGTCAGAAGACCCGACCACATTGTCGGCAGAATGAGGTTTCTCCAAATTCTGGGGCGATAAAGGGAATGGGTCGCCTACTGTTGGAGCAGGATGCGTTGTGGGAATGTTTCTTCTATCTAGAAGCCCTTCTGACTCTTCGGCAACTGAGCTGGAGTCTTGTAGACTGGATTCTCGGTCTTCCAATGTCCGATCCAAAGGAGGTGTATGGTCTGATTCCAGGTCGTATGGTGCTGCAACAATGATGGTGCCGGCATGCGATAGCTTTTCTGTAGACTCGAGAATATTTTCTGCAGAGTCGTTCTTGTCAAACATCAACGGTGTCAGTTCGTCGCGCCGGTTCGTCTGACCTTTACATTCGGCTGTTAGCCAAATGCTCGCGCGCAGCGTTCCAAACATCAGTACCCACTTTGAGATTGCAAATCTTCGCTACTTCGGCACCGGTTGCCTGGTGTTGCTCGTCGACCGGAATTGACTTGCTTCTTCCTTGGTCTGCCACGAGTACGTTTCAACTGTCCCGAGTGTTTCGACAAGCCGCCCCGTCCTCGTCGTCGCTGAGTCGTTAGGTGTGTAACTTTCAAGTAGTTTGGAAGCAATGCTCACGTTAGACTTTGCCGGCGCAGTACCCTTGTATCTTGCAATACTTGCATCTTGTGTTGCAAAGATTTCCTGAGGTTCGTAGCTTGAAGGTATCTGCTGCAAGCTTTCGTGTGGCTCCTGTGGCCCCGGAACATCATCAACTAACTCGAGTGGACAAGCAGAGGTGGCTCGAGACAACTCTTGAGTTCGATGGCGCCACGATGAGCTACCCGCAATGGACGGGCTAATGAGTGCCAGCAGGTCTTCAGAGAGTTTCTTCAGATGGTCCTCCAGATGCCTTTCATAAGTAGCTTCCTGCTCCTTCACGGTTGCCTGATAATTGAGCTCTAGTTCCCGCTTTTCGCCGCCAAGTCCCAAGACAGTCTCTAGAGTGGCAGACCGTTCCTCGGAGGTTGATGCAGGAGAAAAGCGCGCCCATGCCTTCTCTATGCGGTCTTCCAATCCCGCCAAATTGTCGCTGAATGAAGCCCGAGGCGATTTTGTCTTCGCGAGAGCCGCAGCTGACTGCAAGACGCGCGACTTGATGGCATTGAGTTGCACGAGAATCGAGTGATAAGACATGGCGGCTGAGGCGGGAGCGGGCGAATCCGGCCTAGCTGATGAGTGTGTACTCGCTCCGTCGCCTTCTGGGAATGTCCTGAATGGTTCTTGTGATAAGCAGAGGGACGGATCTATTTTTTTTTGGGAAGAACTCACGGGAACGTCATGATGAATCCGTAGGTAGTCTGCACCGCTTTTTGATTTGATCCTGGCTGACGCTGATTAACGAACATGAGAGCGGGTATGTGGATATATAACTGCCTTGCGGCCACCTTTCCACTGCAAAAGAAGCCGAGTACAGAAATATATAATCGTTGGAGCTCAATATCCACCATTGGTTCGATACGCGCCTCATGCAAGAACGTCACTTCCTTCTTAGTCGCCTGTAGCGGTAGCAGTCGCCGTCTTTCTCAGTCCGGGTCAGTGAGGACATCCCGCAACCCTCGGCCACCGTCCGATCCTTCTTCATGTAGAAAAGTGGGGTGAAAGCCGGACATCGACTGGCTATCCATAGCTCCGCTGCCGCCCGGTCGGCCCCGTTTATCCCGGTCATGCTGGAACCGTTAGCCAACATCAGTGAGAACGCTAGTATCGGCCCAGAGCACCAGAACTCGGGGTTCTTCCACAAAGGCAGTTATAACACCGGCGCATCTAAATCACGACCTGGAAACTTTAATACGAAGTCCTATGGATACTGCTCTAAGATGATATAACAAGGTATTTGTTACGGAAATGTGCATGGCATTTTGGATGGCAGCGTGCAAATTATTCCCAAGAACATAAGGCATCTCCATGGTACCCGCCTACATTATCTCCCCGTGAAAGCATTGTAGGTGCTGCCTAACTTCTTTGTATTTAAAACACTTACTAGCCCCTTCTAGTACTAATAGCAGAGTGAAGACGTCACGCCACTTTGCTGCCTTACAATCCGCCCCATCTAGAGGCAACACTTTATCCACCTGCATGGACTCGCGGGCATCACCAGGTCCGTTGAAGTCTCCCGGCGAATGACCGTCTATAGAGGCAATCGAATGCGTGCGTGTCGGTGCCGCCAGGAAACTGCCCAAGAGCCAGTAGGACACCTGCCGCGTCTCGCTAGCACAGCGGAGCGGTGGTATTGCCAGATTCGGCCTTAGCTAGTGTAAGGGGCTACGCCCCGATGTGTAGATCTGGCATGGCCAGACTAGTCACGTGCGAGCGCCACGGACACGACTCCTAAAGGGAGCGATGTAGACATGTCTCCCCTTTACACTCTTTGTAGCTCAATTTACATCAATTACGCCCAGCACCTGTGCCAACAGTGCTGACCCTGCAACATATTGAGCTACCAGTTAACAAAAGACAGGACAGACAGCAGGACAGACAGCAGGACAGACAGCAGGACAGACAGCAGGACAGACAGCAGGACAGTCAGCAGGACAGACAGCAAGACAGGCGATAGGCTAAACGACGAGACGGACGATCGATCGGACGACGAGACGGACGAACAAGATGGAGGACAATAGTAGTTATGCAGGGCACCGCGACCGGCGGCGCAACGAGCCGATGGAGGGAAGGAGCAAGAGCTCTTGCAGATCTTATCTGGGATCGCGGGAGACGAAGAACTGCGGAAGATGTTCACCGGGCTAGGCCTAGCAGCGCCACCGTTGACACCCAGCCCGGGGGTGCTCAGTACCCCGGCGATCTTACCCGTCGAACCGAGGCCGGAAGCAGCCCAGAAATGGACCGTGGCAAGAAGCGCAAGCCGATGACTTGGCCGAAGTGGAACGGTCAACGAGTCCTTCCACTTCTACCTCGACCGTCTGGTATTTAAGTACAATACCGACGAAGAGGAGGGCCTAAACGGCAATAACAACGTCGTGTGGTACGAGATCCTGCAGACCTTGCCGGATCAGATGATGAGGAGAGTCGAGGGTTTTTGGAGGCAAGAGAGCGCGAAGGGCAACCCAGACCCCCGGAAATTCTTCTCGCACCTAGCCCAGACGTTCGGCAGCGTGCAGCAGACAGAGAGGGCGCAGGACAGGCTGCGCACCCTCATTCAACGAGACAGCCAAGAGTTTGGGAAGTTCCTCCCTGAATTCGAGGAAACATTGACCAAAGCGGGCGGCGCGAGCTGGGATAATGCTTCCAAGCTCGCATGGCTACGGAACTCGATCTCTCCTGCTCTCCGTGAGCAACTAGTCCCGGTTATCATGCCGAAGGACTACAACGAGTACATCCAACGTCTACACCCGATTGCTTGGGCGTTCGAGCACACCGCGAAGTTTAAGGCGTTGCAGAGGAAGCAGGGCTCCGCGGGCAACGTGACCAAGGGCAGGCATCAGGCATCGGCAACATCCAGGTCGCCGGTAACGACAACACCCCGGCACCGTCAGCAACGTTACCCGCCGAGCAGAACGCACGTGACGCACGCGACCATGACGGCGACGTAATAATGACGGTTACACGCACTCAGGGCAGGGTCAGAGAGGACGGGCGAACGGCCAGGGGTCAAGTGGAACGAGCAAGACGGTTCGCTTCCAGCCTAGGTCAGGACGGAAGCAACGGGCGAGGTGGGTATCCGAGGACGAACGGAATAAACGCCGTGACGAGGGTCGTTGTCTCCGCTGCGGCGACAACACCCATTTCATTGCCGCTTGCCCTACTCGCCAGGACAGGACCCTAGCCGGTCGAGGGATGTAAAGTCCGCACCGCTAGGATCATGCCCTTGCTGGAAGATGATGGTAACGACTCTAGTGAGGAAGAGTCAGGACTTAGCGAGACCCCATCCCTCTCGGGAATGCGTAGCCTCGAAACAAAGACGGGTCTCGAGGCCAAAGAACGGAGCAGTGGCAAAAGAAGAGAAGTTCTCAGGAAAATGGAAGTTGGTCCTACAATAATTCGAAGCATTATCAATAGGACCAATCTCTTCTCCTCACTCGTAGACGAGGATGCCAGTGCTACGCCGCGGTTGACGAAGAAGTCGTCGAGAAGTTGGAAGTTCCTATAGTGGAAATAGCACCGCGAGCTATTACAGGAGCATCAGGGGCAATGGAAGGAGCAACGATTAGGGGCCTCGTATGGCTATCAATGGAGGTCAACGGCCACATACAGACGATCTGTGCCTACGTGGTGCCCCGATTGGAATTCCCCCTAATCCTAGGAAAACCCTGGTTATGCCACACAAAGTCGTACTCAGTGCCCCACGAGAAACGACTATGGCATGAACCTACACAAGACTGGGTAGATCACCTCGGGGAAGGAGAATATTCTGCGAAAGCCAAGGAGTTCGAAGAAGCAAAGCACGTACTAGCCAGTACCTTTGTGGGTTACTTTGAAAGGATCCGCAAGCAGGAAGGAAGAGAGGCAGCTGCCACGGCGATTTTCGCTATCAGCATGAAGGATATCGAAAGGGCGTTATCACCAAAGAAACCCATGTCAGAAGCAGAGCTACGCCGAACGATACCCCAGCGGTTCCACGATTTACTGCCTCTATTTATGAAGAAGGAAGCTGATAAGCTGAATCCTCATAAGCCAGGCATAGACCACGAAATCAGAATCAAGGAGGACCCGAATGGCCAGCAGTTACCACTACCGTATGGAGCACTATACGGTATGTCACGAGAGGAACTCCTGGTTCTTAAGAAGACTCTACGAGACCTAGTGGATAAAGGATTTATCCGTGCAAGCAGTTCAGAAGCAGCAGCTCCAGTCCTGTTTGTGAGGAAACCAGGTGGCGGGCTGCGATTCTGTTGTGACTACAGAGCGTTGAACGCAATCACTAAGTCGGACCGTTACCCCTTCCTCTAATAGGGACACACTTCGCAACCTAAAAGATGCGAAGTGGTTCACGAAGGTCGACGTGGTACAAGCGTTCCATAAAGTACGGGTTGCAGAAGGAGACGAGTGGAAGACAGCGTTCCGCACCCGGTACGGTCTCTTCGAATGGATGGTTACCCCGTTCGGGCTAAGTGGCGCGCCAGCAACCTTCCAGCGGTATATTAACGGTATCCTACGAGACTACCTCGACGAGTTCGCCTCTGCTTATATGGACGATATACTTATCTATTCGAGCGGGCAGAGAAGACCATTTCCGGAAGGTACGGTTAGTTTTAGAACGCCTCGCCGAGCATGGACTACACCTAGACCCGGAGAAATGCGAATTTGGAGTCAAGCGGATTAAGTACCTAGGATTCATTATTCACGCAGGAATTGGCATTCAGGCAGATCCCGACAAGATACGAGCAATAGTCGAGTGGGCAGTCCCCGTTACCCAGAAGGGGTTGCGCAGTTTTCTAGGATTCGTTAACTACTACCGGATATTTATACCGCAAGCCTCGGAAATAACTGCACTAACAGCACTAACAGGAAAGGGACTAAGTTCAAGTGGACGGACGAGCACGATATGGCGTTCCAGACACTAAAGACGCTATTTACGAACGCCCTATTCTTACTCAATGGGATTTCGAGAGGCCAACCTTCGTAGAAGCAGACTGTAGCGGCTGGGCGCTTGGGGCACACTTACGCAGGAAGTCGACGGACAACGCAAGCCAGTAGCGTTCCACTCGCAGAAGCTATCACCGGCTGAGCGCAACTACCCAATCCATGATAAGGAAATGCTCGCTATTATTCGTTGTCTCGAACAATGGTCAGCCGAGCTACGAAGCTGTGATAACTTCGTTATCCTTACCGACCATAAGAACCTCGAGTATTTCATGACGCGCCAACAGCTAGGAAAGGCAGGCACGTTGGGCTGAATATCTCTCGCGTTTTAACTTCCAGCTCCAGTACCGTCCGGGACGGGAAGCAGTGGTGCCAGACGCGCTCTCGCCGCGAACAGGACCGACCAAACGAAGCGGATCACGAAGCACGAGATATGCAGCTTATTCCAGAAGCAGCCCTACGTACCTACGTCGGAGTAACGTCGACTCAAGCGGGAGAAGGCGAAGAAGAACACACGATTTTCCACGACCCAGAGCTACAACAATTATGGCAGCAAACGGCAAACCAGGATCCAGTCTTTACAAGCGTTTATAACGCGGTACGAAACGGATCTCGGTCCTCGACCCCAAGCTTAAGCTGAAGGTACAAGTCGCCGAGTGCTTTATTGATCCTCGGGGCACCTACGACTACGTGGCCTCTTATGGGTGCCAGGCGCACCGATCACGACAGAAGCAGCAGCCAAGGCAGCACCGCTAGAGCAGGAGTCGCTAAACGAATTACGGGCTCCTTAATCCAGAAGGTTCATGACTCCCATGTGGTAGGCCGCCGGGATCGGGAAGGGACGATAGAAGCCGTATCCAGGGACTTCTACTGGCCGCTAATGCAACAGCATATCCGACGTTTCTTGCGTAACTGCGATGTCTGCGGCCGTACGAAGATATGGCGCGAGCATAAAAGGGTCTACTTAGACCGCTACCCGTACCGGACCGCTTCTTCCGCCAGATACAGATGGACTTTATTACGGACCTCCCCTTGCGAACGGTAACCGCTGCCTCTGGGTTATCAAGGACCGGCTAAGTAAGGAAGTTATACTCGAACCGATGCCAACGATGGAAGCGGAAGCATGTGCAGAGCGTTTTCTATGGTGCTTCGCCCGCTACCACTGGTGGCCCGACGCTATAACGAGCGATAGGGGCTCGAATTGGGTAGGCCGCTTTTGAGGCACATGTGCAAGTTACTGGGGATCGACCAGCAGCTAAGCACGGCGTACCACCCCCAAACCGACGGAGGCCCTGAGAGGATGAACCAAGAAGTACAGGCATACCTCCGCGCCGTGATTAACCAGAACCAGAACGACTGGGATAAGTGGGTTCCCGCGGCTCAGATGGCGTTAAACGGTCGGGTCAATACCTCTATAGGGATGTCCCCATTCTTCGCTATACACGGCTATGAGCCGAAGTCACCAGTTCCCCTCGTTACGGAAGCATATGCGGAAGAGTATCCTCAGCATTCGCCAGAAACCAGGGCAAAGAAATTTGTTACCAAACTACAACAGATTACGGACCTCTGCCAAGCATCAATGGCGACAGCTACGCAGCAACAAGAACGCTTCGCTAACAGACGACGGAACGCGGCAGAACGCTTCGAAGTAGGCGATAGGGTTTGGCTTGACTTACGGAACTACGCGTCAGAGCGACCTAAGAAGAAGTTCGACTGGCTGCACGCTAAGTATACGATAAGCAAGGTACTCGACCCGTACACGGTTGAACTAGCAGACCTCCCGAGGGGCTGCTATAATAGGTTCCACGTCGACCAACTCCGGAGAGCGGGGACGGACCCAATGCCTGGTCAGCAACGCACAGACGCTCAACCCCATCTATCCAAGTAGACGGGGAGGCTCACCAAGTAGTAGAGGAAATACTATGCGCTAGGTGGAAGAGAACCGGCCGCGGCCGTAGGCGGGAAGTCCTTGTACGCTGGCAAGGTTGGCAAGACCCGACCTGGACCTCTTTAGACAATATGCAACAGACAGCGGCCTTGGATAAGTACGAACAGAGATACGGCCCGGCTCTCGAAAACGATGGACCATACCAGCACCGACGAGTGGCAACGGAAGCACAGCCGGCCCAAATCCAGGGGCAAGTCGAAGGAATACAACCACAGCTGCAGATACAGGGCAAGAGAATACGCGGACCACTACGGGCTAGGACTAATGGCGACGCCCCGTCGATAGTAACGGCACCAGACCCTATAGACGACGGCCCTACGATCGTTGTAGAGGGGACCAGGAACAGGAAAAAGGGCACCAGCGCCAGAGAGGAGTAGGGGGCTAATGTAAGGGGCTACGCCCCGATGTGTAGATCTGGCATGGCCAGACTAGTCACGTGCGAGCGCCACGGACACGACTCCTAAAGGGAGCGATGTAGACATGTCTCCCCTTTACACTCTTTGTAGCTCAATTTACATCAATTACGCCCAGCACCTGTGCCAACAGTGCTGACCCCGTAACAGCTAGTCCCGACAAACCGGTACGCACTGATGCATCGGCGTGCCATCTGCTACCTCGCAAGCCACCGTTCAAGCCAGTTGCATGATGTCGGCGGCGACGTAGAACTTTTGTCGTAGCAACACACCCAAACCCGAGAGTATGGAGCCGACACATTATTGCTTGCTGCTTAAGGAAAATCACATCCCTACGAATCTGCGTGTGATATTGACCGGGCTGGTCAAGTCACGCAAATATCCAACCCCACAATTCGTACCTGGCTGGGCAGAAGAAACCGAGTAATCAGTGATCGTCGAAACTTAACATCCACGATGGGTCCGATACGCGCCTTCTGCAAGAACGCACTTCCTTGTCGCCTGTAGCGGTAGCAGTCGCCGTCTTCTTCAGTCCGACATAGAGGAGACGTCCCGCGACCCCCGGCCACCGTCCGACCCTTCATTTAGAAAAGTGGTGTGAAAACCGGACATCGACTGGTTATACGTAGCTCCGCGGCCGCATGGTCTGCCCCCACTTATTCCGGTTATAGGAGCCGTTGCCCACACCAATCGGTGTCCTACTATCGGCCCAGAGCACCAGAGCTCGGGGTTCTTCCACAAAGGCAGGTAAACAACGCGAGCTCATACCGCCGGCGCATCTAAATCGCGACCTGGAAAATCTGATGCGAAGTCGTATGGATGCTGCTCTTAGAAATCCACGAGCCAAACTTCTTGTGCTCGGTTAGGCAAGCCGCGGGCAGAGAAAGTGGAAAAAGTGAGGTCGCAGCCGGCTGACTTCCGATTGACAGAGGTAAGCAACTGTTCCTGCTTGCTTTGACCAATCGCGGATGTAGCCGGCCAAGCTCCAAAGTCAAGCCAACAGGGAGGATGCAACCCGCTGAAGAAGGTGATGGTGTGGTAGGACAACCCTACACTCGGCCCCTTGTGTAAGCAGGTTCGCACTTCTTGCGGCTGGCGAAATACGTACCTGAGACCTCTATGGACCTTGTTGCGCGACATCGTGCGCAGCATCGTGCATAGTATCGTCCAACATCTGGTCTCTTTACAAGGGATCCGCCTTCACTATCCCCTTTAGGGAACGCTCCATGTATGTTGGGTGAAAGCATTGGAGTTGTTGCCTAATATGCTATAGACTTTACATACATTCTAACCCCTTACACAGGGTGGTTTTCCATACATGGAAAGGCCTGCAATCGATAATCGGTATCGGCCCCACATTTATTGCAAGTATTGCAATACACCTTTCCATACTTGGTCCGTGCACGACGACAAAATGTCACTGAAGACACCTTCGACAAGATGGACAAATTCACACCATATGGTGAATTAAAAATACGAAGTAATTGATTGAGCTCAATGATAATGTCCAAAAGAGAGGGTAGGCAAATCTTACGTGTTTTGTTCCAAGACGAGGAGGAAATCAGACGGGAATTTGCACGAATTCTCACGCCACGGTCACGCCACCGCCCTTCCCTCTTCAAGACATTGTTCTTCACCCAATGCTTCAACCAATTCTCCCTTTTCAATTTGGTCCGCATCCAATTGTGCCCTTTCCCAGGAGATCGTACGACGAGCCCCTGAAAACACCCGTTCCGGCTCGTCGCTCATCGCTGGCATTGATAAGTCCCTGCACATAGAAATGGGCACCCCCCTGTTTTGGGCACCCCAAAAAAATCACGACCATTTTCAACACCATTAATTCAATCCCTTCTCACTGCCCACCACCGTGCACTACGATACAATCGTCACCTATTTCTGAAACCTCAGCTTCGGTTTCATCAGATTCTTCATTCTCAGCTGCGTTCACCTCCTCCTGCGCCCGTCGTATTGCCTCAATATTGGCGAACCTCGAATTCGGGCTCGTGACCACCCTCTTCCTTTTTTTCGGCTTGACGGCCGCCAATTGTGTTTCCAGTGCCTGAATCTGCAATTGAGCGTTTGCTAAAAGGCCATCCTTCTCGTCAAACCCTTTTGTGATCTTCCTGAACAGCAATCTCTTCGTGGGCACGTCGTCGTCTAGCTGGTTGAATTGAACTACCTGAACCTTCAGATCTTGCGAGCGCCTCGGGGTCGACCACGCAATCTGGGATGTGTCTGATTGCCAGTCACTGGTGGGTAAGTGGCTATTGAATGCATTGGCCACATTTTTCGCTTTCTTTTGCGTCTGTTGCTGTTCTCCAGCAGAAGAGGGCTCAAAGTGGCTTCGCCATCGACACCGGCCACAAACCCGTCGCTTTCCAGCCACCCTTGATGTTTGACACAGTGAGCGCTTGCTCGCGTGCTTTCTGGTAGCAGGAAAGAAAGTTTTGCTTGCCGACTGGGCTTGAATCGGTCAGGAGGCTGAGAAATCCGACCTGTTTGCGGTAGTAGTGCTTAAGAGCGGAGAAGACAGACAAATCGAGCGGTTGCAGCACATGAGAGGTATGGGGAGGTAAGAAAGAAGGTGAATCTGATGCGGGTAGAATAGATACATGAAGTAACCCGTCTCGTGACTTCCGTGGCCGTCCAATACTAGCAGTCTTCGCCCGGAGGGGTGGGGTGGCTGGGTTCTTGGAATGAACCCTTTTTCGAGCCACTCCACCGCAGTTTGGTCCGAAGTCCAGCCGTTCTTTGTCGCAGTGAATTGCCAGTCACTAAAAGTACTGAGATCTTCTGGGAACCACTGTTGCTGGACCGATTTGCCCTTGAAAATGACGAGTGGAGGAGGAAGGTGCCGGCAGCGGACACGCACTCGATGAACGACGTCCAGACCCGAGAACCAGGCGTCTTCTTTTGTACAGATCGTTTTTCAGCACTGCCAACGACCAGGCCATTCTCCCCAAGTCCTTCCATGATGCCTGCTTCATCCATGTTGTACCTGTTCTCCGGCTTAATAGCCAGAATCTCGGGAAGGAAGAAATTGTTGAACCAAGGCCGAATTACCTCGGTAGAAGCGCCGTTGACACGCGCAGAGTCTCTGTGATGGCACTTCTGGGTCCGAACTGCAGGATTTCGTCTTAAAAATGCTTGCATCCAGTGTTTTCCGAGCGGTGTGTGGTCTCCTTTGACGGCGAGCATGCGCTGCGCGAACTGCCTGATCTGCGAGTGAGTGGGAGGAAGGCCCAAGGCGTCCTGAATGAGAATCCATTCGGTAAGTTGCTTTTCCTGTGTCTGAAAAGCCTCTGAAGAGCAGAAAATGCATCCTTTCTGCATTCGTGACCATGCATGCGATTGTAAGAGTTGCCCTCGGACGCCCCAATCGCGAGCAGCCTTCTTGGCGGATCCGCCATTGGCGATTGCCTCAAGGGCGCTGTGAATGTCAGACTCTGTATATTTCATCAGTAGTGGCTTGAAAACACACTCGTCAATTTTTTAGCAGATTGGATGCGTTTCCGCGGTGAAATTTGCTGTTGAAGTTGACGCAGCCGTTTAGGTTGGGCACCCATCTTGGGTGCCCAAAACAGGGGGGTGCCCATTTCTATGTGCAGGGACTTAATAGGATGTCTATTGCCATTCGTGATAACTTCGGCCGTCGGTTCCTATGTCGCTCTTGAAGCCACCATGATAAAGCAGTTGTTGGCGCAATCTCATATGGATCACCTGAGATGTAATCTTCATACTCGTCTTGACTTGTAGGTCGAGCACAATTCTGCAGATTTCTTGAAATACGATCAAATGCATCAAGGCCATTGTCTTCTTCTTCGTCCAGTACATGATACGAAATTGTACCGTCGTTTGTATTTCGGTAAGAGTAGCAAAGGTCTTTGACCCGTTTGAAAGCAGTTTTATGCCACTTCTTCTAATTTGAGTGGATGTACGTCGTGCGATAGCTTGGATGAAGGACCAAAGAAGCGGCGTAATAGGGCGAATTCTCTTTATTGATAATTTCTTGGTCAAGGTAGCCTTTGAAGACACGGCCCAGATCCCACGCTTGCCCGTAGAGTTGATCAAATCCTTCGATGATGGACGGTTGAAGAGGAGATAAATTCTCTGCGACGTTGATGTCATACTTTCTTGCCCTCAGGGTGTTTTCGAAAGCTGGCGGTGACAGAAGTACTGTAGGGATCATTCTGGGGACAATAAAGATAATATATGAGGCGGTTCCTGCCTTTGAACTCCGCTTCCCCTAACCCTTTTACTACCGGTACATTACTGCCAGATGAGCATGTTTTCATGATCCAAAAGCAGGTTTTCTCTTGTCTTGGGAGATATAGACGCGAATGAATCCGAAGCAATGGATTCAGAATCGAAGAAACATAACTAACACAGGCTCAGAATCCATTGTCGCCAGGTGATAATGGTATGCTGTGGGTTGGTGGTGAGGCTGATTTTGTGGATGTGCGGATTTGTAGCGGGGTTCCAGGCCCACAGCCCTGTAGGTAGCCCCCTGTAGGAACCCTTGTTAGTGGCGTGGTTCAGCCAATAGTATGGAAATACATGGATCCATATCCATACCTATTCCATGCCATTCATGGAAAGGGTATTTCCATATTTAGATATGGAAAACCACCCTGGTGGCGATGTCGCCACCCAGGCCGCCTAGATGACGTTGTCATCTAGAAGGTTCGATACCACCGCTTACCAACGACATTTGTCGGTGGACCAGGGTAGCCCTGTTAGGGAGGGACCCGGAGAAGGGATTCCTGGCCCATGTAGCAGGAACGCATGAGGACTTCCTGAGTAAGGAAGGCAACCCCTTTATGCGTGGGCACAGCCACGTATGCGTGGGTAGAGCCCATTACTCAGGAGGTCCCCAGAAGTCCCTAAGACCTCCTGTATAAATAGCCCCTTCAGACTGCCCCTTTAGACATAGAACATGCATCTTGAACCTTCGTGTGTGACCCCCTTCTTATTCCGATGTGTATTGGCATAACGTTCCACCAACAACATTATTCATCCTTCTCAGTCACCTTTGCTAGAGTCAGCCCGACTAGGTAACCTTCGGACTTAGATCGTTAACCCGTTTTCACGACACTTTCCCAATATTTCTCATGCCAGTCTCTCACAACGCAATAAAAATGCCTTCATCGCGGCCTCGTTGGAAATATACAGAAGACGACGTGGCCGAGGCTATATTAGATATCACCGATAACGGCTGTTCACCCTCTCAAGCGGCTCAGAGATGGGAGTGCCTCGAAGGACTCTGATCGACAGATTTAACGGCCTGACGGCCATGAAAGAGCAAATTCAGCCTGGTCAGCGTTTGTCCAAGAATCAGGAAGATAAATTGGCTTTCTGGATTCTTCGTCAGGAGTCTCTGGGATATGCTCCGTCCCACAATCAGATTCGCGCTTGCGTCATGGGCTTGTTAAGACATCAAGGCGAACAACCAGAATTAGGACGCAACTGGGTAGCCAGATTCATCGAGCGCCACCGAGACCTTAAGACTAAGATCGGTAGACGTCAGGAAGCTAATAGGTTTGAATCCTTCACGCCTAAGGCGGTTCATTGGTACTTCGATATCAGGGAGGGCCAGCACGGCTGGATTCGGCCTGAGAACATTGTTAACGTTGACGAAGGAGGCATCATGATCGGTTTTGGCAAGCCGCCATTTCTCTTTTCTCTTTATTTTTGAAATTTGACTAACTAGACTCTCTTCGTTAGGGTTGGATAGCCTGGTGGTCGGAAGCGCGGACCCAAAGCGAAAGGCTCTTCTCAAGGGACCACAAACTCGAAATTGGACTTCGTTTATCGAAGCTATCACTGCGGACGGCCGTTCCTTGACTCCTGGCATAATATTCAAGGGGAAAGGAACTCCAAAAACAGTGGTTCCTTCATGAATTCAAGAAGATAGCGAACTGGCATTACATAACTTCACCAAACGGGTGGACTGATGACCACATTGGTGTTGAATGGCTTGAAAGAGTCTATTTGCCCCAGACCAAGCCTGCCGAGGAGTCCAATGCCAGATTAATCATTCTAGACGGCCACGGGAGCCATGCAACGGTACTGATCTTTGTTTACCTAGCCAAAGGTCGCTGCTAACCGAGCGAAGGACGAATGGATGGCTACATGCTTTTTGAACAACGTTTACTGTTGCTACCTTCCAGCACACTGCTCTCACGGCCTCCAGCCATTGGAAAATGGAGTATTCAACGCCTCCAAAGCTGCATATCGACGAGAGTTGGAAAAGTTCGCTTCCCTTACTGATTCTGCTCCGATGGATAAGGTCAATTTCATCAGAGCCTACGCCAAGGCTCGTGAAGTGGGAATGACGAAGAAGAATATACTCTCCGGCTGGAGAGTTACTGGCAATTGGCCAATTTCGCGAGCCAAAGCTCTACGGCACCCAGAAATCCAAGAGGGTAGGCGGAATGACAGCCCAAAAAGGACTCCGGAGCCGGCGCCGTATTTTGGCTCGGATGATACACCAAAAACCAGCCGCCAGATTCGCGATCTTGGGCTAAAAAAAACACCAAAGACACAGAGACGGTATAACGTGATAGCCAAAGGCTTTGAGACTCAACAACAGACGTTAATGGCGCATGCCACGAGAATTGCTGGCATGGAGGAGGAACTGGCACGCCTGAAGAGAGGGAAGAAGAGGAAGGCTATTCCGAATCCCAATAAACGTTTCATGACTCTGAGCGAGGCTCTAGCCTCTGTAGAAGCCAATCCAGAAAAAGGAAGCGAAAAGAAGCATGTTGTGGTGAACCATAGCTCTTCGGGGGAGTCAGGGCCAGAATCGGAGGCTGCTTCAGTTATTGAAGTCAGAGAAGAAACCATACTACCTCAGCGCACCACACGATCGGGGAGGCCGGTCAAAAGCCCTAAAATCCAATAGATACATCAATTGTAAATTTACACCAGGCAACCATTTGCAAATAACTTTTATTTTGGTCAAGTTGTGTGTAAGTGAAATAGTTAAGTTTTGGTGGTGGTTTTTTTTTTTGCCTGGCGAAAGGGTGGGGTTGGCGAAAGGGTGGTGGTGCATGGTAAGACGGGGCATGGGGAGCTGGTCAACCATCAACGCAACGTCAACCAACTCAACATAGGGCCAAGGTTGATCAACTCAACGGAGGAAAAGCTTATTAATCGGTCAACTCACTCAACTGAGGGCTGAGGTTGAGTTGGTTGCGTTGATCGCCACCCTGATTGGAAGACCCCCCAGCCGTTATTATGGTGGACTTTGATAGCTACGACGGACCGCCGTATCTAACAACTAACGAGGGCAGGAAAATCTCACCCATCCTCCCAGTCAGGCGAGACTCCCCTGATGGTGGCGTTTGCTATCACTGTTCACAAATGCCAGAGCCTAACGAAGGATCAAATAGTTACTGATCTCGCTACACGCGACTTCCAGGCCGGCATTAGCTATGTTGCTGTGTCACGGGTTACGTCGCTGCAAGGCTTACTCCTTGAGGCGCCTTTCGATCGTCAGAGCCTCTATAACCACACGCCGACGGAAGGTTATACGCCTGCGTTTCCTACGTATTACATTCACGGCTGACTATGAGACAGGGATGAAAATGCGCCTCGCTGACCAACAACGGCGTCAGGGTCAACAGCTGAGCGATGCACCGTATCCACCGCTTTACCTTGACTAAACGCCGTCTTCGTATAAGCTACAGGGAAGTGGGCGGTTCGATATAGGGTATATAGTTAGATTGGGCCAGTCAAGGAGCGGTTTAAACAGCTGGATGGCCGCTGCAGGCGAAAGGGGGGTTCTAGGGGGTCCCCCCTAGGAAAGTTGAATTGCAGGTATACGATGTTCACCCTTTCGGGCTGGATATTCAGCCGTTAAGCCCCTTGCATTGGCAACTTAACGGGTGTTCGAAGTATTTTAGCCTTTCATTAATTTGGCTCTATCTAAGGCTGTTCTTTGTAGCTATAACTCCAAGGGTTGATGCGCAAGCTTAGGTTTTGATCTTACTCGAAAGATCCCGTTGAACATAAAGTTGGTCAAACATGTCTGTGACGTCACAAAACAATCTGATGACACTCATTTTCCTTTTCTTGAAAGCCCTGGATTCGCACGGCCCAAGCTGTGTTTTCAGAGACTGTCGCTCAAGCAAATCAAGCGCACGGATGAGACAGTCATGTTCATAATCCGCCAACACAGCAAGAGCGTGCTTCTTTTCCGTTGGCTCCTCGGGTGATACGGATGAGTAGTGCCCAAATTCAGGGAAATGGACAGAATTGACGTTGTGTTCTGCGGTGTCACGAGCAACAGAGCCGAAATCGTTGTACATGCGGCACATCGTCGTCAGATGTCGAGCGGCTGCAGCTGCAATGTACTTCTCCGTCACAGTGGGGAACACTTCTATGCCGGAACCTAATGAGGACGAGATGAGGCAACACGCGAAAGCGAATGAGTATGCGCACGCCACATGATCTGCTCCTGTTGTGCGGACCCAGTTGAAAAAGGATCGCCTGGCGGATGTGTAGACAGTGTTGTTCTGCAGCCCTTGCTGCTCAAACCGTGAATTTTCCTCAGCTTGAGTTGCATGGGCATGCAGAAAAGCTCGCAGCTCATGATACAAGTTCTGGCGATCCCAAGCACTGCTGGTCAAAACTAGCTCGTGGTTGAGAACATATGCCACGAAGCGAGTCAAAGGAACGCTGACTTCCTGGGGCGCTAGCGAATTGCTTCCGACAAGGTCACCGGTGGTTGATTGAGCATTTTTGAAGCGATTCGTGTTATTAGATGGATCGCTGCTCTGCTGTTGAACCGTGCCATCAATGATCTGATCGATTAGTTCATGTAGGATAGAGACATCTTTGATAGCAGGCGAAGCGACAGCCTCGATGAGTTCGTCGATCTGAAAGCCGAGCATAGACAACCGCATAAGGTCGTAGAGCAATGACGTAGGCGCAAAAGTACGAACCCTGTTGTTACAACCAATCCACGTAAAGGGGATGATGTTTAGATACTTGTCCTCGGCTATGTGGATCTCGTCTCTGTCAAACACTTTGAGTCGTTGGGCTCGAAGAAGCGGTATGAAAAGGCTTGATTCGACCAGCGACCCTCGGAGTACCCAGTCCGGGAGCCTGGAAAATAGTGGCGTTTGGCGCACCAGATTCGTGTACCCATTCAGCTCTGTCGCGGTGAGAGCAGGTGGGAGACTATGGCCAACAGCTCCAATGGTCTGCTTCACATGAGGAACGTTGAGAGCGGCAATCTCATACGCTTCTGCGACAAAAGCAACTCGATAAGCTGTTTTCGAGGCCCAGCCGTGATCCATTCGCTGGTAATCACGGGAGTCCAGAAAAAGAACCCCACGGTCAATAGCAGCTTGTATCTGGACCAGCAGATCCCGGAAAAATAATCCCTTTCGGGCCTCGGCTAGCGTCAGGATGGCATAACAGGTTTGCTCTGGGAGCCCGCCCCAAGAGCCGTCCTCTTCTTGCTCCATCAGCGTCCGGAAGCAAGCCTGAAACAAGGAAATGCAAACTCTCGAATGAAGTTCCTGACTGACAATATCAGAAAGGGCACCACCGTCTAGGAGTTCAAGGAACAGTGTAAAGGCTTCTGCTAAGAGCATGGTCGGATACAGGTGGCTCAGGTGCTGAGATCCAGTGTCAGAGATAAACTGACCAGTCCCGGGAAAGGAGGTACTTACCCATTTGTCCTTTACATGGCAATCACTGGACCACCAGTGTCCACAGATGTATTTGGTCGTCTTTAAGATTTGCGAATGGTAACAAGAAACATCTGGCTGGTGAAGAAGGGCGACGAGGACGTGACAGTTGGATGTGAGACTCGGATCCCGTTCTGAGCCGAATGTAATGAAATGATCCTGTCCTTCGTAGCCCTCAATCATTCGATCCGGGCTAACTTGGTGATCCAGCAGGCTTAGAGCCAAAAGGCCTTTGGCTGTATCATCCACGTCTGGGGCGCGCGGGGCTATTGCTAGGTCAGCACACAACCATATTTTGTAACGCTGCCAGTGTAGGCAAGTTGGACGGGATTTACCAAACCCAATGATGCCACCTTCTTCTTCAAAGGCCTTGCGGAGGGTATTTGCCATGCATTGTAGTTCCGCGCATTCTAGATCCAACTTGGAAAAGCCGCTCCGAAGTAGTGTCGCCAGAACCTAGATCAAACTGTCAGCTCTTCCCACCTCAGCAAGTTGATAATATTGACTTACCCAACTGTACTCAAAATGCGTTATCGGAAATGTTCCGGGGATTCCGCCGCTGCCATGCCCAGCACCGGCCTTGATAACGTGGCGGAGGTACGCTTCGGCTTCTTCGTCCCAGTGTGATGCGTGAATTAAATAGGCGGCAGTAGACGAGGGCGAAGCCATCATGGAACCTTGCCAGAGGTGATGGGAAACCTGGTCAAAGTCGATCTTGCCGACAAAGGCCTCGAGCGAGTGAATCGCTGACGATGGCTTCTGCTCGTACAAGGACTCTGGTTTGAAACGGGACATTTTTTCGTTATTCATCGCCATGAGAACCGCTTTGCAAGCGAAGTCGAAACTTAACGCCACGTCTTCCTGCTCGAGATAACTGAGCAAGGAGGGAACAATCATCTCAACACCGATGTGATTAACCTCCAAGACGTCGTTCCATGCCTCCAATTGTTTCTTAAGTGATTTAGAGCCGCTTGCAATGCGTTTCCTCAGCTCTCCAAGGGACACATTGTTCACTTGGAGTGGTTCTTTGACATGTTTGAGGAGAGCCAACAGGGCCGAAGCGGTATCCAGGATTCCTGCGGTTTGTGTTGCAGGAGGAGAGCCCCAACTGCCATCATCCACCTGTATTTCTAGCAAATAGTAGAAGCTCTCGGGGAAGAGCCAATGCTTCTTGCTGTCAGTTATCTTCATGACCATAGCTACCCAAGCTGTGTCATAGACTTGGCAGCTGGCCGTGCTAAGACCGTAGTGACGGTCGCAGCTGGTGAAACACCTGGCTATGAGTGACCTGGCGGCTGAGCCAAGAGGTCGCAAGTCGTTTCTCTTGTTTGTTTCCATCTTGAAAGTCTCTAAATGACTCTGGTTTAGCTTTACCATATACACCATGGCGACACGTGCACGTACTGGATTGCTCGTGCGGAGTAAGAAGTCAGTCGGAACGCTTCAGATGCTTTCGAGAACTTGAAGCTGAGCATCCAATAACCGGCGATGCCTTGCCTCGGGCGTTCGTGAGACTCTTCAAGTGAAAGACTGGTCAGACTCCAGCCTCGGCTTCACCGGGTGTGATTATGTGAGGTGCTGGGTTGGAGGTGAATATGTTGGGCAACGCGAAGAGCAAGAGCTTGAATGTAACCCCAGACTGGCGAATATAAGATGCCATTTGGCGTACGATGCTCCGAACCCTGCTAGTGCCTGCAGGAGCGGCGTATTTGTAAGCGGTTTGTTTGTTTTAGATATGTGTTGGTCGTACCGGTACTCTGGGAATGGAGCGGCTAGCGTTCCAAATATCGCCAACCCTGAGCCAGCACTTGCACCCACCCCCCGCGGAGTATGAATAGCATGCATGTGCACATGCGGGGCGGTTTCACTGGCATGCTCCCTTATCCTAGCGGATTCGTTCTGCATGACCCCAAGTGCGAGACAATATTGGGTGGCCTTGGTGGGTATGAAATCTCCACCCCCGCCTTATTAGGGAAAGCAAGCCTATTATTGGGCTTGCAGAGATGTGTGAATTGCGTATGTGTGTGTTCTTCTTGGGGGCGCGCCCGGGCCCCTTTTTGGGGTCTCTCGGGCTCTATTCCAATGAGTCATCTGCTTATCTCCCTATCGTACGTGACCCATGCTCCCGTTGTTCTGACAGATTGTTAACTACCCCCAAACTCTAGCTGAGACATGGACAACGCACACCCGCATTACTCGTGCCCTTCCGGTCTTCTTCGTCAATGTGGGGGTAAGATGGTACTGAAGGCCACGTAAGTCATCTACGTCAGCAACCTCAGCTCGATCTCCCCGATCAATAGCTCTTCTAGCTATTAGATTGATAGTTCAGTCTCTCGAGACTCCTTAGAAGGTCCCCGTTCGAATAGGGGATCATCCGGACCCCTCAGTGGTCTAGGAAGAAGGAATCAACAATCTGCAGACTTTCCTTACCAGTTTCAAGTTGTATTACCCAGAGAGAAGACCTAGAGACCTGAACTCTTTCGGACCTTCTTCTCGACAGAATGGGGCTGTGATAGCCTTGGGTTTTTTACAGGAGGTCATCTACTTGGGGGCCTAAAAGTCGGCCCAATCCCCGCGCATGTCAAGTCATGCACCGGGGAGGCTATCGCACGGAGGATGAGCAAGTGGGCATAAAGATCAGGGACTGGAAGACTCTTGATTCTGCTATCTAAGGTGGGAAAGAGGCGAGATCCTTATAGACTGCCTGAATATGAGAATGGAAGGGAATGGTAGTGAATGGAAGCATCTTGATCAGATCATCTGGAAGCCACTGATGCGTTGATGGTGCGTCCTAGACGTTTCTGTGGGGAAATGTGGAAACGGACTGTGCGAATAGGGGGTCAGACCTTTGGAGGCTGATATCCTATGTGTGACAGAGGCCGTTGAGTAGGAAAAAAGTCGTTGGTTGGGAAAAAAAAGGATACCTCGCACTACTAGGGGGTGCCTAAAAGTCGGCCCCCGACCCTGTTCCAAAGGGACACAGCATTGGCTCTCACAACTTAAAGGGTGCCTGTGAGTGCAGCCCTTCAAAATTCTAGACGTAAAGCTTGAAAAGTAGCCCCTTGAGAGCGTCATTTCGAAACCCCGACTCTTGCTCGATCGCTTCAACCTCTTTATCGATCTCGGACTGCAGCTGCCTCAAGGCCGCAAGTGTGTAGTTCAAACTGCCCGACTGCTCCATGAGCTGCAGGATCAGTTGTTTGTGCTCCAGCGACGACTTGCCGTTGACTCGTCTTTGGGCTAGCATGTTACGCAAAACCATGCCCTGGTCCTCTGGGAGAGAATGGAGTGCATGGATTATAGGTAGGGAGTATTTGCCCTCGTCCAAATCTTCGCAGAACCCTTTTTGTCTGGCATACTGATAGCCGAGTTAGCTACATCAGTTCTCCCCCTTTCGTTATCTCCATGCAAGATGCGACTTCCGTGGTCGGAATCACTTACGTCATTTGAGCGCAGGTTCTGGTAGTCGTCTCTAATTCCGAAGTGTCTACCAAGGAGGATGATAAGGCAACGGAGTTCGGGTTTGTTTGTCGAAAGCGATGTCGCCTCCATAAGCCTGAGGAGCATGCGGAAGATGCCACCTGTCTCTGCAACAAATTAGTAATATCACCTGAATGCTGCGAATTTATGATGGCAAGCCATACTGTTATCGACCGACTTTAAGTGTTCCCCAACGGACGGGCACACGAGATTGCAAGTCCAGTATAAGTCAAGGCTCTGGCCGATATATAGAATTTTCAACTCCTCTGTAGACAGTTCGTCAACATTCACACATAAGAACGAGGCAATGATAATTACCGAGCACAATGCTGACACAATCCATGCTACCCAGTTTGAGCACCTCATCCAATGCTTGTATGATTTTGTAACTTGCCGAATTGATGGTCTGGGCAGGTCCGAAGATGGTGTGAGTTGCGGGCATCCCTCGGCGCAAACTGGACGAATCTTGGATATCATCGAGCATCAGCGAGGACTCATGTAGCAAGGTGACAATTCGCTTGATGGTGGTTGTCGACTTTTCTGGAACATTTAACCATATATTCAGAGTATCGATAATTGTATTTCGAACTCCTTTAGCAGGGAGTGATTGTAAATATACTGCTGGCGCTTCGATCACCTTAGACAGTTAGTACAGGTTGTGGACAAAATTAGCCCTAACTACCTATAGTTCTTACTTCATCACCCAGAAGTGGTAGGTCCCTGATTCGGAGGAGTTTGTCCAACCCGAGTGCCTTTAACTCAGAAAATGGAACATTGCCGTTCTCACTGGGGAGAACCCAACCAGTATTTTCGATAGTCTGAAAACACTTTGATTCAACCCCATCTTGGTTCGCACTTGCTGTGTTTTTCAACGGCTCTGTCGTCATCTCGAATATGCAGGCATTCGAAGTCACATCATCCTGAACAGCGGTGACGTCCATATCATTGAAATCTTGATGTTGGACTTGGAGTAGGATGCTCTCGCGCAGACCCTCCCTTTCCTGTGTTGAATGATCTGCGAGGGTAGATAATTGGAACTCACGATAGAGGAACACGTAGCCTAGAACGAAGAAAACATTGACGAGAGCAAGAAATATCAGATCTTCCACTAGAGCCATGAAGTATTCTCGGCTAAGTGCCTCAAGATCGGCATCATAGTCGTCCGTGATGGATTTATGTTCCTTGTTTATGAATGGTGCTTGATGTTTTGGTCTGTGCATGGGTAACATGGGGTGGCAAGTCGTCATTGGTCCACGTGCTCCACTAGTTCTCAACCCGTTCCTGAGACACGAGGAACATGCATATAAGACGATTTGGGCGCATCTCGTTCAGCCTGATGGTTCAACGGGAATCAGTAAGCCTGGCGATGGAGGGGTTGGTCCCCCGTGTTCCAATTTCGTAACGAGATATGCCCTAAGGTTGACCGTTCCGGACTCGTTCCCCCCCGTTGTAGTAGTAGTAGTATTGATTAACGTCTGCGCGGTATCCCTATAAGGGCAAAAGACGTGCTGGGCTAGGCAGCACTATTTACATCAAACCTCCGCCGCACGTAGCCTCCACGCTGAGGACTTACGGGAAAATACCCATAGGAATCTCACTCCTATTCATAGGGCCCGACCCCAGGCCGCAGCGCCACGCACAACCTTTGTCCTCTGCAAATAGATCCTATCCAGCATTTCTCTGGCTCTTTGGCGTTCGTGTTCGGGGCCCTTCTCGTAGTCGTCAGCGACTTCCGGGCTGCTGCTCTTTCGGCCTCGACGAGCATACTCGACTTCGTATGTTCAGGACCTAAGAGGGAGCGAGGTCAACCCTCGTTTTTGCTAGCCAGAATTCTCTCACGCCTCGGCCAAGGCTGCTGCCGCAGTCTGCCCCTCGTTCCCCCCCGTTGTGAGACATCCGCAAGTCGTCATTGGTACCACGTGTTCCAAGGTCACATGGATCAGGTACAGACATCAGCTGACAACTAGTACCATTTGAGGCGTTGGCCTACAAATCTCCACACTATTGATTGGGTGCGGCAGTGGCGGCGGGGGGATGGGGCAGAAAAAATTGTGGATTTAGCGGAAGCTTGTTGTGGATATAACCACACCCTATTAGAATCATCCACGTCAAAAATCAGAGACATGGCCATGCTGTAGACTGGGTGGCGGGGCTAGCGGGAGAGCCCCTGTCTCGGATACTGTTTTTTTCAGTGAGTTATTCGTAGACTCCGAGACAAATCAGATGGCAAACCATCATTGGCCAGTGGATACCCACACTGCGGTTGTGCGACCCCACAACGCCGCGCGATAGGGCAAGCGGTGAGGAAACATCCGATTTAAGTGGGTACCCTAGTCCTTCCTCAACATGTGGGGTAGGACACACGGCCCCATGTGGTAGCACGTCGTCCGACACGCCCTTCCCAGCCAGCTCTGTTCCTTTTATCCTCAAGCCTCGGAGATATGGGCAAGCCTACCTCCTTTTGTCTAAACACTGGAAGCTATTTCTTCGGTACAAACATTTCAGATTCATGGAGCAAATCCTCATCATGTTTCAATACGCGATATCTTTGACCGGATGAGAACTTTTTCTGCTCATTGCGGTCATAATTCTGTGTGCAGGCTCGTTGCGCAATTACATCCCCTGAGCATCACACACTTGCGATGCTCTACCCCAATCAGGAATTCGTTTCATTGAAACGCCCACATTGCCTCAGCCGCTCGAACCCTCAGGCAAAGAGGGGGGAGGAAGCTGACCTGCTGTACACGCTGCGGGGGCGCTAATAATACAACGTGGACGAATGGTAGTAGTAGTAGTAGTAGTAGTAGTAGTATTGATTACCGTCTGGGACATCCCTATAAGGGCAAAAGACGTGCTAGGCTAGAGAAGACTAGATACATAGAATATCCCGAGTACCTGGACTAAGGACCGTGTGTAGCACCTAACCACTCCATCTAGCAATTCTGAGGCTCTGAGGCCGGTCGGAAATTCAGGGCCCTTCCCCGTCAGCGGGTTCCAGGCACGGCAGTGAAGCCGTAATAGTAGTCAGTCTTTGGCCGAGGCCGGGTGACTGAGAAAGCCCACGAAGTCATGGGCCGGCCGCAAGCCCTCGAGGAGGGCCTACGGGGCAGAAAGAAAAATAAAAGAAAAAGGGAGCAGAGAGTGTAGCAATGTTAGTCGGGGGTTCGCCCCGATGGCGATTGTCTTCTCCCGCAGGAGCGTTCGATCCGGGACCACTTCGTGGTCATGACAGTTGGCGAAGTCCCCGTGCCTGCTCCTCGTAGCAAGCAGGTGGTAGAGGTCTTGTCGATTGGTGTGCAGCTCCGGGGGGCACCCGGGTGAGGCCTTGAGCTCTAGGCTCTTGTAGCTCCTCGGGGCCCCCGCGGCCCACCAGTCCAGAGGAAGTCGTGGCCGCTGGGCGGCAGAGGTCAGGGCCGCAAGGCGGCAGAAGTCGAGGCCAGCCAGTAAAGGCGGCAGAAGAAGGCGATGCCGCGAGGCGGCAGAAGGCGAGGCCAGCCAGTAAAGGCGGCAGAGGGTGCGAGGCAGCGCGAGGCGTGCCAGGAAGGACGAGAAGAAGTCGGGCCGCGAGGCGGCAGAGTCAGTCAGGGCCGCGAGGCGGCAGCAGAGGTCGGGCCGCAAGGCGGCAGAAGTCGAGGCCAGCCAGTAAAGGCGGCAGAAGAAGGCGATGCCGCGAGGCGGCAGAAGGCGAGGCAGCGCGAGGCATGCCGTTATTCGAGACCAGCTTCCCATGAGGAGACGAACTCTCCAAAGTCTGCCTTTGGTGCTTGCTAGAGCCCCGTTAGGGCTGGAGAGGCAGAAGCATGGTCGGGTGACCTGAAAATAATTATCCACTAACAGGCTGCTAACAGCCCGCAGAAGAGAAGAATTTTTACAGGGGAGAGTTGACGTGGACGAATGGTACTCGTCCCACAGACCCACGTAAAGTGGGTCCTCACCACCTGTCTGTGTCAACCACCTGGCTGTGTCACTTTACGGCTTCAACGCCAACTTAATTTAATAATAAAACGGCAAAAAAAAGTTAAAAATTGATGCATACGATAATTGAATACTGGCCGCAATAGTCTACCTATTTTTTGACTTTTGTAGCTTATAAAGCTGATCGTTAGGCTTCTTTTTCGGCTTTCTTAGCCGCCCGGGCTCGAACGTGCGCGGGGTTAAGGGATTTACCGGTGATCTGCCGGATCCCGTGACCCGTCGGACTTACACGCCGCCATGGTCGCCATGGCGTAGTGGTGACACGTCTGGAACCTCTGCGTCCGTCGCAGAGGGGTCGGTTCGAAGCCGGCTGGAGGCACCCCTGAGCGAACAGGGTACACCCGGGTTCCCGCCCGTCAACAGGGAACAGCGTCATGAGAAAACACAATCGGCGTACCAACCACCATCAATGACTAACACAACCACGCTTCAACTTCGACACATCGCGCTTCAGTTGCTGGGAATAGGATGCTGAACACTTGGAGAAATTGACCTTCAAGCAGGTCTGTCATGGAGCGAAACAGTGGTACGGTTGGCGCAGCGTAAGATGATCGATCTGTGGGGCTTGGGGAGTCAAGGAACAAACGTGTTGAACTGTACTCTCTAGACAGTGTAAAGGCCTTATAGGGACCTCCCTCCGGGCGAAATAAATCCTACTACTACTACTACCTACTACTACGCCGCCACGAGCTCGACATCAATCCACAATAACTCCACAGCAACGGGGCTCGATTTTCCCAAATTTAAAATGCGACGAAAATGCAATTGTAATATATACATCATCCTGTTTCACAGTCCTTAAGCCACTGTGGTCGCTTGCTATTCCGCTGCGGGCGTCCCGAGCTCCGATATGCCACTACCATCTCCCGATCACTCTCAACAGCTAGAGAAGGTCGTTGGGCACGAGCTGTCTGGTCTGGCGGAATCCTTACCTTCTTTACTAACCCGTCCTTTGGCTGATCTGGCGGCTGCGATGTTACCGGAAGCTCTGGGGTTGGTGGAAGAGCGACGACTATTTCGTCTAGAGTCCCTGGACTCTTCTCTCGAGCTTTAGAAGGCACCCGCTGGGGCCGCGGCTTCTGTTGCGCACTTTCCCTGCTTATACCTTTGAGATCGTCTCGAAGTTGTCGACTGGCCGCTTTCTCTTGCTTCTTCGCTTCTTTTTCCTGCAATTTTCGCTCCCTTTTCTCCTCTCGCTGCTTCTTTCTTTCCAACGCCTCCTCTTTTTGCTCCTCCGCCTTTTTCTGTCGCTGAACCCTCTGGAATTCCCTCTGGATTGCTTCCTCTTTCTTCTGGACCTCCATCGCCGCTTTCTTCACTCGAGCTTGAGCCACTTTTTGCGGGCTGAAGACCTGAGCAGAGTTAGGATCCGTACGGTCAAAGAGATAATCTTTCAGAGCTGTACCACGCTGCCTGCGCTGTTTCTCATGAATTATAGTCTCACGGAGTGTGAAAGGCTGGCCCGGAGTTTATTCAACAAGCAGGTGCCTAGGTGTTGTCTATCTAGAGCTAAGGAGGAAAAGAAGCTGAACTCGAGGCGTAGCCTCGAGTGCGAGCTTATATTGCCCTTCTCGGAATGTTCTCGCAGCTTCTGGGTCCGCGGGCGCGGCCGGTGTTGCCACCGGGCACGACCCACCGGACCCGGTACAACCGGGTCCACCAGCCGGGCACAGCCCGTGACATTACACCCCTTGTCCCCTCCGACCAGGTCGGCGTCTGCGGGGTTCTTGCGTTCCTGCCAGCGTCTCGTACCTCTCCCTAGGGCCATCATTGGTCTTGATTGGCCCGTACTTGTCCTCGAATGCCTTCATCGCAATTGTTCCTTGCAACCACTCAACTGGCTCCCAAGTCGGCTCTGCGTAGCCCGTCCATCGCACTAGTGCTTGCCTGAATTCCCCTCGTCCGCGCTTCTTCCATCTCGCGCAGAGAATCTCGTCGACATCCACAGATCCGTGCCGGACTCATCTTGTACCGGTGGTGGCTGTGCGTCATCTACCTTTGGCCAGGAGCCGGATCTTGATGCGCCCTCCGCAAAGGTCAACATGGAATCGCGGGTAAATTGAACCACGAACATCGAGTTCAACGACGTGCGAACTAATTACCTTCGTGACTGTGTACTTGTGATGCAGCCAGTCGAGCTTCTTGCACGGTCGTGGTGATCTGTAGTTTGCCATCGAGAGCCACACCTTGTCACCAACTTCAAACCGCTCCGCAGGCTGTCGCTTTGCGTTGGCTGCCTCTTCTTGTTGTTGCTGTGAGGCGGCCATCACTGCTTGCATGTACTCATTGACCTCCTGCAGGCGACTGAGTAGGCCATCAGCTCTGCTTTCCTCTCTATCCCTTGGTGGCTCTTCCGATTCTTCGACGCTGATGGGATCGACGTGGTAACCATGCTCAGCGAAGAAGGGGCTGATCTTGGTCGCTGCGGATTCGCGATTGTTGAGTGCCAGCTGCGCGGCAGGGAGCAATTCTCCCCAGTCGTCCTGCACGTACGACACGTAGGCTCTCAGGTAGGCCTCAATCTCCTGGTTCATCCTCTCCGGTCCCCCATCGGTTTGCGGATGATACGCGGTGCTGAGCCGCTGCGATATACCCGAGAGCTGGCAGAATCTCTTCCAAAATCGGCTCAACCAGTTGCTTCCGCGGTCGCTGACAATTGAGCGTGGCATCCCGTGGAACCTATAATGACACTGGAGAAAACGCTGTGCACACGACTCAGCTTCCATGGTGTCCATCACCTCGAGGGTCACAGCCTTTGTCAGTCTGTCCACAATCACCCACAGGTACCTTGCCTTGCTCGGTCCCGTAGGCGGTAGGTCTGTGATGAAGTCCATGGACAAATGACTTCGGGGTCGATCTGGAATTGGCAGAGGCTTGAGAAATCCCCTTTTTGACTGACGCCAGATGTGTGCTCTGCCGCAGGTGTCACAATTGGCCACGAACCGGCGAACTAACTGGGACTGTCCGGGCCAGTAAAAGCGGCGTGCCACAATGGCCAGCGTACCTTCCCGGCCGGGATGGCCGGCCGCAACAGAATCATGCGACTGCTGCACAATGCGGGTTCTCAACTGGTCTTTCTCAGCTTCTTCCTGGTTGCCCTTCTCTCCAGATCCACCGGGCACCCAGATGCGGTTTCTGAATGTCAGCCTTTGGCCTGCGTCGATCGCGCATTCTGAAATCTGAATCTTCAGGCCCAGCCAGGGCGGGAAGACACGCTCGCGATCGCGGACTGCCTTATAGGCTGCCCGGAATATCGAGTCCTTCTCCGCCGTTTCGTCCCAGAGTTGCTGAAGGTCTGCTTCCTCGAAGACCTTCATCTCCGGCAGGGTAAATGTCTCTGAACAGTCAGAACTCATCGCGTTGATACGTGCTCTTGTCGATGATGGAATCGCACTGTCCGGTATCAACTGTATCATTCTTCCTTGTTCCCGCTCGTCGTCGATGCCCTGTGGCTTGTCTTGTTCGCGGCGGGACAACGCATCGGGCACGACGGCCTCGCTGCCCGGTCGATACTCGAACTTGAAGTCGAACTGGGACAATTCGGCTGCCCAACGGCTCTGCCGTTCCGAGAGCTTCTGGCGTCTCATGAAATACTCCAGGTTGCGGTGGTCGGTAAGGATTGTAAATGGGCCGCAGCTCCTAAGTTCTTCCAGTTGTCGAGACATCTCATGATGGCAAGCATCTCCTTGTCGTGAATGGGATAGTTGTACTCCGCTGGCGAAAGTCGCTTCGAGAAGAAGGCGCATGCGTGTCGACGTCCATCTGGGCCTTCCTGCGACAGGACGCCTCCCAATGCGTAGCCTGAGCAATCCGTCTCCAAAAAGGTCGGGAGGCTCGGGTCCCACTGCTTGAGCACCGGTGACTCGCAAAATCGTCGCTTCAGCTCCTGAAACGCCTCGTTCTCCGCTCGTCCCCAATGAAAGGCAGTTCCTTTCTTAAGCAGGGCATCCAGAGACTGCGTGATCTTGGCATAGTCGGGGATGAAGATCCGGTAATAGTTGGCGAAGCCCAGAAAGCTTCTGACACCCTTCACCGTGGTCGGGCCTCCCATTCGCGGATGGCGCGCTGCTTTTCGGGGTCGCAGGCGATTCCTTTCCCTGCGTTGACGATGAACCCAAGGTATTTGACCTCTTGTACCGAAAACTCGCACTTCGCTGGGTCTAGGTGCAGCCCAGCGTCGGCGAGTGCTTGGAGAACTCGTCGCACCTTAGCCTCATGATCCGCCTTCGAACCGCTCGAGTAGATCAGTACATCATCCAGGTACGCTGTGACAAAGTCGTCCAGCCATTCGCGCAATACACTGTTCATGTATCGTTGGAATGATGCCGGGGCGCCGCTCAGGCCGAAAGGGCACACGAGCCACTCGTAGAGCCCAAACCTCGTGCGAAATGCAGTCTTTCCCTCATGTCCCGGAGCCATGCGGATCTTATGGAAAGCGGCCACCACGTCCAACTTGGTGAACCACTTAGCCTTGGCCAGATTCTGCAGGGTCTCCGCGATGAGGGGCAGTGGGTATCGGTCGCGCTTGGTGATTGCATTCAGCGCTCGGTAGTCGCAACAAAATCGCAGCCCTCCATTCGGCTTCCGCACGAACAGCACCGGCGCGGCAGCCGCTGGGCTACTCGCTCGGATGAATCCTCTGTCCAGCAGGTCTTTCAGGGTCTTTCGCAAGACCAACAGCTCTTCTCGTGACATGTTGTAGAGTGGGCCCCACGGAAGGGTGGCTCGTTGCCGTTCTTGTCAGGCTGCAGGTTGACTTCATGATCCACACCCGGTCGATGTGGCGGCAGCTTCATTGCCTCTTCTGGTGAGAATAGGTCGCGGAATTCTTTCAGCACTTCTGCCGGGACCTTCTCGCTCGGATCGACTGGCGGCTTCGGCTGAAGCGCCCTCTCTATATCCGACAAACTGATTGCATGAATCGAGATCGCGTTGCACTTTTTGCGTCTCTTTGCGCGTCGACACTCCGCCGTGAATACGGCTGCCGACACGAGTCTTGCGCTTCGAATCGCGCGTATCTTGGCGGGCTCTTCCTGCCCAATGAGGCGTATCGTCACACCTGCCCTCCCATGGTACATTCGCTTCTTGGCAGCATCGTACACGACGTGATTTCTCTCCATCCAAGGCCGGCCGAGGAACATGTCCTGGCCCAGGCTTGGGATCACGTATGCAAAGACACGTTCGTCAAATCCAGCTGTCTCGACCACAACAGCCACGACCCCTGGGGATATGACACTCTTCGCTGACTCTGAGAATCCCCCAATTTCTCGTGGTTTCGAGTCGACGAAGGGTATCCGCAGCTTCCGAACAAGGGCTTCGTCGATCACGGCATAGCAGTCACATCCACAGTCGACAAGGGCGCGTATTCGATAGCCTCGGTTTACCCGCGCGTTGACTAATACAGTCCGACTATTCATTCGTGGCTTGAACGCTTCCCAGTCCCGGATGTCTGCCTTTGCAGGCCCCGGCGCCCGCTTTCGCCCGGGGCTAGTCTTTTCCCGCCGACTCGTCCTCACTGGATGCTGCGGTTGATTCCGAATCATCTGCGGCATCGGGCTTCTTCATGCGCGCAGCTTTAGGTCGCTGTTGCTTCCCTTCGCCAGGAAAGACCACCTGGGCTGGGCAGTCCACGATAAGATGATCCGTCCGACCACAGCGATAGCAGCGGCGCTCATCCTTCGGCTTCTTATCGACATGTCGACGACCCTTCGACTCGTGGCCAATACGGTTGATGTCCGTCATCTTAACATCTCCGTCGGGGTCCTCCGGTTCCTCCTTGGGTCGTTGCCTTGGTAGCTGTTGAGGCGTCCGCTCAGTCGACGTCGGCTGCCTACCGGGTTTCAGTCTCTCCAATCTGCCCGCAATTTCCTGAACTCTCGCAAGCCATCCCTGGTAGTCGTCGGGTAGGACGGCTGTGACCAAACTCTCTTGGAGGCGTGCATTTATTGCGTTCTCTAGAAATACGATCTTTGCACTGTCCGGCCAGTCTGCTCCCCCGGCTTCAGCTAATGCCTGTTCGAATCGGGGAAGGAAGGACGCGAGAGGTTGGTCTTCGCGCTGCCGCATAGTTCTCAGCGTGGCAGCAGCGCGGGATTGGATGTTGCTGTCCTGGTAGGTTCGGTCGAGGTATCGCATGAACTCTTGGGGTCGTAGCTACCCCAGGGCCTCCGCGGCGTAAAGGTAGCGACCACTTGCTGTGGTCGCTCGTCCAAACATGAGTTGATGAGGTACCAAAGTTCGCGATTTCCACTGTAGTAGTGTGCATCAAGGTCCAGCTTGTCTCGCATCTGCCTGGCCCAGGCGGAGTAGCTCTTCCGTGAGCCGTCATGCTTGGGTGGGTTGGGCAACGGTTTCCGCATTCCAGTACCGCAGGTTTTGGGAGGGCGTGCCCAAGCCAGGCGTGCTCTCGCCCAATCCTCGTGCCACTGGCGGCGATTGCAAGTCGGCGCTCTGCGGCTGCGCTCGCCCGAGTTGCTCCATCAGCAAGGAAAGTTGGTCCTGTAGAGGGCTGAGAGTCGCATTGACCGCTTCTTGAATGCGTTGGTCAATCCATTGCTGCTGGAGACTTGGGCTCTCACTCTGCTGGTCCATCCTGACGAGCAGTCTGCAGCTTGCGGTATTTAGAAGGAGCTCTAGATATGTGAAAGGCTGGCCCGGAGTTTATTCAACAAGCAGGTGCCTAGATGTTGTCTATCTGCGAGCTTATATTGCCCTTCTCGGAATGTTCTCGCAGCTTCTGGGTCCGCGGAGCGGGGCCGGTGTTGCCACCGGAGCACGACCCACCGGACCCGGTACAACCGGGTCCACCAGCCGGGCACAGCCCGTGACACTTTCAGGGCCTTTGTGAATGTCTCGTGGGACTCTTGGAGTGTGTAGAACTCAATATCACGCCCCGTATGTTGTAGCCAAGGCTTGAAATTCATCGTCTTGAGTTTCCCGTTGACTTCCTGCTTCTTGCTAGCGCTGTAATCCGCCCTTATACCCGCCATCTCGTCGCGAATTCGTTTGAGATGCATCCGTAGCTCTCGCCGGGTTTGCCGCTTGGTATGCTGCTCGAGACTGCATTCGTATTCGCGCTGGATGTCCTCGATGTTGCAGCTCGTGATGAATTGACCGGACGGCTTAACGATCTTGCCTCGCTTCTTCCTGCTTGCCCACGCTTCTATACGGCTATTTCGGTCCTTTATAAAGGATTGGACTTGAGATTGCAGGATGAGGGCTTCTGTCACCACCTTAGCAGTCTGACGCAAACCCTCACGAGTTGGTGAACTCAGTACGTCATGGTACCGCTGCCTAATCCTGTTCGTAGTATCCGCAGCGATCTGGAAACGGGCTTCATTAGGCAAAAGTGAGTTATAAGCCGGGTTCACAAGTCTCTGCTGCCGAAGCTGCTCGTTGAGAAGCCTTGCAACAACGGGTTTTGGTGTCACGGGTAAAGACCTGTTTTTTCGAAGCCCGCAATGATGTTATGGCGCGTGAACCCAGCCTCGTAGACTTTTTAAAAAGCGTTGAGGAAGTCAACCCGCGAGAAAGCAAGGTGGCCCTCTGCGAGTGTTTTTCGTAGAGCTTTCTGGTGTGCCGCTTTCAGTGGTTGGAAAACACCAACATCTAGCGGCTGCATGATGTGTGTGGAATGAGGGGGGAGAATGGCGATGATGATATCAAATTTGATGCAGTATTCAGCGAATTCGAGAGTCGTGTGCCCTGTGAAGCCATCTACAACGAGCAACCGGAAAATCCTATCTTTCTCGTCCCGTTGGGTCGGAGGTGCCTCAACCGTCGTCATCCCAAGGTTTGGAACACGAAGATGCTCATCACAGCCAAACCATTGTTCTAGTGACTTCCCAGAGCGTTGTGCTTGCGCTGAGGATGCCCAGGACCAGCGATTGAAGTGCCTCGCCCATTCGAGATGTATCTGAGCGTTGCTGAAGCCGGTTGGTGATTGAGCAAAGCGGACGCCACTATCAATAGCGATACCGGCCCAATTCGTGGTAGGGAAATGCGCGAAGATGATCCAGGGAGGAAGAGAGTCCCCTGCAGCATTGATCGTGCCAATAACTGTGCAGGATTCTCGATTCGCCGGATCGAGAACTTCCACCCGACTCTTCACGCGTGTGGTGCGGGTCACGAGAACGTGTACGCGTTCTCGCAAGCAGCCGATCCGAATGCCGGCTTCATCTTCATTCCAAATCTCCGATGCCCCAATGCGAAACTTCTTGATAGTCTCGTCGAGGTTAGAGAAGAAGTCATTCACTTCCTCAACACTCTGCGCTTCAAAAGACTTCCGTGCTCTCTCGACGGCCTTCAAGTAGGTCTTCTTGACCTCAGGGTGACTTTGGCGCCAGCCTGCGAGCCAGTTCTGAGACATAGGTCTTGATGATGGATCTCGTCGCTGCCTGATTGTATTTGCGGCAGCCTCAAGCTGCTCCTTTCCGCTGGAATACCAGTACGCTCCATCCACTGTATGTACGCCACAAGGGCGTTATCTTCATCCTCAGTCAACGCAGTTGGGCGCCCCTGACCTCGGGCAAATGGGTTTTCCAAAGAACGGATGGCCCTCTCGACAGCGCCTCTATTGACTTTGTACCTAGAAGCCGCTTTGCGGATAGAAAGGGGGGTTCGTTGTGGTGTTGTGGCACGACGTAGGGCCGCTCTAGGCGGCCGGCGAGAGGCTATGACGGCTCGCGCGGCGGCTAGGGCATTGTCATTGGGAGTCATACCGTATGAAATAGAGAATAACCTCTCAAGTTGGTTTGGGTTGAAAAATATGCGTTGACGGCAATTGAGTAGGGGTGATAGACGAAGGTGAATTTTTTGAAGATTTTGAATGAAGGATGAATCAAATGAATTGAATTTTTTGGATCTTGATTCAAAATCTTCAAGCTCCAATTTTCGCGATTCAAGTTGGGTTTGGGCCAATTCAGGCCATTCATGAATAGTTTGAAGGAATCCCCTAAACGAAGTGAATTTGGTGTGTACCTAAGCGATTGCAAAGATACCTCGAAAACGCCAATAAGTAGTATATGGTTTTATAGCCTTCTGGGAAGTCTCTCGATAATCTCGAATATTACAAAATTAACTTACATAAATACTGATCCGCCCGTCCTAGGCAAATGGACCGAAAATAAGCACTTTCAAAAGCTCTGCCGAATCCTCAAAATATATCGGTCCAACGCGTTCGAATCCGCGATTGTACACAGTTACACACTTGTAGAGCCTCAATCCTCCGAAGCCTCCATTGTATCTGGACAGGGGGTTGATATCGCAGACTTATCGGCTTGGGAGGCAGGAGGTTTGGGGTAGGAGGTTCGGCGGGAGCCTCGGTAGTAGCCTCGGTGGGAACTTCCGCCGGAGCAGGGGGTTGAGGAGGAGGATTCTCGCCTGAACGCAGATTAGCATATACACAAACAATGAGGGTATATTCACACCATCTACCAGCTTGCCCGGAAATTGGAATGTGGTCTGGTCTTCAAATAATAGAGCGTGCCGTTGTTGGCGGCGTTGTCTCCCGTAATGGCGAGAAGCTTTGGCTTGAGCCTGAGCTCCTCAAGTGTCTTCTCAACTATCTCGTGTTTGCCAGTGTGAGATTTTTGAGCTCGATAAACTCAATAACCTCCTCTCTCTCAAACTCCGGCGTAATCCAGTGCGTAATAATGGCGAAAATAGGCACCGATTCGGTGCTGTCCAGATATCAAGGGTGAGCGAGATGGTAGCACAATTGTACTGAAGCTCGATCTTCAGCTTCTCTCTGCGTTCCACAAAGTCTGTGTAGATGTGATTGCGTAAGGTTATACGGCTCCTGTACACACAGGTTGTATTGTGAGCCAAGAACATCTCTTGGAAAGCAGGAGTCTCAAGTTCTCAACAACAGAGAAGGGTTGTCGGTGTTTTACAAACCACTGGCGGATAGACTCCTTTGCCGTGAGCCTTGCTCTTTGCCTGGGTCGACCGCTCCATGCATCTACCTCTGTATAATCTCCTCCACCAATGGCGCGGCCGTATCCATTGATTCGACCGTGGTGAGACTCCTTCGTAATACTGTGGGATTTTAAATGGTCTCCCATGCCAGAGGTAACCCCTCGGCGGTTCGATTCAAGGACCTGGAATATCTTCCGAAGAGTAGAAGGATTTTGAAGGCACTCTATACAAGTCCACCGGAACTCTTGGAATATTTTCGGTCCATCCTTGTACTCCGAGTAAAAGCTTCTGTCTATGGCTTCCCTCTGCATATACCAATAAACGTGGCTATTCTTGTCTCTCTTCTTGCGAACATGCTTCTGTTTGTTGTCGGCCCACTTCTTGATAAGTCTGGCTTTCTCTGCGAGCGTCATGTGACTACCGGTACTGTTCAATGGCGGCTCTGATGTATCCGCGTCAGGCATGTCATCATCTGACTCACAGTCAGGATGGCCCGGGGCGCGCAGACAATCGTATCTTTGCCAGTCGGAGGAGGACGAAGGAGCCGGGTTGTGCTAGGATCAGGGCGCGCGCGCGGGACTCTGCGGGTTGAATTGAGGGCGTTCAATGCGGGCATAACTCTGCGTTGGCAATTTACGCCGGGTCCTAGGAGCAAAGAAATTCGCTGCGGCAGCTGTTTTCGATTCAGCAGGGGCCATACTATGTATCATGTTATAATTAGCTATCGGTTGGACAGTAATGAAGTTTTACCTGGTCTAGGCTAAAAGGCTCGAGAATGGACGTGAGACAGGTAGTCGGGACGACACCAAATAACCCACAATAAAGTATAACGGAGTCGAGGTTGAACGGGTGGGATAGGTCGTCGGGCAGGACGTTGATTCGGGGGCCGACCCGAAGCCGCTGTCGGAAACATCGAAGCAGGAATTAGGCGAGATCGTCGTAAAATAATGTCGTGGCAGTTGTCGCGAAGACCGTTGCCCAATGCAGGCAAAAAAATGTGGGATGGGCTGACGACCGTGTCTTTCCGACAGTAGAATTAACAGGTGGTCAATTGAGCGCGAATAACGCGTCTAAACGCGGCTAGTTGGCACAACATATCCTTATCATGCAGATGTTTCGGTACTTTCTGATCGGGCTAGTTTGTGTGGACAAGCAAGTAGCAGTCATATTGGGCTCGATGAGTAGATAAGTCCCTAACAGTCTCCAAATCGCGAGATGACGCAATTCGTGTCACGTCAATTGTTCGCGCAGTATTGAGACGTTGAGGATCTGAACGCGTTTTTCTAATCAGTTTGCCGGAGGCTGTTTAACAGTATAAGTCTTGTATTATATTTCAAAAATTTGGGCTGCCGAGCTTAATCTGTGCTTGAGATGTAGTTTTGCAAGTAGCAAATGACCGATCTATTTATTGCCTTCAGGATGATGTGGCATTTCTTGAGCAAATGTTAAGCACAGATATCGAGAGTTATATCACCCGAACCAGAAAATCCAGAACATTCGAGTGATACTACATTTAAATGGTGTGCATTATAAAATGGCACTGTTCATAAGCTTCATGGTTTTTTTGATACTCCGTATAGGGTGGCAAGACTGCTGAAACGGTGGGCGTATCAGGCACTGTTAGGGTCGTTATACCAACATATATGGACGCCCTAACTACCCCACTTCCAACCCACTGGGATTTTCCCAGTGGAGTGTGAACGGCGGAATCCAACTGAAACACGCACAACAGACTTTTAAATACGCAGTGCGTCATCGCATGGGCGGCCGATTTCGAAGTTACCATGTCCGCGCGGGCGAACCCTTGCTCCTGTCAGAACGGTGGTTCTGTGGCGTGCCTAATGGGGAAAGTGCATTGTGGAATCTATTGGTATTGTGGGAATCATGCTCGTCAATTGTATCTAGATCACACGGTCAGCATGTGGCCTTAGGGTCACGTGTGCGGCTGAGGCTTGCGTGGCTATATCTTCCACGCTGGCCTCTCCCTCCCTAGATAGAAGACAATCCTCATAGCATAATACGACACACCGGTTGAACGACGTTCCCAGTTTGTCTCATGCTCGAGCCCTGCCAACAGGTATGATGGGGGTCAAAGCAGCTTGTTTCTTGATGTGTACGTGTGTGTCTGCTTGTTGGAACGGCGCAGCAGGAAGGGCGGCATGGGTCACCTGCCAGGTCACGTGGGGCATTCAGCCGAGATTTCTGCGGGCCCAAGGGCACATTCCTAGCCGGAAGGGGGCAACACACATCGCCTTTACACACACACAGCCGTGCATATAGCTCCAATTGACCTCTTCTGTGTGCCCACTATCGTTGCCACCTTCCTCATTCGGACGAGCCGCAGAACCGCTGTTTCTGACACTGCTCAGAAAGAAAAGGAGGCCCTTGGTGGGTGGCTTTGGGCATTAGCCCATTCCTCCCCTGTATGCCCCCTTGGCTGGCAGCTGCGAAGCGGGTGATCCTTTTTCACCGTATATTTCGACCATATCGCCATTCATTCAAGATTTTGATGAATGAATTGAATAAAGACTCCTGATTTTTGATTCATCGAATTTGAAGACCTTACCCGATTCGGCTTCATTCAATTCAAGGGTCCCGAGGCCGATTCGACTTCAAAATCTTCAAATATCAGCCCTACAATTGAGACGGTACTCAAAAGAGAGGCGACTGTCACGGAATTTTTGTGGTGTCACAGGTCCCGGGGCCGGCTGACCGGTCATCCGGTAATCGGATTACCGCCCCGCCCCACGCAAAACCATGTCGTTTTCCAAGGCCCGGCCCTGCGGGGCTGGCGTTTTCTTAGTCGGATTACCGCCATCGGACGGCAAAATCGAAGGTCCACGCCCGCGGGGCCCTGCGCGAGCCCTTCGATTTCGGTCTCGCTCCCGCGCGTTGCGCTCCCCCCCCCCCCCCCCCCCCCCCTCCCCCCCCTCCTCCATTGCCACCGTCGCGACGGCGACCGCCTGCACCATGTCAAACGCGATAGAGGATCCCCGGGTCAGGGCGGCCATTGAGCACTACCTGTTAGATCTGGAGAACACCCAGCCGAAGAATACGAAGCGAAATTATCGTCCCAAGCAGGAAGAATGGAAGGCAAGCCCGCATGCGCGCCCTGCAATCTTCATGTAGATCCATGCATTGACCGCCTCACAGGAGTGGTGTCAAGCCAACTGGCCTGCGATCCCGGACGTTTGGCCGGCCTCGGTACCACAGGGCCAACAGCTACCCGGAGACCTGGTCGATGAAGGAAAGCTCTTGCTCTTCATGAAGGAGGTAGTGGCATCACGTCCTCCAAAGAAAGGAAAGAGGGTCGCCGATGAAAGAAAACGACACCTCGAGGATCAGGGGAGTTGGAACTCTCAGAGATGTGTATGCGCCGGCGCAGATACCCGACCACACCAACGTGGCATGGCCCGAGAGGAAAGAGATCGCCTGCGCCCTGAGGACGCAGGTGGACTTTCTGCTCGGGAACCACATGCTGCTGCGGTCCGGCAACCGCCTGCCGATGGAGTTGGCAGACTGCTTTCCCCTGGACTTACCCAACGAGGGCTGCAAGGCCCAGGGGTATACCACGAAGGCGCTGGTTGTCGTGATGAACTGTGGGAAGACCAACCAGCACGGCCGCATGGAGTATGGATCTGCTTTGCGGCATCGAGATCCGCGGTCTTGTCTCATCGGCGCCCTCGCGTTCTGGCTTTTCTGGCGCTGGCAGGTAGAAAAGGCGGAAAGGTTTCCGTCTTCCAAAGAAGCGAAGACTGGTATGAAACGAAGGTGCTCCGCCGATCGGCGAAAGAGCCTCAAGGTAAGCGTGATGGCATTCACCGGAATCCCATAACTCAGAGGTGCATCGACCCTTTCACTCACCGAATATACAGCTCCGTTGTCGGGCCAGACTGCCCGAGAATGGACGTCCAGGTTCTACAAGAAGGCCGGCATCAAGGTCTCCAAGGTCAGCCACGCGCCTAGAGTGGCCGCGACGCAAAACGCCGACATGGCCGGAGTGGATGAAGGCCAGGCATGTCATCTGCCCTAGGCAAGCCGCCAACCCCCTGGCCTGGGCTGACCCGAACTATACAGATCCGCCGAGCCGGTCGTTGGAATAACGGAGACCAAATGACCGGCTGCTATCTGACTTCCCTGCCTTTCGAATTCATGAGGGCCGTGGCCGACTTTGACCCTGAATGGTCGGGGTCTTATTTCGTGCCCGGGCCACCGTAAGGCCGCCTGTGGTGCTACTCGTGCAGGTCTGGCCTCAACTCGACAAATGGAAAGAGGCCCACAGTAGCCCTTTCTCAGATCTGGGGGTGGAGCAGAACATGGCCGCCGGCGCCTTCTTGGAACTCCTGGAGTGGCTTCGAGAGGTGCTCCTGCAGGACGCTGTCTTCCTTCGCGAGTCCTACCCCGACCATCCTATCTTCCAGGATCCGGTCTTCTCTTGCCCCGAGTTTGAAGCGTTCGCCAGCAAAGTTCAAGACACATGCACACGGGACCACGAAGACAGCCATACCACGGTCATTCAAAAAGCGATGCCGGTGGTTGCGGAGAAGCTGCGCACAGTACTGACTCAACAGGTCGCAGCCGAGCAGTTAGCTGAGCGAAGACATCTAGACCTTTTGGGGGCTTCTTACGAACTATGCACAAAGTTGGATGAGTTTGCGCAGGCGACCTACACCGTCACCTTCAGCCCCGGCCAAGGTGCTGCAGGTCAACATGCGGAGATCGCGGGAGCTCATCAACAGAGGCGCCGCGCTCCACGAGAGACGGTCCTCAGGTCCGAGATAGGCCCTTCGCAAGCGGGCGGTCCGACATACGCTCCGCTCTCTCTAGAGCAGCAGCAGGGAATGGTGCAAGCGGGCCAGGCAAGCCCCCAGGGAAGAGCGCATGGCGAGCCGCCTGGGCCGCGCGAACCTCCGAGCTTCAAGCTCCCCGTTCTGTCAAATCTGTACAGGAGCTGCTGCGTCTCTGGCGGCAGGGCTGGGGCGAAATGCCTTCTGTGGATTCTCTTGAGCGAGACTGGGGTGCTCGATGGCGGCCATCTGCAGAGAAGAATTACCTTTCCACGCGCAAGATCATCGTCGATGAGGTTCGGAGGCGGGCCCAGTCGGACGGCTTAACTGAAGATATCGTGGCGAGGCAAATGGACGAAGAACGTGGTGGACCCAGCTCTTTGGATAAGTTGTTCAAGGCCATCCGAAAGGACAGGCAAGGCGAAAAAGGGACACAAACGTGCGTCGGGGCAATTCAACGTCGGTGGTAGCGAAAAGTCGATGGCGCAGTGATTTTGAACACCCGTCTGATAGAATGACGAGGACCTTGGCGGCGAAAGTGCCCCCAGGCCGTCAGGGGCTGCGTCGCTACAGTCAGCGGTAGTGGCCTGTAGACAGGGTATGCATCCGCTAAGCGCCGCTGTAGCTCCAGTGCGTCAAGGCTAGAAAATGCTTCAAATCACCGCAACCTCGCAACCGACAGGATGTAGGACCTTAGACAGGGTGCATTCTGATCGCACAAACGCAGGCTATCCAGTCGAACTGGTTTTCTCGTCGTCGGTCCCGGCTTTCGCGCTTTATGGCGCTCCGAAGATGACATCAACCCGGCAGAGGTGATGTCAAGGGCAAGCGGGTAATCGGCGGTAATCTGCGGGGTAATCCGCTGACCGCCCACCAAAGCCGGACCTGTGACATCCACTTGATCTCACGGGCGGTAGTCAAAGGTGTGCACATTGTATATATATCGGAAAATAGGTCGGGCCGGGCGTATTGATATATTTGAACGACTCCAAGGAACGCAGCTTCCAGCGTGGGCGGCAGCCGCGGCGGCCACGGCGTTGGGAACGCGCCGCGCCAAATTTTGGTGGGGCTCTCTTCCAAATGGGGTTTAAGTCGGAGTGCATGTTTGAAAATCAGGAGTGCATGTTTGATTACTCGTAGTCAAGGCGCGATGGCTTTTAACCCATGCTTAGCGCGATAATCCCTGCAATATGGCTGTCCGAACCTGTCTGTCCGGAGCCATCCCGCTCCGGACCCCTCAGTGGACTAGGAAGAAGAAACAACAGTCTGCAGACTTCCCTTCTTACCTGGTTTCAAGCTGTATTACCTAGAGAGACCTAGAGACGTCAACTCGTTCGGACCTTCTTCTCGACACATTGTGAGCTCTATGTGCCAGCCGGTGATAGGTTGACTACTGGCCTCTTTACCGTATTACTGCTTTGACTGGCAGTTGGACTCCCAGAAGATCAACGCGCGGTCCCGCTGCAAGTCCGCAGTACATTTTAAATGCCGACTCGAAGTACTCAAATGACTAGGGGGGAAATCGCCTAGACCAGAAAGAGATGGACAGGGGGTTTTGCAACAGTCCCCCCTATCGCCCACCGTAGTGGGGCCCACCCCGGCCCAGACCGCCAAGACCGTCTCAATTTCTTGAGTTTCTACGGTAATGCGGGTGTGCGTTGTCCATGTCTCACTAGACTCGGAGACAAACCAGATGGCAAACCATCATTGGCCAGTGGATACCCACACTGCGGTTGTGCGGCCCCACAACGCCGCGCGATAGGGCAAGCGGTGAGGAAACATCCGATTTCAGTGGGCACCCTAGTCCTTCCTAACATGTGGGGTAGGACACACGGCCCCATGTGGTAGCACGTCGTCCGACACGCCATCGTGTGTCCCTTCCCAACCAGCTCTGTTCCTTTTATCTTCAAGCCTCGGAGATATGGGCAAGCCTACCTACCTCCTTTTTCAGCCCGAAGGGCGTTTATATCTAAACACTGGAAGTATTTATTCGGTACAAACATTTCAGATTCATGGAACAAATCCTCACCATGTTTCAATACGCGATATCTTTGACCAGATGAGAACTTTTTCTACTCATTGCGGTCATAACTCTGTGTGCAGGCTCGTTGCGCAATTATATCCCCTGAGCATCACACACTTGCGATGCTCTACCCCAATCAGGAATTCGTTTCATTGAAACGCCCACATTGCCTCAGCCGCTCGAACCCCCAGGGGGAGGGAGGAAGCTGACCTGTACACGCTGCGGGGGCGCTAATAATACAACGTGGACGAATGGTAGCTGTCGTAAGCCGAAAGCCGATAGCGCCACCGACAGGGAGCACCTAGCCAACAGCTTCATTCCTCAACGGTCGGAGCAAGTCGCTCAATGACGGCATATTGATCCAAGATCCAGGGTACGTGTCCAGTGATGTGCCGGAGCCGACTGATCAAGCTTCGTTGAGGCTGTCGAACTATACTCTGCTTTTGTTACGCTTGTCAAAACTCCATTGAAACGTTCGAATGACCAGCATGAACAATAATACTACAACCATGACTTGGCCTTTATTATTCACTTTTGAGTTGGATCACATCCAACAAAACGGAATTAATGTGCAGACTGCTATTGCTTTGGGAGTGGTGTCATTGTTCTTGGCGTCCATGTCTTTGACACTGCTTAAAGCTGAAGTCAAAGTTCCGTTCGCCGGATATCGAAGCTATTGGGAGCCTACTTGGCTGGTCCGTCTCCGATTTGTGCGAGACGGGCCTTCCATTATTCGTCAGGGTTATCATCAGGTCAGTGATTCATGAGGGTGACAGAATAACCAATTGCGTGGGAAGCTTAAGTGTTGATGGTCTAACGTTAATGCTTCAATCAAGTTCAAGGATTCCCTGTTTCAAGTTCGGCGCATTGGGGCCGACATCGTCATCCTCACACCCAAATATGTTGATGAGATTCGTGCCCTTTCACAGGATAAAGTACGCTCTGTTGAGCCTTTCATCCATGACTTTGTCGGTGACTATACTCGCGGCACGGTTTTTCTGGAGAGCGATCTACAAAACCGAGTGATCCAGCAAAGACTGACCCCAAACCTGGGCCTTCTCACTTCCATCATGAAGACTGAACTAGACCTTGCTCTGAAGAAAGAAATTCCCGAATGTAAAGGTAAGACCCATCGGCCATAACTCTTTAGGGCCATTGTCTTAGGTTGTATTCCCACAGACCGATGGTGTCAGGTTGATATAAACCACCTCCTGGCGCGGACTGTTGCCCACATTTCTTCCAGGGTGTTTCTTGGCCCGGAAGAGTGTCGGAACGAAGAATGGCATACAGCAACGGCCGAGTACAGCAAGAATCTTTTCATCACTGGCATGGCTCTACGGATGCTCCCGCGCTGGCTCCGACCAGTTGTCGCTCCCCTAATGCCTTCCTACAGGGCGCTGCTCACAAACGTTGCAACTTCTCGAAAAATCATCGGCGGCATTTTGAATTCACGTCAGGCTTCTAAGAAGGAGCTGGGGCCGAACTATGCGAAGCCTACGGATATCTTGCAGTGGATGATGGACGAAGCGACTGGCCGAGAGCGATCTCTCGACAACTTGGCCCAGCGGATGCTCATCCTGAGTTTGACTTCAATACATACAACGGCCTTGACGATGACGCAAGCGCTGTATGATCTATGTGCACACCCAGAATATTTCGAGCCGCTTAGAACAGAAGCCGCCAACGCATTGTTGGACGTCGGCCGATGGGACAAAACTCTCCTCAGTCGACTCTATAAGTTGGACAGCCTTTTAAAGGAGTCGCAGCGATTCAGTCCCGTGTTTCTCTGTAAGTAAGGTGTTTGCATTAAGAATACGGCCAAGAGATAGCTGACATGTTCACAGTGACTTTTAACCGCATCTTTCATAATCCAATGACACTCTCTGACGGCACCTTTCTTCCGCCTGGGACTCGCGTCGCAGTGCCTTCGAATGCCATTCTGCAGGATCCTGGTCTCGTCCCGGGGCCCGCCGTGCCCTCCAAATTTGACCCTTTCAGATACTCTAAACTGCGCGAGGATCCGGCTCAAGGGGAGAAAGCACAGCGATTCATGTTCACCATGACCAACTCTAGCAACATGGCCTTCGGATACGGGAGATACGCGTGTCCCGGCCGGTTCTATGCTGCCAACGAAATGAAGTTGATTCTATCTCACCTGCTTCTACGGTACGAATTTAATTTTCCCGCTGGTGCAAAGAGGCCCGCCAATTTTACGATTGACAGCGATATGTTTCCCGATCCTGCAGCTCGTCTCTTGATTAGGGAGCGGAAGTCTCTGGATCCTTTCCTATGGAAGCTTACAGGATGAAGCTGAGCCTGGAGCAACGCACAACTCGGCCATTCTTTTAGGCAGTTTGTCGCATCGAGCGGACCCTGTTTGGAAGGAGGATACTTGGTTCCCGTTTGTTGCACTGTCACACTGGCACATCAGTATCTAAGATACCTGGGTTGCCGCCGAATACGCCGTCACAGGAGTAAGCAAAAGCTGTAAATTTGTTGCTACGAGAGCGCTTGGGGAGCGGATTACGTTATGTGACGTCTCGTACGGGAAAGGTACGGGTAAACCCTTTAAACCAATCAGAGGCGTCATTCACGGTGTGAATAATTTCTACCGCGGACAGTATACATGGGCTCTAACCAATCACAACGTTGCTCACGGGTAAAGCTAGGGTAAACCTGACCAATCACCTAGACGTATTCGAAGTGGGCTCCAATCAAAACGCAACTGTTAGCAAAGTGGGCCGCACTTTTTGCTCAGTAAGGACAGGTAAGGCAACCCCGCACGGGTTGCGCAATAAGCCTTTCGGAACGAAGATTACGACCGGAGGGGAAGAGAAAAGAGCAAACATAAGAGAGGCAGAAGGAATAGATAAGGGACGAGAAGCCATTGGTAGGACCTACATCTAGGGAATAGCCGAGGCCATATCGGCCGCGGGGTAGTGCAGCAGGCGTCAGTCAGTAGGGACCATAGACAGCTAGCGCGCGCATAATAGTAGGTAAGTAGCATACGTAAGGACATGCCAAGTCGGGAGGTAGAGGGAATATGGATATGTGATTAAGAAGCACATGTTATGCGCCGCGCGGAGCATGGCGAAGAGAGGGGGCTATACGTCAGCGGCATATATATGAAGAATGTTTGCCTAAGGAGGTAGTAGCATAGTAAGTAGGTAAGGCCAAGAGAGCAGACGCAATAGAGGGAGCAGCACCCATTACGATGAAGCCAGCCAGCATCGAATGGCAGCACGGGGCGAGAGCGGCGTAGGCCCAGCACGGGAGGCAGCCAGAGGACCATACACAGCAATGAGGTTCAGGCCGATCTCGGCGGCGCCGGTGCCCGGTACGGAGGGCCGGCAGGGGCGCATGAGAGGGCGTCAGGGCTGGTGCTGCCGAAGCGAAGGCGGCGGGCGGCCGGCCGGCGAGGAATCCAGGAGGACCGGCGCGGGGAGGCAGGCACGACCAGGGCCACGGCGGAAGGACGCCCCAGGCACAAGCGACCAGGGGCGATGGAAGGAAGACGGCGCCGTCGACACCGGAGACGAGGCGGGAGGCGAAACGTAGAGAAGCCGGCGAAGGCGAGGTGGTTTCCTTCTCACGCCGCCAAGCTCCGGCCGAAGCGCCGCGGCCCGGCGGGAAGGAGGCCGGGGCGGCCAAGGCAGCAGATCGACATAAGCCAGCAGCCGCTATTCCGGGATATCCAGCCGCGGCCGACATCGGGGCGGCTCTGGCGACACAGCCGTGGAGCGCGGCGGGCCAGCCCAGGTCCGGCGGCACGTCAAAGACGGCCTCAGAGGATACAGCCCCGGCCGGGGAGGGGGCCAGGGGGTGCCATCGGGGACGCCGCCGAGGGCGCACAGCCCAGTGCAGAAATGAAAAGCCAACTCGCCGGTATAGTTCCCAAGCAGGCCCCCAGGGTCGGTCGACGGACAGAGGTGGTTAACGTGATGTAGATGAGACGACGATGGGCCCGCCGCCCCCTCGACAGAGACAGAAGAGAAAGCGCAGCCCGGTCGGCAAAGAAATCGAGGCAAGACATGGCGGCCGCGCGTCAAGCATGGCCGGGCCGTCCCTAGGCCCCACGGCAAGTCAACAGGCGCCTCGGGATATCCTGCCTCGGCCAGTAGCCGCGATAGAGAGCGCCACAGGGGACATGGCTAAGGCCGCAGAGCCTGGCGAAGCAATAGAAGGCCGACGCGCAGGTAGGGATCCTAAACGGGGCCAAGGGGTGTGCATAGAGACGTCTAATAGGGTATAGATGGGATGACGAGAGGCCCGCCACGTCGAGAGAGACAGAAGAGGAAGGGTGTAACGACGAGACAGAACTAACAACGGGTGCACGTGCCCGTGCACGGACCACAGGCTGTATATAAATCTCTGCCTACGGGGCTTCTCTTCTTTCTTTCTCTTGGACCCCTTAAGCTAGAAACTTCGTCCATAGAGCCAATACAAGGATAGCCGTCAAGGCTTAGTTCTGGCCGTGACAAAGGGCAGTGCCGCCAGCGGACAGACCGAGGCAAAACGGAGCCGCGGCGACCAGAGAGGCCAAGGCCAAGGGAGATGCAGGCCGAAGACCTGGCGGACGTGCTGCGGGGCCTCGAAGAGGAGTTCGAGGCGGGCGAGAGGCTGGCCGAGGAGCGGCGTGGTGCGCGCCGGTGCCGCGCGAAAGGGAGGTCAGGACGGTACGGAGGTTCTACCGGGCGTTCCACAACACCAGCGCGCTACCGACCGCAACATGCAGTCTCTGCTACCGCAAGCGGGCCCGGGAGGAGCTAAGGGAGATGGCGTGGGGCGAGTAAACCTACCGGGCTCGGCGCTCTCGGGGCGGCGCTGCCGCGGCAGGAGGAGGTGCGGGCTATTAAGTCGCAGCAGAGGAGCGCCGCGCGGGAGCGGGAGCGGGCCATACAGGGCATCCAGGGCTCCCAAGGCGGCGGGGCGGCGGCAGGAGTCGGGGCGGACCGCGGCGCGGCCCTCCGCGGGGTCATGGGGGGATTCGGCGAGGATGACATGGACGTGACGGCGGCCGACGGCGACCCAGACGTAGGCACGGCGGCGGGGATGCGCGTGCGGCTCGGCCCGTCGAGCTCGTTCCTCGCCGCCGGCCGGGAGCTGGCCAAGGCTGACGCTGAACGAGAAGCAGTCGATCGCCCTCCTCATCGTCTGCCGGCAGCTCGACCAGGTCCGGCAGGCCAATGAGGCAGGCGGCGACGGAGACGGGGAAGGTCAGCTCTGCCTGTTCATCGGCGGCGAGGGCGGCACCGGCAAGTCGCGCGTCATCGAGGCGCTCGTCGAGCTGCTCGCCCGGAGGGAGCTGTCGAGCCGGATGCTAGTCACAGCGACGTCGGGCACGGCGGCAGCGCGGATCAACGGCATCACCCTCCACTCGGCCTGCGGCCTCGCCGTCGGCCAGGGCGGCCAGGCGGGAGGGGCGACCAAGGGGGTGGACGGCGTGCGGCTGCCGGGCGCGGGCGAGCGCTTCGTCGACGGCCGGTCGCGCATGGACTGGCGGGAGAAGGAGGTGCTGGTGGTCGACGAGGTCAGCATGCTCGGGGCGCGCACGCTATACGCCGCCAACGAGCAGCTCTGCCGGCTGCGGGGGGTCGGCGCGGGACTTCGGCGGCATCCCGGTGGTGATCTTCTGCGGCGACTTCCACCAGTTCCGGCCGGTGCAGGAGCGGTCGATCCTGCTGCCGAGCGCGGCGGTGTCGTGGGACGAGGACAGGGCCTTCACGGCCGAGCAGCGGCGGCAGCACGACAAGGCGCACGCGCTCTGGCGGCGGTTCACGACGGTCACCATGCTCGACGAGCAGATGCGGGCCGCCGGCGACCCCGAGCTGCGGCGCCTGCTCGGGCGGATCCGGCGGGGCGAGCAGGACCGGTCGGACCTCGAGCTGCTCAACTCGAGGTGCCACCGGCCCGGCAGGCGGATCCCGTGGGAGACAGGCGTGACGGTGGTCACGCCGCTCAACCGGAACCGCTGGAACCTCAACCTCGAGGCGGCGCTCGCGTTCCGGGCGCGGCAGCGGACGGCGGCGCGCGTCTTCCTCTCCGAGCACAAGTGGAAGGACGGCACGCCGACGGAGGAGGAGGCGGTGCTGATGCTCGGCCAGGGCGACGACAGCGCGACGCCGGTGCCGGCCGTCTTCGTCTTCGTGCCGGGCATGCCGGTCGTCGTGAACCAGAACACGCACCAGGGGCTGAAGGTGGTGAACGGCGCCGGGAACACGGCGGTGGCGGTGATACCCGACCGGGCCTTCCCGGCCACCGCGTCTCGGCGGAGCTGACGGTGCACTTCGGGCCGCCGGCGGGCATCGTGCTGGCGTCGGAGACGACCAGGGACCTCCACTTCGTCGGGATGCCGTCCGGGACGATCCTGCTGACGCCCATCACCGTCAAGATCACGGCGCAGCGGAAGCGGCCCTGGCAGCGCAACGACGTCGGCCGGCGCGGCCTGCCGTGCGCCGCGGCCTTCGCCTGCACCGACTACAAGGTGCAGGGCGGGACGATCGAGCGCGTCGCGCTCGAGCTGCGGGGCGAGGACGACGACGGTCGAGGGCAGGGCGGTGGCGTCGCCGTGCGACCCGTACAGCCTCTACGTGCAGCTCTCGCGGTGCCCGACGCTCGACGGCATCATGCTCGTATCGGAGGTGCGGGAGCGGGACCTTATAGGAACCGGGTGCCCGGGGAAATGACAGCGGCGCAGGCCCGGCTAGAGGAGCTAAGCAAGCAGACAACACAGGAAGCAGGTAGCCTACTCCGCAGCTAAGGTAGGCGGGATTAGGACCATCACGATATTTATTCAGGGGAGAGGAAGACATATCTTAGCAAACTCGCCACCAAAGCGTCTTACTTCATCATCACCGAGAAGAAGATGAGAAGAAGGATAGAAGTAGGGATAACAAGGGCAACAACAGCTAGACTAGAAAAGGCAAGCGTACACACATATACCACTGGGTAGAATAGGAAGGCATAGATCTAGACAAAGACGGGCCAATATAGAAGGGGGGGCTTTAAAGAGCGCGAAAAGACCAAGCACAAGAGCCTCCAATCAGGAGTACGATTCAAAGGGCCCAAAACGCAGAGGGGGGGAGGCAGAAAAAGGAGGGGGAGGAAGGACGTAGGAAGGGGTAAGTTATGGCCATATGGCCAATCGGGGGCGAGAACGCCGACGAATGAAAAGAGCTCAAAAGCGCCGACCAATCAGGGGGCCGGAATGGCGGGGGGAAATTGATGGCGAATTTTTTTTTCCCCGGGGAGGAACCCTTAAGTCCTTTCGTTCCGAAAGGCATTCGTTCCGAAAGGCAAAGCTCCGCTGAATTTGCGCACTGCGTGTACTTCGTCACTTTGTAGCACAATTTACAGCTTCGCTTAACAAGCCTCACCAACCTTTCTTTTGCAAGGCTTATTCACCATTCCCTCAGCCGAGGCATATTCGGCCGTATACTCAGCCAAGGCTCATTTGGTCTTCCAGTCAACCTAGGCTAATGCAGGCAATTAACCTTCCTTTTGCCTACGCTTTTTCACAGCCACAACCCAACAGCTGGGTTATTCATTCACTTCCACTGTTCTTCTAGCTATAGGTATCGAATGGCATCGTGGAACTTCTTCGCTGCTTCTTTGGCCTGCCGTTCGAGGTCTGGTCGCGCGGCTCGCGCCTGGCCTGCTCGCTGTTGTATCCTTGCTTGGTTTCGCCAGAACGTGTGTGTCCGCCGAAGTTGTGTAAGATCCTTTCCACCAACGTTTTGCATACGGTGACGGCCGTGCCCGAGGGGTCACTTCGTGGATAGCCCCCAGGACGACCCGCATCAGTTGATCTGTCTGGGTTTGAACGTCGACAGCCCAAGGCAGGAGTCGCAGATTGTCTTTCACCCGGGCTCGTATGAGATTCCAAGGGGCGTTCTTAAACAAGAGTCTTGGCCTCGCACTTCTCTCGGGCATCGTGATGTCAAAAGTCGTCTGAATGGCTCTATGGTCTGAGCCATGATCGGTCCGATGGATGGCGCATGTTGCCACTTCGTCTGCCAACTCTGACGTCGTCAACACCAAGTCGATGGTGCTCTCCTGATCCTTGCCTTGCCATGTTTTCGTGCCCCTCGGGAGCAGGCTCCTGAGGCCATGCTCGTTCATCGGATCAATGATCGGCCCCGCTGTGAGTCCGGCGAGTCACGGGATCCGGCAGATCACCGGTAAATCCCTTAGGCAGGGAAGACTCTTCTGTGCCTTTTAAGGGGCGGCTTGGCCGCCTTCCGGCTGCATCTCTGCTACGCCTCGCACGGCGCGCAACGGGATGCGTGAGGCTAAGATGGGTGCTTTATAATAGGCGGGAGAAGACTGTTTAAACGATCACGTATTTTAGCACGTTATTTCGAAAATTGGCTTCTTCGAAGTGATGATGTTTTTTTTCCTTCCCCTATACTAAGGGGAAAGTGTGTCACATGCACGCCTAACTCAACAACGCCCAAACCTCCCCTTTACACACACGGACAGGACATGATCTAGAAGGCAATCTCCTCCGTCCTTCTTCGAACTGCTAGCTTCGCAGTTGGATTGGCGTTCATGTTGAGTCCGAATTTCCGCGGCTCTACGTTTGACCCTGGAACCAGCTTGAAGTCATACATTAAGAGCATATGACACAGAGCCAGCTTGATCTCTACGGAGGCAAAGAACCTCCCAGGGCAAACATGGAGTCCATACCCAAAACCCATATGGTTGGGACTGGCGCTTACGAGTTGGGACGTATTCTCTTTTCCAGGCTGCTGGCGCATATTGAAAAAGCGGTAGCCGTCGAATGTATGTGGATCCACATATGTTTCAGGATTCCAGTGTTTTTCAACAGATACCAGTACGAATTTGTTCTTGGGCAGAACTGTTCCGTCTGCGAGGTTCACATCCGCAGTCGTGAAGCGCCGCATACTTGCTAATGCCGAGGCGTAATGATAAGTGACTGCGACGTGGAGCGCCAGGTCTGGGATCGAGCTTACCAACTGAAATCGGTTTCATCCTCTGACTTTCCTTCAATACGCTGTCCATGAGTTTGAGGCTGTATAGAGAGTGCTTTGACCATCCACTCTGGCTTAGCACTGCGATGATTTCTTCACGAAGGGGCTCGATGAGCTCCGGATGACTGGCAATGTCCAACATGGCCTGAGTAAGGAAGTCGGTTGTGGTGTGCAGCGCTCCCATTGAGAGAGAAAGTTGAGCACACGCCGGGTCGTAGCTCACATGTTTCTCCCGAGCTGTTTGCTCCAACCACTCGATGGCGTCGTTGTACTCACACTTGGCTCCTCGCTCAGCGGCGGCAGCCTTTTCATAACGCCTGGCCTCTATTAGTGGATTGATGAGATCTCTTGCCTCCTGGACCAAGGCACGAGCTGAGGTGCAATGTGGGAGGAACCATTGTGCAGTGGACCGAAGCCAGTGTGGCCACAGGCGAAGTTCTTCCACCGCCTGAAAGGCCACGGTCGTATACGTGGACATGATGCGGAGCCACTGAGGATTTCGACACATCTTCAGCCCCAAAAACACGCGTGATGTGATGCGTGCTATGAGCTGCAAGTTGACTTCTTTGGCCACGACCTCATGCCAAGCTGTACCGGTTAGCAGGCTAGCAAAAGTTGAGGCAGGTAAAGCAATCACGCTTCGTTACCTTCATTGTCAGTGTAAATCTCTTGTAAGGCCACTTTGCATTCGTCGGAGACTGGCTTTGTTACGAGGGTGAGTTGGTGCGTAAGCTGATGCATGGCAACATGCTTCATGGCATAACTTTCATTGGTCCCTTCTCTGAAACCTTCAAATCCTGGAAGATGCGCATAAAACCACTGTTTTAATCGACTTAGAACCTGTCAGATATGATATTCTGGGTTAGCCCACCTTGAAAGATGCTTGTGTGATACTGAGCTCGTCGTGATTGCGAATCTCATGGGCGTACTTGGCTGGAAGAATAAGGATCTCTCCAACGTCGGCAAGCATGCGAAAAGGCAGCCCTGGAACTTGCGCAAGGCGGTTTGATATCATATCCCCGGCCTTGACGATGAACAGTTTCTTCGGGCGACCATTGGTGAGCTCGAAAGGGCGTTTGCCGTTGACCAAAGGGAACGACGACGGTTTGGAAAGCCGTAGAACTTGCAGTGTCAAGGGCCGAATGGAATAAGCTATCACGACGACGATAAGCGCCAACGCCACCAGACTGATTGCAGGAGTCATGCTGCTCTAATTTGATAGAGTGGAACTCGTTTTGGCAAAGGAAGTAGGTAGAAAGTTTCGTCTTTGTCACGACGAGCCTTGCGGGTTATAGGGTACCTTATCGTATTTTATAACCCAGGTAACAACAGCACGGGCAACAAAAGATTGCCGACCCTGCATTCGGACAGGTGTGTGGGTGCTGGATGAGAAATTGCATAATAAAAACACGGTGGCGTGAGGCCAGAATCCGGCATCGCGCGTCGTGATGCATACCGTAGAAATTCAGCAAATTCGTTCGACTTTTAGCGCTTGGGCCGGCGGGCTCCCCACAGGTTTCAGCCCCAAATTTGTATACGAAAGGTACCTGGCCGTGCCGGCGTTGTGCGTGGAGTTGTCAGACTGGAAGAGGTGGGGCTAGATGTACATTCTGTATACAAATTTGGTGACGCTGAGACATGTGGGGAACCCCCCGGTCCAGGCGCTAAAAGTCGAACGAATTTGCTGAATTTCTACGGTACTGGAGAGAGAGGCCATACGGCAGCCGTACGAGAAGTTACTAGTCTTTGACCAGTGAAAATAGTTTCAATTGATCGATCGTTTTTATGTTATCGTCATGTGCTTCACAAGTCAAAGGCACAGGTAAGTGCGATCATGTACCCGTGCCAAGTCCCACTTTTATTTGATGATGATTTATTTCGCCCGGAGGATATTTCCTATAGGGCCTAGACGTTTTCAGCTATTGACAATTCAAGACATTGATGCATAACACCCCAAGCCCCACGGATCATCTTGCATTGCGCCTACTGTTTTCCAGTCCATAACAAGCCGCTGTAGTCTCTGCCGTTGTGGACCCTGTCGTTTTGGTCTCTGTCGTTGTGAATTTTTTGCCCCTCGCTTCCGAGAATTCCTTCTCTCAGTCTTTTATCCTTGTGACGCTGTCCCTGTTGACGAGTGGGAACCCGAGTGTACCCTGAAGAACAGGGGTGCCTCCAGCCGGCTTCGAACCGACCTCTCCGCAATACAGAGACTCCAGACGTGTCACCACTACGCCATGGAGGCAAAAATTGGTAGCTTCTCTTTGAATAGCGTGTCATCCTTAGTGCAGGGGCCATGCTAATCTTCTCTGTATCGTTTCAATAGACCAATTTGTCCGAAGACCCCACTTTTATTTGGTGGTGCGAGCTTGCGAGTTCCAAATAAAAGTGGGGCGTGGCACGGGTACCGCTTAGCACCCTTGTCAAGGATTTGAAAACTACCCCGCTATATACTCCACTATTTGGCTGAAATAGGACTTAACATAGCGCATAAACGGGAAGCATAGTGCGTCTAATGTGGCCCATTTCATGTGCGGGGTTCTTATCTTTCCTTTTTGCTTACAGGGGTTATTTTAGCGTCAGCAAGAACTTTTGAAATGTTCCTCCGTATTGATCGGGGAGATCGAGCTGATGTTGCTGACGTAGATGACACGTGGCCTTCAGTACCATCTTACCCCCATTGACGAAGAAGACGGGAAGGGCACGAGTACCGTAGAAACTCAAGAAATTGAGACGGCCTTGGCGGTGTGGGGTGGTGCAGAATGCAAGGATTAGCCCCGCACCAAATTTGTATGGTGTACTCATCAGCCTAGTCCCGCCCGAGCCAACGAGCTAGCCCGGCTCGCACACACACATCTTTACGTACTAGTTAAAAGGCCACCCCGTCACGCTAAACGGCCACCCAAAAGTGGGTCAACTGTGGCTTGGTCGCCGCGCAGCGCCGATGCCGCAAAGGTGTGTGCGCGCATTCGCTGCCGGCATCGAGGTGCGCGCCAGAGGGGCCACCCTAGTCGCACGGCCTCTCGGCGATTGTCGCACGGCCTCTTTGGCCGGATTAGGCAGTTGCGACACGAGAGACTTAGGGCCTAGGCAATTTTATTAGCAAATTGATGTACCTCTTGTACCGATGGTTGCCGCACCGTTAAACGCGTAAGACTCGTGGTAGTAACGCGTAAAAACGCAGTCTGTCAACGCAGTCTATCAACGCCGTCAACGCCGTCAACGCCGATATCACCAAAGCCGCATTCACCGCCTTATTTGAAGCCTTTACAATGGACTCAATGACACTGCCTACCGAGATGGCTGCGCCCTTCGATTTAGGGCCATTCGAGACCGCGGATGCCGCAATTGAAGCTATTCAGGCCCTCGCGAGACGAAGGCTACGCTGTAGTCAAAGTCAGATCCTCCAATAAGCGTATGGGTATTCCTCACCGCTGGGACCTCGCTTGCGCCCGTGGACCTATCCATCATGTGTCTATTGCAGCAAGGCTCCGCGAGTCAGGCACGAGGAAAGCCGGCTGCCCGTTCAAGGTCAAGATAGTGCAAATGACTACACTTGACGACCTGTGGCATATAACGGTGATGTGCCCAGAGCACAACCACGGTCCCGAGGATCCAATCGCCTTCCCAGAACACCGCAAACTCACGCAGGCCCAGATTGACGAAGTTGAGCTCTTATCTCGCGATGCTGCCCAAACGGCTCGAACGATCCATATATCCCTCTCCGTTCGTAACGAGGGTATTTTGACAACGGAGAAGGATGTAACCAATCTTCAGACCCGGCGTCAAATGCGTGAACTTGGGGCTCGAACGTCAACGCAGGCGTTGGTAGCAAAACTAGACGATATACGTATACCGCACGCCGAGACCTATAATGACGAACACCTCGAGAAGATCGTCTTCCTGCTAGACGAAGGCTTCGAGTTCTGGACCCGGCATTCGCATTTAATGATGCTCGATGTGACCTATAATACTAATAGGTTCGGGCTGAAGTTACTCGAGGTAAACGGCATTACTCTCTCGGGCTCGATTTTCCCACTTGTGGCCTGTCTCTCGCCAGACGAGAACGGTGGTATCTTCGAATGGGCGCTGGGCCAGTGGAAGATCTGGATAACGGAATATGCTCTCAGCCTCGACCTCAACGACGATGCCTTCTATCCGCACGTTGTGATTACCGACTTCGATGCAGCGGAGCGTTGGGGTATCGATCGTGTGTTTCCGTTGGTCCAAAAGCAGCTCTGTACGTGGCATATCGAAAAAAACATCAAGAAGGCGGCTCGTGAGCGTTGGGTAGGGGAAATGGCCGCTCGTGAGGCTGATCCGATGAATATCGGTATTCTTGTTGATGGGGATCGCGGCGTACGAGCACAACGAACCCCGGATGACTTCGTGAAGGCGTGGAAAGGCCTTCGTGATGCAGATACAGAGGCAGAGTTTTTGGTATTGTGGCAAGCATTGCAGAACGACTTTTCACGCAGCCTGGTAAGTCTATTATTCCGTACCGGCAGGCAGCTGCCGGGCCTACCTCTCAACACCATAGCTAAGATCACCACTTTCAACAGCCTTAGTCTCATACCTCTCTACGACGTACATTCGACTACGGCCACAGTGGGTGAAGGCGTATACCAAGACCTACCGTAACTACGGTCATACGACGACTTCGCCTTGTGAATCTCTTCACAATAGCTCGCAGAGCTTTATTAAGAACGGAACTGCACATCTTTTGCAACTATATAACGCCTTACGACTCCAACGGCAAACGGTACAGCGGCGGCATCGGGCTCTCGTTGCTAAAGAAGCAACGAGAAATAGGAATCCATACAATCAACTTCTATATCAAGAAGTCGTCTCATCAGTCTCCTACCTAAGTCTTCAAAAGGTACAGCAAGAATACCGTTTTGCTAAAGGTTACCGCCTCAATCCACGCCGGACGCCACTACAGCCTTGCGCACACAATTTTACAGCACAATTCGGGCTCCCTTGTCGTCATATTATATTGGATTATCTCGGGCTTCAAACTACCAACTCTGAGCGGATCGTGATACCGCTACGGCCGCTACCGCTATCCCTTTTTGATCGACATTGGCATCTCAAAAACCCGTTACCAGAGTCTGATCCGTATCAACGCATCCGTGACCCTCGAATTATCCCTCGCCGGCGCGTTGGGCAAGATATAACAACGAGTATTCCTCAGCAAGCAGGATCGTCACGAGCCTCACAGTCACAAGCACGCCCTCGAGCACCCCGTCAGACCCAAGCCCAACGAAACGCCGCTATTGCACGCATGGCTGCCCTTGAAGCTCTACAAATGCAGCAAACAGCAGCCTCAACACCACAGGGTCAGTTCACGATATCTAACGACGTTACGATACAGCAGCCAGCCCAACCGCTACAGCCGGTACGTCAACCTCACAGCTTTCGATCGCACACAGCACAGTCACGTATACCGTCAAGCTGGGGGCAATTCGAGCCACAGGCCTCACAGACTGAGCCCGGGCCCCAACGAGGGTATCGCGAAATGCCTCGTTTTTTCACGTCACAGCTAGCTACACAAGGTGTATCTATCCAGCAAGCAATCCAGGATTTACAACAATCCTCACAGCCGCTGCCGCCGCCGCCGCCGCTGCCGCAGATAATAACGCCGCTGATGACGCCGCTGATGACGCCGCTGCTCCACAGGATGATGTATCGCGAGCCTCACAGGATATGGCACAAGGTTACGTTGGATTTCAAGGCAGCTACCGCAGGTCCCTTCTGAACAGCAAAATGAAGTGGGAAACGTAGGGCAGATACAGAGGCAGGCGAAGCCGCGGGTCACACGGCGCCAGGCATCGCGCAAGCGGCCGTACGAGCAGATAATCCAGTTCTGAATAGCCTCGCGGGAATCATTGAATTGCAATGCATTACTTGCGCCGGTCGGGTTGTCGCGCGATACTTCTTTTCGTATGCAAATCGCAGGCAAATTGGAGGGATCCAAATTACGTGTCGCAACTGCCTAATCCGGCCAAAGAGGCCGTGCGACAATCGCCGAGAGGCCGTGCGACTAGGGTGGCCCGTTCCTCAAGGCACAGGAGACCGGCCCCTTGCAGGGTCCGCCAATGCCTTGAGGAACGAAGGAACGACGAAGGTGGCGGTGAAAAGTGGCTGGTGGGCACGGAGCGGGGGTGTGGCGAAGGACGCGGAAGAAAGATCCTTTCGTCACGTCGTTCCTCGTTCCTCAAGGCATTTGATTTGATTTATCTGTTTGCAAGTCTGTTTGCAAGCCTGAGTCGGCTACAGAGACAGTACTACGACGCAGCTTCAATGTTGACTACCGGTAGGGGTCAGTTCATGTCTCCTCGGACAAGACTCTGGCTCTCTCCCACTCCCTCAGTCCAGCAATCCCAACCTTGAGAAAGTATTGGTCCTCTTCAATTCTTTTACGTAGAGGGCCCTGTTGCAACTCTTGCACGTCCCATCCAGCCCACACAAAACGGCCGTGCAAGAATCGGGCTTCGGGCGAGGCCGCCCAGACGGCAAATTGGCCGGGCATATTTGCTGTACCGTCGTCATTATCTCGAATCACGCACAAGTACAACGACTTTTGGACAACTCACCATCATCCCAGTCAAAGTCGTCCTCGTAAAACCCGTAGCTGCTTACCGCCTCGGTGAAGACGCCCCCGGGGTGAAAGCTCACGACCTGCATCTCGTCCGGATCAACATCCTTGGCAAGCATCTGCAGCAGCATGGCCGCAGCGCTCTTGCTAGCGCTGTAGAGGGGGATTAGGTTTGCAAGGCCATCACTAGAATAATCGTAGATGGCCTTGGTTGACACATTGACGAGAGCCTGCCTGCGGTCAGTGTCGCCTCCGAGTAGTACGGTGTTGTCGACTAACCGTGCCTCGCCTCGTCGGATTCGGCTGCTTATACAACCTCTGGGCAAAATCCACGTGTCCTCGCACATTTGTAGTGTAGTCATCCCAAATGACGTCCAGGCCTGACGTCGCAATAGGGTTCAGTCCCGCGAACCTGGCCGCGCTCAGTACCACGACATCGACGAAAACCCCTTCCTTCTCCAACATTGTCCAAAGCCTCTCGACAGATCCAGCGTCACCAACATCGCACACCTGTCCACGTATCTGGACTTTGGGGTTGTCCGTTTTGAGCTGGGAAACGGCCCGGTCCAGCAGCTCAACCCGACGGCCAACGATGATGACGCGCTCCGCCCGAGCTTGCGCAAATGCCCGGGCGGCAGCCAGGCCGATACCTGACGAGCCGCCGGTAATAAGCACCGTCTTGCCAACCTGGGAGAGCTCCGGGCGACTGGGTGAGATGGCTGGGTAGGGTGTATGGTGGACTACCTTTGTAAAGGAGAAGCCCCCCTTGGTGGAGTTGGTAAACGCCATTATGCAGTATGTACGGATACCAACTGCTTTTTTCGTCTTCAACTAGTCTCTAGATGATTGCTACTGAATCGGAAAGGGGATATTATTGTGTCGAGTTCAAGTAGTTTCCATCCCTGCGGTCCACCAGTTGGATCCATCGTCATCAATCAAAGTGTCTTTCATCCTCGATGTTGCAATCAGCGACAGGTCATATCAGCCATCCTAGCGGCAGCAGCTGGAGGGATGTGCATTTCACTTTTGCCTGCGGTGGCGGATTGGCACATGCGAGACTCGAGATACGAAGCAGAGCCGGCATTAATAGCGAGACATTGTTCGTGACGTGGCACTCTTCCAGACGCACAAGCTTTTCTCGACTTCTAGGGCTTCAGCTTCATGTTGGACTACCTATTGTCAACTTGAGGGCATGCATGATGTTGAGGGACATTCCTTACGCTGGTGTTTACATGTAAATAACGGTACACCCGCGATTCGCTGCCCTCTTGCCTAATACGGTTTAGGCACAGGGATTATAATATTCGCGCACAGGGAGAGTAAGAGGGATCCGCATATTTGGCTGCGTAGCACACCAAAATTGGTGTCCAGAGGTTTTGGCGCCAACTTAGGGGTAATCGTGCCCGCCCCCACTTTAGTGGGTGAGCCAAAGCGAATCCCAATAAAGTGGGGGCGGGCACGATTACCGTTGTGTCGCATCCAACTAGGTACTCGTGCCTGCCCCACTCTTCTGGATTCCGGCAAGCCTTCACAGGGTACGGATACGTCAACTCTCCCCTGTAAAAATTCTTCTCTTCTGCGGGCTGTTAGCAGCCTGTTAGTGGATAATTATTTTCAGGTCACCCGACCATGCTTCTGCCTCTCTAGCCCTAACGGGGCTCTAGCAAGCACCAAAAGGCAGACTTTGGAGAGTTCGTCTCCTCTTGGGAAGCTGGTCTCGAATAACGGCATGCCTCGCGCTGCCTCGCCTTCTGCCGCCTCGCGGCATCGCCTACTTCTGCCGCCTTTACTGGCTGGCCTCGACTTCTGCCGCCTCGCGGCCCCGACCTCTTCTGCCGCCTCGCGGCCCGACTTCTTCTCGCCCTTCCTGGCACGCCTCGCGCTGCCTCGCACCCTCTGCCGCCTTTACTGGCTGGCCTCGCCTTCTGCCGCCTTGCGGCTCTGCCTCCTTCTGCCGTCTCGCGGCTCCGAACTTGCCGCCTTGCGGCCTTTCTGCCGCCCAGCGGCCACGACTTCCTCTGGACTGGTGGGCCGCGGGGGCCCCGAGGAGCTACAAGAGCCTAGAGCTCAAGGCCTCACCCGGGTGTCCCCCGGAGCTGCACACCAATCGACAACACCTCCACCACCTGCTTGCTACGAGGAGCAGGCACGGGGACTTCGCCGACTGTCATGACCACGAAGTGGTCCTGGATCGAACGCTCCTGCGGGAGAAGACAATCGCCATCGGGGCGAACCCCCGATTAACATTGCTACACTCTCTGCTTCCTTTTTCTTTTCTTTTTCTTTCTGCCCCGTAGGCCCTCCTCGAGGGGGCTTGCGGCCGGCCCATGACTTCGTGGGCTTTCTCAGTCACCCGGCCTCGGCCAAAGACTGACTACTATTACGGCTTAACTGCCGTGCCTGGAACCCGCTGACGGGGGAAGGGCCCCGAATTTCCGACCGGCCTCAGAGCCTCAGAATTGCTAGATGGAGTGGTTAGGTGCTACACACGGTCCTTAGTCCAGGTACTCGGGATATTCTATGTATCTAGTCTTCTCTAGCCTAGCACGTCTTTTGCCCTTATAGGGATGTCCCAGACGGTAATCAATACTACTACTACTACTACTACGGAGGCAGCCGTCAGATATTGTGTCGGCAGGGGTATTGCTTTTTCTTAGGAATCCCTGTACGTACGACTTGAAAATCGGGCTCGGAAGCCCCGCACGCATTTTATGTAGTAGTGTCAGACCTGCGGGTCTGCGGCTCGTCCGAATGACGAAGGAGGTGATGCAACAAGGTGGGCACGAAGGCCGGTCAATTGAAGCTATGTGTTAGATCCGGTAGAATCCGGGTAGATGCAGCTACGATAGCGTCAGGCTACTAGTGGCAGCGCCAACGGTAGCGCAGACGATAGCGCACCAGGTAGCGCAGCCGATGAGGCCACGAGGACATCTTTGAGACAGTTACAGAGATATGACGTGATGGCATGTCATAGGGATTGAGGCCATCGCCCTTTGATATAGGGCTTGGGCAGAGCACCCCCAAATGGGGGACACAGACAGACACACACATCATACCTCACTTCATCCGATCGTACCATTCTTGCTGTGTCCGTGACCTATCCGACGAGAACCTCATCAAGGTTCTGACACTATGCACACAGCTCTGTGTGTGTCTGTCCTGTGTGTATCGCCCTCTCTGGCCCTCGATGTGACCCCTTAAGATACCTGGGTTGCCGCCGAATACGCCGTCACAGGAGTAAGCAAAGCTGTAAATTTCCGTGCTACGAAGATGCAACAAAGCATTGATGTAAGGCGCGCGCTGTCAGGTCTGTGGCGGCAAAGGTGGGGGTAAACTTCCCTATGGCAAAGTAGCGGGTAAACCATGTTGGCCAATCAGAAGCGTTTCGTACGGTACGAATAATTCTACGGCGTACAGTATACATCGGCTCTGGCCAATCACAACGCTGCCTACGGGTGAACTCTGGGTAAATCTGACCAATGATGGTTCTGCAAATAATGAGTAGGCCAATCAAAACGCTGGGTAAGGAAAAAGTGGTCTGCACTTTTTCCTCAGTAAAGAAGCACAGCTGAATCTGCGCACTGCGTGTACTTCGTCACTACGTAGCTCAAATTTACAGCTTTGCTTAATAAGTGCCCCCTTTTGCGTGCTCCGCAGCAATCTCCGCGCTCCACGTGATCCTGCGCATGACTCCGCTCTCCCTTGTGCGGGCCGATCCAACAAGTAGCTTTCCCCTCTTTCTTCGTAATAGTTACACATCTCGTTCATGACTTATATTATAATGGCCCCAAATACGGATATCGCTACAAGGGCTATGGTAGTAGTCATACTCAAATTCGGCGGCCATACGACATCAGTACCGTAACGCATGCAAGAAGTCATTTATGGAAACCGCAAAGGTGTCTAGGAAATAGCGGCTAGATAGGCGATTGCAACCACTATATATAATTGATCAGGAAGGGTGTGGGCGGTTGTTACGCAGAGGTTGATGAGGATGGTTGAGATTTGTCGGTGGGCGCTGTCATTCCGGGACGACCGCGCCTGCAATATGTAATTGGCAAGTGTCCCGAACAAACTCCCTGCGCACAGCTAGGTTGATATTGTCTAGGCGATCAATGTACCTACACAATGCCTTTTCTTCTGACCTCGTAAGCTTTGTGTGGAATGCAGAATTCCCATTATTCGGCCCCCGACCGTGGAGGCGTCGATGAAGGCGAAGTCGCGGGACGTCAAATTCTCGGGCAACTTTGGCGACTTTTGCCGAGGGAAAACTCGCCAAGTGCTCGGCAGCGGCCTGCAAGCGTATCTCTATGGGTGGATTAGAAAGATCCATCGTTTTTGTGGGTGATGCAGGGTTGTAAAGTTGAAAATTGAGAATTCTGTTCATCTGGGTGGTCAGCACCCACTTTTTTTTTTTGGTTGTATTACGCCCGGAGGGTTCCCCCATAGAGCCACTACGCTAGCCTGTCTACCTTCTGTACATTGTTCCATCTCACCCAAAGCCCCACGCTTCTTTTCATCTGTTTCCAGCCTCGTTCGCTATGACATGACAGGCCTGCTTGAAGGTCAGTTTCTCCAAGTGTTCAGCGTCCTACCTTCAGCGACTGAAGCGCGGTCTGCCAAGTTGAAGGCTGTTGTGTTAGTACGATTGTCCCTTGATCAGCACATGGCCCGTTGCCGGTCCATGCTAAAACGTTTCGTTGCCAATGCGAACTGTATTGTCGCCCGCACAGCCCCCATATCAGGCTGCCACTTGTCGTCGTCTGACTCTGCCTTGCCACCTAGGAAGAAGGACAAGTCTCCCATCTTCCCGCCTGCATATCGACTCATGATTTCTCGTTGTACCGTCCATTTTCTGCATCGAAAGAGGAAATGTTCCACCGTTTCCGCCGACTGTCCACACGTGCATTCATCCGATTCTACTGCCCCGATTTTGCAAAGATAGCTATTCAGCCGCGATTTGCCAGTTCGAAGCTGTACCAACACTTCCGATTCCTTTCTTTTCAGCTCGTCGTACAGCTTGCGGGTGTGCTTGCCCGGCAAAGCCTTATCGATGCGCTTCGAGTAGTTTCCAACTCCTTCTGGAATCTGACGGACTCGAGTGTGTCCGTTGAGCAGCAAACGTAACGTGGTTGATCTTGCTTGGAACGTTGCTGGTTCGGCGACGCATTCATCTCGCGTCGCCCTTTTCGCTTGCCTTTGGCCAGTGGCCCGAGTGAACTCCTCATTCTTTGCAGGCACCCAACGAAGTCTGACTCTACAGCCTCTTCTCGCCAGAAACTCAACAGATCCGTATATCGCCCGTATCGTGCACTGGCCAGACTGCTGCCGTGGCCGCCCGATGACTTGCAGGACAGAGCGGTTGCTTGTCACAACTGTGAGGTCTCGGTCACGAAGGCCTAGGGAACACACCTCAGGGCCGTGGCGATTGCCTCGAGTCCTGCTGTGTAGGCATTCTGCTCATCACTGGAGCCGAGTGACGGAATAGCTGGCCAGCACCTCGTCTGCGCTGTTGAGGAGAGCGTCTCGAACGACGCCCCCCAACCCGACCTTGCCTTTCCTTTGAGAGCTGGATGTCGCGATAGTGATGTCCTCCGGGTCATCCGACTTCAGCACCTCCTCTCCGTTCGTCTCATATGTTACCTGCACTCGGTCGTCCCACGGCGCCAGTGCGAACTCGTGGATGGTTTCCAGGCGTTTGGTATCTAGTCTTTCCATCGCCGAGGCAAGCTTCTGCATTGGCGAGGCATACCTTCTGTTCAGCTTCAGCTTCAAGGATGTCAGGGGATGCGTCCTCGGCAGCGTCTGCGTTCTGATCCAGAATCTCGACGCCGCTTGAGCATGGCGTTCTCGAAATGATTGCACGCTGGCCTCGGCCTCGGCCACAGCCGTCGCGACCGTACGGAACCCTCCCGTGATCGCCTGGGCTCCGACTCGCTGGGCCCTCTCGATCCACGTTGCTTCTTTCGCCTTGCATGCATGCGACCAAACGTTGGAGGCATAATCCATGGTCGGCGCTACGGTCGCAGTGAACAGTTGCCTTGCCGTTCGTGGTGAGGCCATCTTCAGTCGTTTCAGGCACATGGCAGCGGTCAGCCCTTGGCGGCTACTCCGGCGATATGCTCCTTGAAGCGAAGTGCTTGATCCATGATGACTCCCAGCAGCTTCACATTGTCCTTCGGCTTGACATCATTCCCTCTGATGGTGAAAGGCGAGTCGCTGTCGCGTTCTGCGATGCGTGTGAAGTGAATGACGGACGTCTTGTCCACTTCAAACGTGGCGCCGCTGCGCTTCTCCCACTCGAGCGCATCATCGATAATCGACTGAATACCCTCTCTGTTCGACTCGGCCGTTGGTCCAGTGACCCAGGCAGAGTAGTCGTCCACGAAGGCGATGGAGCCGCTGTTGTTACTGATTCGCCTCTGCACCAGGTCCGCATTGAAGAACAGAAATGCCACCGGTGATAGTGGAGATCCTTGGGGTAAGCCGGCCTGCGCCAGGGCTTGCTGCTCGGATGTGTGCCCGTTGACAACCACCGATGCGGTCCGTTCCGAGCAGAATGCGTCTACCCACTTGACCAGGCGACTCGGGATGCCTCGAGCTTTCATCCTCTCAAGCAGCCGCTCTTTGCAAACTCCATTGTACGCCCCTTTGACGTCGAAGCTGACCAGACTCAAAACCCTGCCCATTCTCCAAGCCTTATATATCCGCTCCTGCAGAAGCACGAGTGCTTGGTCTGCCGACCTGCGTTTCCGTGCACCAAAGTGGTTCGCGGGCAACAGCCCATGAGCTTCGACTGCATAGCTGATGCGTTCTGCAACGACTGCTTCGAGGATCTTGCCAAGGGTTGACAGCAGTGAGATCGGTCGCCACGCCTTGGCCAGAGTGTAATCGTCCTTACCCGGCTTCTTCAGCGGGATGATCTTGGCCGTCCGCCATTGATGGGGCACCACGCCCTCTCGAAGCGATGAGTCGAAGAGCGTCCACACCCGATGCTTGACCACGTGCCAGAGCTTCTTCCACACAATCACAGGGAGGCCGTCCTCCCCGGCGCTTTCAAGACTTGGCCGCCATCACCTTTCCTCAATCTCTTGCAAGGTGAGGTCGGGCATGGTTATCGCTTCTCTTTGCGGACGCTCACCCTCCGGTTCGATCATGGTTGGCAGAGGCGGGAAGAAGGTGCTCAGGAGCTCCTCACCTTGCTCTCCTTTGCCTTTGGTGATCGAGCCGTCGGCTCTCCTCAACGGCGGCACCTTGTCATCGAACACATTCACGACGGGTTTCAGATACTTGACCACTTTCCAGATGTTGTTCTCGTCGGTGACGAAGTCGTCCCAATGGGACTTCTTCTGTTTCCGCACGTTGTCGTGGTACTCCTTGGCAGCGTCCTTGGCGCGTTGCTCCAGATCCGGCTGCGGTTGACCGACTCTTCGCTGCGCCCTTGCTTGATTGCGCCAATACGTGTACGTTTGCCGCAGTCGCGTCAGGTCCTTTGTCCACCATCGCTTCGCGTATGGCGGCGGCTGTGCCCGAGGTGTCAGATCATGAAGCACCTTGGTGACCACCCTCATGAGCTGATCCGCCTGCGTCTGTACCCCCACACTCCACGGAAGAGGCCGAAGCTCGTCCTCGACCCTGGTTGCGATGGCGATCCACGGCGCGTTCTTGAGCATCAGGCGCTGTGGAAACGTTCTCTCCGGTACTTGAATGTCGAAGGCCGTCTGGATCGCTCTGTGGTCTGACCCGTGATCTGTCGGGTGAGTCATGCAGGATATCACCTCGTCTGCCAGTTCTGCCGATGCCAGCACCAAGTCGATGGTGCTCTCCTCGTCCGCCCTTTGCCACGTTTTCGTCCTCTCGGCAGGAGGCTGCTGAGACCAAAGTCGTTCATCAGGTCAATGATGGGCTGGCCCTCCCCCTGTCTGCTCGCTGACACTTCATCTCCGCCCCAGAGGAGATCGTGGCGGTTGAAGTCTCCCGCCAGAACCACATCTGTGCGGTTTCCTGTCCCATCACGGAAGCGATCGATCAGGTCGCGCAGCAGCTCCATCGCGCTCGTCAGCGCCTCGTCGTTCTTTCCTTGCACGTACACTGATACCACCATCACTTCCTCCTCGAGTCGGAGCACCACTGCTGTGAGATCGGCCGACGGCACAGGCACTTGCTCCGCCTCAAGGTCACTTCGGATCCAAAGCATGCTACGGATCGGCCACAGGCCGTCACGAGCACACGTCGGTATCATCTTTGTCCAGTTATGGTGTCCCATAGGGCTCGTCACCACCTCTCCGTCGATAACACGCGCATACGGCTCAGAAAGAGCCAGCACAGCAAAGTCCTTGAGGCCTGCGTCGTTCATCAGGCTTTGCTGCACCACATCACTCTTGTGCGCATTCAGCTGTAGGATGCGGAGGGACTCAAGCATCACTGTTCGGGTTCCTCATCCTACACTTCCAGCTGAACGACTCGTGCGGTCCGCCACACGGGACGCATTTGGCTCAATTGCTGTGCACTCTGTGGTGATGCCCAACCTTTGCGCACTTGCCGCATGTCCGCTGCTTCTTGCATGCATATGCTTTGTGACCGATCTCCTGGCAGTTGAAGCATTGGATTGGTCCCGTTCTTGGCTCGAATACATAGGTGGTGGCTGACTCTCCCGCTAGGTCAAAGTAGTGCCCTTCTAGAAGCCTTTCTGCGTCGCTTTTCTTGGTGACATACACCACCATGGACCCGTACGCTTTGCCAGACTCTCGTTTGCTCAACCAGGAAATCTTGCCAATGGTCACTCTGTTTTCGGCACTCAAGGCCTCGATCGCTCCAGGCAGAACGTTGCCTTCCGCGTCAAGGATTGCTGTGCGGTTGGCGTTGTCGACTCGGACCGGGTACAGCTGGTCTCGCATAACTCGTGAACCTTCCACGGCTGTCTTCTGCGCAGCCTCTTTGACCATCTGAAGCTCGGCTTCGTCTCTGCAGACGATCTTGACTCGGTCGGCATTCCGGGACTCTCTCACGACTGCTGCGCACCTCCAGGTCTCTTGTCCGTTCATCGCTCTCATCTCAGTCTCGATGGCCTGGCGAATTGATCCGATTTGCGCTTTGTTCTTGTTCGACTCGCTGACGCGAGATGTGTCGATGGTACAATGGAGAGGATCGCTGGCTGTCTGCTGCTTTCTTGGGACAGCTACGCTGGATAGACTCGTCGGCGGGCTCGCTGGCAGTGTGCGCGCAATATCGGCAAACGTTGCTCGAGCGCCGCTTGACAGAGTCACCTCACCCGAAGCATTCAGCTTCTGCGTAAGCTGGGCCAATTGCTCTTTCAAAGCGGCGACTTCTCTCTGAAGATCCTGGTGTCCCCGTTTTAATTCCGCGTCGTGCTCATCGCTCTTGCGTCGAAACTCTTCCTTGGATTCCTGGACTTGGACCTCCAAGCCTCGGATCAGATCTTCCTGTCCTTGAATGATGGTGCTTTGCTTGTAAACCGTGGCGCTCAGCTTCCTGATCGTGTCGCTTTGCTCGGATACTCTATGTTTCAGGTCCACCATCTCGTTCCCCATCTTCGCCAGCATCTCTAGAACCCTCTGCATCATCGATTTGGCGGTCTCCACACTGCTGCGTGACTTCACCTCGTCAACTCTTTCGCCTTCATTGCCGACCGATGAGACCCGCGTCGTTCGGGCCGTGACTCGCTTCGGAGCCCTTGCGGATGCATTTTCCAGTGATCGCAACGTATCTTGCACGCGTCCGCTGGGCGTCCTCCCTCGCGTCGGACGCGTCGATGGCGTCGGGCTAGTTGGATCTAGCCCCGCCCCCACGTCCGCCAGGACCGCCACTTCAGGCTCTGCCATGATGGCAAGCAAGAGCCACACCTATCCCAGAGTAAAGAAGGATGAAGAACTATCTACGACGAGGAACTGACGCAATGCCTTCGAGTTCAGTTTCTCTCAGCACCCACTTTAGTTAGTGGGTGAGTCGAAGCGAAATCCGAAAAAGTGGGGGCGGGCACGAGTACCGTATTAACTCACTAAATTGAGCCGGTCTCAACGTGTGGGAAAGAGGGGGGGCCCCGCATGTCTCAGCGCCACCAAATTTGTATACGCTACGTACCTAGCTGTCCCCGCCCGAGCCATCCTTAGTCGGCTCGACGCATTTTTTGCCCTATTTTCTATTTGCGTCGAGCCGACTAAGGATGGCTCGGGCGGGGACAGCTAGGTACGTAGCGTATACAAATTTGGTGGCGCTGAGACCGGCTCAATTTAGTGAGTTAATACGGTAGTTGGGCTGCTGTGGCCCCACACCAAGATCAACGGGTACCCGGGGGGTTGACTAAGGGGCTTAGGCAATGTGACAAGCCTCTTTCAGCCTGTACAGCTTCTGTATTATCAGCTCACCTGGGTTGCCGCCGAATACGCCGTCACAGGAGTAAGCAAAGCTGTAAATATCTGTGCTACGAAGATGCAACAATTGCATTGATGTAATGCGCGCTGTGAGGTCTGTTGCGGCAAAGGTGGGGGTAAACTTCCCTATGGCAAAGCAACGGGTAAATATTTTGGGCCAATCAGAAGCGTTTCGTACCGTACGAATAATTCTACGGCGTACAGTATACATCGGCTCTGACCAATCATAACGTAGTCGCGGGTGATCCACGGTTAAATTTGACCAATGATGGTTCTGCAAATTAATAGTAGGGCCAATCAAAACGCTGTGCTAGGAAAAAGTGGTCCCCCAAAAAACCTGCTTAAAGAAGCTCCGCTGAAAAAGAAGCTCCGCTGAATTACGCACTGCGTGTACTTCGTCACTTCGTAGCACAATTTACAGCTTTGCTTAATCAGCCCACCTTGACCCTCCCTGCTTCTCTTGCTACCAGCTGTTCTTTCTAGAATACCTTCGTTACTAGGATCTTAAAGGCACTCTTCTCGACAAGAATATAAGCACTTATCCAAGATTCTTAGGTACAACCATTTACTAGCTAACTTGTAGGGCGATTAAGTCTCTTTTATTTCCCAGTCGGCGACTAATTTCCTGGTCGACCGAACCCCTCCCTGAGGGGGGGCACGACTTCCTTTTAGGCCCCCCTAGTAACCCAGGAAACTGCTCGCCCACCAACACCCAGCACCAACAGCCCCGACTCCTACAATCCATGGTATGAGTAACTTAGCCGCACGAAGGAGCTCTGAACGAAACTTCTCCACAAGCTTCGTGTTATGTTCTGCTCTCTCATTCACCCAAGGAAACGATGCGTCCGGCACCGGTTTCCCAAGGAACTGGCAGAGAGGTTCCCACCCGTCACCCATTGTATAGATAAGGAGCTGCTCCGGTGGCACTTTTTCCTGCAATAGGCAATGGTGTCGATTGTAAACCATCCTCGCATTCTTTCGCGCTTCGTCCACAGTCTTGGCGTCAAAAAAGCCAAGACAAAGTTTTCGGCAGTCCATGACAAATTGGGAACCGAGCTTGACGCACATATCGGCCCGAAAATTCCCCAGTGATTTGAAGATAGCTTCGTCCATGCTCTCATACCATTTGTCAAAACTCCTCACGGTAAGGATAACTTTTGCCTTCGGGTACAACTCGACTAGCTGATTGCTGAACACCCCAGCTACATCAGTGCTGGCCTCGCAAGACCCGAAGACTTTCTCCCAGTCCTGAAGCGTAAAGGCTCGTCCCGTGTATGTGGGCAACACTGGAAACGTTGCGTCGGCTGCGCGACTAAAGATTCTGAGGTCGCCCGGGCTATCAAAGAACCGAGATCCATGATAAACGTCCTTATAGCCCAAAATAGTCAGCGCCTCCGCAATAGAGGCAGAGCCGGTACGGGGTAACCCCAACGCGAGAACTTTTAGTTCCCGCTGGGCCGCCATCTCCCATTAAATCTTTCGTATTATTGACTTTCGTATAGTTTCTCTCCGGAGACAAAGTGTTTAAGTGTACCGTAAGGAGCACAAGCACAACGAAACACAACGAAACAGAGTGAAGAACGAGGCCCAATGGTCCAATTGTTATTGTTGATCTCTGAAGAAACCCCTCCAGGAGGCTGTGGTTATCCCTTACTTTATACCCGACGATTGTAGAGATAGCTCCTGCCAACGCATCGCGGCCCCCACTTCAGCTCCGTGGTTTCCAGCCCTTTTTGACGAGACTCTATTCGTACGCACCCAACTCTCAATCTGTAGTTCCGTACAGAGTACGCACCCCCACGTTCAGCCACAATGCCTCCGACATCTACAAGTGGATGTAACGCTATTAGCCACTACAGTTTCAGCACGATTTAGTGGCTGGTGTCACAGACTCACAGTTATGTGGATGTGGATTGGAGTCTTGGTGTAAAACGCTCTACCCCCTCCTTCGAGGAAGGGGGTAGCCCGGACCTTTTTTAGGTACCGGAACTAGCTGTAGAAACTATTTTACATACAATTTAGGCCTAGGAATGTTCCCTGCCACCGTAAAGTGACAAGTTCCCTGTCAAGGCTGGTTTCCAGCCTCCGTTTTCCTAATGTGGTCCCGCACCTCGAGGTGCGGGCCCCGAATAACTACCGTAGAAACTCACTAAACTGAACCGGTCTTGGCGGTCTGGAGAAGTGGGGGTGTACCCAAGACCAATCTGCCTAGTCCCGCCCTTGCCACCCTCGCTTAGTAGCGCACTTACACACAAACACACACGTTCCTGCCTCTTTTTTGAAGCTATTGAGAGGGCGTTTTCACGATGCCGCCGCTGCAAGAGCTAAATACCAACGCCGAGCCGGGTCCAAAGGTAAAGAAGCCTAGCCATCACGAGAGCTTCAAAATTGAGTAAATTGTGTGTGCGTTTGTGTGTGGGTGGCAGGGTGGCAAGCGGACTAGGCAGGCCTTGGGTACAAGTTGGCTGTGGGGCTGATCCGTGCAGCCCCCACTACTCCAGACCGCCAAGACCGGTTCAATTTAGTGAGTTTCTACGGTACATCAACGCCTCTTATGCCACCCCTGACACACTCCTTTGTATGTGACAGCTGACCTGTCGGGAAGGCGGGTGTCAGATATGTGTTAACAGGAGACCAGCCAGCGAGTGAGACAGGCCAGCGAGTGAGACAGGCCAGCGAGTGAGACAGGCCAGCGAGTGAGACAGGCCAACGAGTTAGACATGTCAGCGAGTGAGACAGGCCGACTACCGGTACTACTTGGGGGGACTAAAATCCGTCCCGCACCCCCTCCAAGGAGGGGAAAGCGACACAGGAAAAAGGTCAAGCGACCGGGAAAACTTGGTACCTATACCACAAGCTATTTTCCTAGAGGGACCAAGTACCACAATATTCTTTTAAATGCACATTCTCCAAACAGTCCCTTAACAAATGATGTATCGTGATAAAGGCAGAAAAGTCAATTGAGGCATCGCATCAGGAGTCTATCGGGAGTTATAACCGGGCAAGAAGGAAGAGAATATAAGAAAATACAACACAGTCAAAAACCTCTACCTTTTACAGGCCCACTTGTAGCCTCTCTTCGCGAGAGGATGACGAGGACAAAATGCCGCGTTAGTGCTACGTTAAAATTATCACCATATCCGGTATTGGTGAAGCTAAAATTTCTAGTATGCGGGACTTGGAGGAAAAGGGGGCTACGCCATTTTACGTGGCTGTGTCATACTCTTTTTTTTTTTCCCGGTCGCTTTCCCCCGGAGGGGGGTGAGGGACGAATTTTAGTCCCTAGTAGCCGGTCTACGGACTGCTCTCAACAACTTAAAGCGTGCCTCTCTGTTGCAGACCTTTTCTTTCCTTTCCGTCCCTTCCCTCCTTAGCTTTAGATAGACAATATCAGGCAACAGTCTAGATAGCATCAATCGGCTGTCCGCTTCTTACAGCAACATACATATTAAACGGAGGAGACGAAGTCACAGGTTCAAGCAACAGATCAACATCACAACAACTTCTCACATATAGAATATAGAATGGCATACTCTGGAAAAATTTTCGCAGTTACTGGTGGTGCGTCAGGTATCGGACTTGCCACAGTCAAGTTGCTTTGGTCCCGCGGGGCTACCTTAGCTGTGTCCGACATGAATGAAGCAACTCTCAAAGCACTCGAATATCTGGGGGGGACCGCGATTGGAGAATATCAGAGACTTTCAACAACTGTTGTCGATGTCACCAAAGCCAGTCAGGTCGAAGCCTGGGTGGCTAGCATACTCAAACAGCACGGCAAGCTTGATGGAGCCGCAAACGTGGCCGGTATGAGCGACAGTGGCGGGCTCTTAGCGGAGAAATCGGACTACGACTTCGACTTCAGTGTTAATCTGAATCTGAGAGGGGTATTTAACTGCATGCGAGCCGAGCTCAACAGCATGTGCGATGGCGCTAGCATCGTCAATGTCAGCTCGGCAGCAGGTATCAGGGGCATGGTTGGATTTAGCCTCTATTCGGCGGCCAAGCACGGTGTGAATGGCTTGACGAAGTGCGCGGCGAAGGAATACGGCCCAATGGGCATCAGGATCAATGCCGTATGTCCTGGCATAACTCACACCCCGGCACTCGACACGCCGGTGGCGAAGCCTGTCGTTCGGTCGCAGGTTGAAGCTACTCCCTTGGGTCGATGGGCAGAGCCGGAAGAGGTGGCAAGCGTTATTGGATTTTTGCTAAGTGATGAGGCCACTCATATGTCAGGTGCTATTATCCCAATCGACGGAGGGTCTTTTTGTTGATTGAGATCTAATTGTCAAGTTACGAGCCAACATGTCACACACAGACCAAGTGCCATAACTGTCAATTGCGCACCACTTGTTTCTTCTCGACCAGCTTCCATGGCGCCTTGAAGCGACAGAGGTCGGCCTTTCGCCCCTTGTTGCCCAGGGAATACTTGACGCATGTCGGGCTATGGGTGTGGATCTGCGTCGCGCCGGCGCAGAAGTTGGCTTCTTCTTCAAATGCGGCCGAGAACCGCTCGGCGCTGTCCAGCAGGGAGGAGACGTCAGAGGTCACCGAACGCTCCGCCTGGACGGCGCAGAAGCCTTCCTGGTCCAAGTCCTGCTTTTCCGCGTCAGCCTGCGTCTTCTTGGCCCAATGACTACGACGCCCCTGCCGTTACCTACCTCGCAGACGCTATCGACATAGCGGACGATTCGCTCGCGGTACGCCGATTGTTCCTCGTCGTGGACGTCGGAAAGCATGGAGCTCAGGTGCGCGTTTCCGTGTAACCAGAGCAGCCCGTGGACGTGAAGGGAGCCTCGTTCGTTGGTCTCCACGGCACCGTAGTACTGGCTGATGCGCCCGAACACCGAACTCCCCCCCTGCATTTACGTAATGCTCGAAGAACAGCGTTCATCTCCCGGTGGAAGAACATGGCTGAGCTCATCGGGTCGGAGACGGATAGCCGCACCCGTTTGAACGACATATCGAGGCTCCGCAGGAACTCCTCGGCCGCCTCAGGGTCGCGCGTGCGGTACGCTGCCAGTCGGAGCTTCACCGGGTTCGTAATGTCGTTTGGGTTGATCGTGAACCAGATCGCGGGCACGCCGTAGCGGACGATGAGCGCCAGGATCTTGTGCCGCATGCTGAGACGGAGCTCTCTGGACATGAAACATAGTCTCTTTTATTTGGATACCCACCAGCGCTGAACATGAGCTCTTAAAGGCTGCGAAGCAAGAGGCACGAAAAGCAACCGCAGAAGGCGCCACTCCAGCGCGAACATCTCCACGAATGCGATCAACGACCTTGACCGTGGCTCGAGCGAGCCACCAGACAGACACAAGCATTCCAGACCACATTGGCAAGCATATAAAGAAGTCGACATCGCACTGCCGGGCGGGCACACCAAACGGCTATACGATGACTTGTCCAGAGAGGAAGCGAGTGTGCTAGCACAACTTAGAACAGGCATTGCAAGATTGAACGGGTACCTATACAACATCAGAGCAGCGGCATCGCAGCAATGCGCATGCGGACAATCGCCAGAGACTGTTGCACATTTCCTATTTCAGTGTAGCCAATGGGCAGCGCACCGACACGAGATGGTGAAGTGCACAGAGACGCGGCGAGGGGACCTTTCGTTCTACTTGGGCGGAAAGTCGCCTTCAGATGACACGAAATGGACGCCCGACATGGAGGCAGTTCGGGCGACAATACACCCCATACCGCACATTGCCACCACGAGACGTGCCGAACACCCCGACCAATGCCCAGACTCTCGCCCTCTTCGTCAAGATTTGGAATAAGGAAGATGCCTACTCAGGTCAACCTTACGATCTCCTTGACGATAAGATCAGGAACTTCCTAACCACCTGCCGTTCGGTTGAAGTCCCCGAGAGCCAGCTACACGCCTTTCTCCCCCGCGCCCTTACAGGTCGAGCAAAGACCTACTATGACCTTTATCTTGACCCAGACCTCACGTTCGCCGCCGCTTACCGACAACTTAAGCAACATTTCGATACCAACGTGAATCTGGAGCATTACCATACGGACTGGTCAACTATCACCTTCAACAGTGTCCGTAGCAAGCACAGTGACAAGGACCTCCACGCTGTGCTTGATATAATGCTTGACAAGCTCCAATTGTGTCAACGAGCGATTGGGCCGGAAATAGCTGGCGAAAGCAACCTCCGCAACGCAGTCATCCGCGCTTGCCGTGGAACGCCTGAGCTCAAGCAAGCCTTGTACAAAGCCCCGCCCATTGCGAACAACTCTTTGCCGACCTCCGCGCCTCTATTGAACTTGCGATCACGGACAACGGTAGCACCCAATGGTATACCGACCGCAAGTATCAACAGAATAGACCCCCCTTCCGCAACAATAACAGCGCGAACCCCAAACGACAGCCGCAGAGAAAGAAGGTGTGCTTCATCTGCGGCAAAGCTGGCTGTTGGTCTACCAAGCATACCATAGAAGAACGGAAACAATCACGGATGTATTTCCTTAATGCCCACAATGCCTCCGACACGACCCCGGACTTCGCCATGTTCCTCGCCGAATTCGAAGGTCATGAACTTGACGAGACCCCTGTCCCTGACTATGATACTGCCGATGAAATTGACGATGAAGACCCAGCGATTGGCTCGCTGTTCTTCACGCAATCATTCCTCGCAGATTACGCTGTTTTACACCGTCTGACTAAGGAAGATGCCTATAGCGCTCCTCAAAAGGCCCCGGCACAACAATTCCTTGTCGATGACCGTTACACAACGCGTTATCAGGGCATCATGCTCGACACAGGTGCTTCCGACGTTTCAACCGCTGGCCTAGACCAATTCCATGCCTGGCAGCGCGAAGACCACTGCGCTACCCTCGATACCACCCGCGCAGGCCAGGCAGGCATCTCCTTTGGAGATGGACCCCGGATTGTGTCTGTCGGTGCGACCGCGATTCGCACGGCATTCGGGCCCGTTGATTTCCACGTTCTTCCCACTAAGACCCGTTCCTCCTCTCCCTAGCCGATATGGACCGGCTAGGCTTGTTTTTCAACAATCAGACCAACGAAGTCGTCCGCGATGACATTCGCGTTCCCGCAGTACGTAAATGGGGCCACGCATGGTTCCATCTAGGTGAAGAAGAGACTGCGAGTATTCCTGACCGAACGCGAATTGCGACGACTTCACCGACGATTCGGTCACCCGGCCACAGCTAGACTCCACCGACTGCTTAGATGTGCCGGGCATGATGATATTGATGAGCAGTCAATCCGTGAGATCACGAGGATGTGCCACCACTGTCAAATCAACGGCACCTCCCCAACGCTTCAGGTTTACCCTTAGAGACGACCGCGAGTTCAATTTCGAGATAACCGCGGATGTAGTCCAAATAGGCGGAAAGCCTGTGCTACACGTGATCGACGAAGCCACAGCGTTCCAAGGCGCCAGGTTCCTCCCTCGATGACCGCCCGAGACACCTGGGAAACGCTACGGATGCTGTGGATAGACACCTACCAAGGCCCCCCGGACTTTATGCGCCACGATGCCGGCACTAACTTTGCAGCAGAGGAGTTCCAAAAAGAGGCATCGCTGATGGGTATCACTTGCAGGCAGGTGCCTATCGAAGCCCACAACTCGATTGGAAAGGTAGAAAGGCACACGGCCCTCCGCCGCGCCTACGATATCCTCCAAGCAGAGTTGGGTGAGTCGAGAAGCCCAGATGCCCTCCTCCAAATGGCTGTAAAGGCAGTCAATGACACAGCCGGCCCGGATGGCCTTGTCCCTACCCTCCTCGTCTTCGGCGCATACCCACGATTCACCGCCCTCTCCCCCTATGATCAAGCGCGCAGAGGCTATTCGGAAAGCCATGGCAGCTCTGCACCGTGCTGCCGCTGCCCGTCAGGTTAGAGATGCCCTCAACACGAGGAATGGACCAAATGTAGAGCGCGCTGCAGAGCTTCCCTGCAAAGCGAGGTCCTCGTGTGGAGAGAGGCTGACGGCTGGACCGGCCCGTGGATCGTTATCGGCAATAACGGCCACGAAATAACAATCAATCATGTCAATGGCCCCGCAACTTCAGGATCACAGCGGTCAAGAAATACCACCGTGATCCTCAGGCCCCTCATCACAACCCCACGACGACTCGCAGCCAAATCCCCGACGAGTCGACCCCAATGCACCCCTAACCCCGATCAAGATGATGCCCCTGCCCTGTGCTCCTACCTGAACAACGCCGACGAGGACGCCCCAAAGGCTCCAAGAACAAGCCCAAGACCGGCGTAGCCAACCTGTCAAAGAAGGAAGTTAATCACTATGATCACGCTGTTCAATTGCGCCGCGAAGGCCACATCACCACACCAGGTGCCCCCTTTGAACAGTCCGATACCCAAGAGATTAACAACCTAATCGCACAGGGTGTGTTTGAGTTCATTCGTTTCGACCCCGTGGCCCACAAAGGCCAAAGACTCTTTAAAGCACGCATGGTCCGCGAAGTTAAAGGACTCGGACCAACCACAAGGCCCTACGAGAAATCCCGTCTCGTCATTCAAGGCTATAACGATCGTGATAAAGAGAATATCCTTACCCAGTCGCCGACCGTGCAACGGGCAGCACAGCGGCTACTCCTCTCAATTGCCCCTCCTCGCAGGTGAAGCCTCCGTCTTCCTGCGTGATATCACACAAGCATATATTCAGTCCAAAACCCCCCTGAATCGTACGATACTCGCACGCCTCCCAGCGGAATTAGTGCCCCGCTATCCCCCAGACACCATCATCCATGTCATCCTTCCCCTGTATGGCATAGCAGAGTCAGGTCTCCATTGGTTCGTGACATATTATAGGCATCATCGTGAGCGCCTCGGTATGACACATTCCACCTTTGACCCCTGCTTGTTGATCTCCAATGATCAAGCCGCCGGCTTCGGCATGGTCGCTATGCAGACGGATGACACCCTCCTCCTCGCCTCCCTGAGTTCGCGGCCGCAGAAGAAAGAGAGATCCAGAAGGCTAAGCTCCGCTCGAAACCAAGGAGCCAGCTATCGGCCGCGACTCCTCGAGTTTAATGGTTGCACACTTCTAGCCGAAAAGACGACCTTATCATCCAGCAGAAGGGCCAAGGCCAGAAGTTAGCCACCATCTTTCTCTCCTCCACGGATCGCGCGCAGCAATACGCCCAACAGCGCGCGCGCGAGCATATATCGCATCAATCTGCCAGCCCGAGGCCACGTTCGACTACTCAGTCGCAGCACAAGTGCAGCAGCCGGAAGCCCCGGACTACAAGACCCTGAACAAGCGGATACAATGGCAGACCGACAACCTGCAACGAGGACTCCGCTATGTTCCCTTGGCCTTTCGACTGCGAAGCTAATGGTATTCACGGACGGTTCGTTCGCGAACAACAAAGACCTAAGCTCACAACTGGGCTTTGTTATTGTGCTCGCCAACGAGGAACAGAGCCCTGCTGATTTCACGATCAGAGGCAATGTCCTGCACTGGTCATCTACGAAGAGCAAGCGAGTGACCCGGAGCGTGCTAGCCTGGGAGATCTACGGCATGGTCCAAGGTTTCGATATGGCCATTGTCATCGCGACCACCCTGCAGGCTATTGTCAAGCAGCTGGACCTACCCCGACTCCCTCATTGTCTGCACCGACTCATACTCGCTATACGAATGCCTCGTAAAGCTCGGGACCACGAAAGAGAAGCGACTCATGATTGATATCATGGCGCTAAGGCAGTCCTACGAGCAGCGCGAGATGGCAGAGATCCGTTGGATCAATGGGGATGACAACCCGGCTGATGCGATGACCAGCAGCACCCAACCGTGCTTTGGAACGGTTGATTGAGACGAACAGGCTGACGATTCGAGTGGAAGGATATGTACAACGACCCGTGACCGCAGACACCACCTAACGACAAACGACTCCATGATGACGAGCCTCCCTTCATTGAGACCGGAATGAAGGGCAGGCACGGCAGTCTTCGGATTCCATCACGAAAAGAAAAGACTGCCTGTGTTGGAATACTAACCTGCTGAGTAACCCGTGCAATCGGGATACCATCACGGTTCATGCACGACTCCCACGTGACACCCTACCCCGCGATCAGGGCACGCAGCCCCGGCTGCATGCCCCCATTACCGGGTGCACATTCCGTTTCTTGTGAATAGCTTCCTCTTCCCTAGTTAGTTACAATTGAAGTCATCACCGGTTACCCTACCTGTCGTGACTGTGACTCAGCCTACAGCTTGTGCGCATGCGTATCTGTAGGCACATAGGTGCCTACCATCACCGTCCATACTGGAGAAGTCTGACTTGAGCCGCTCATATTCGTGCACAGATAAGGCACTAGATTTGACGAAGAACGCCGAGATAGTATTCACTTAAAAGCTCCTCGCTGCTCTGTGAGTGCACCGTGATCCAAAGCAACATCGAGAGGCAACACCATGTCAAACTTCGTTCAAGTAGCCGACCACTCCAGGTCCCAACCGTCTTCATTCCTGCCAAGAAACGCTGTACCTCCAGGATTCCACGGAGCACAAGCCAACATAGCCGGCCGTCAATCCTTATTTGGTCAGCCAAAGGACCTGACGAGTAGCCAAACTCTTACATCTGGTAGTCTCTTCGGTGGCGTGCCGAAGAACGTTTTGATGGAGCCACCTCAAGGATTCCGTGGATCACAAGCCAACATGGCCGGCCAACAATCATTTTTTGGCCAGCCGAAGCACCTGACAGGGTGCCGATCGATTTTCGGGCGACCGAACGGCCTGGCGGGTGGTCATGCGTTTTTTGGCCAGCCAAAGGATTCAACGGGCCGCCATTCTCCCACATTTGGTGACCCGCCAAGGGGCGTCTCGATAAAGCCACCTGAAGGGATTCGTGGATCACAAGCCAACCGTTTCTTAGCTCTCACCTTAGAGTCATATGACCCAATTACTCAGGTAAGCATTGCGCTGGTTGCGCCTTCGGCAATTGCACTCGTTGACGGAACAAAGACTCAGGAAGGACCTCTGGGCAAAGGGGGTTTTTCTTGCAAGGTCACTCTTTCAGAGGCAACGCTTCAATATCGCGAGTTTATCAGATGCGACGCGCTTGAATACTTCGCGGACAAATGGGAAGCAATTCTCATTGCTTGGACCTCGCTTCTTGAGCAAACCGCAATTCCGGTGGAGGGTCCGCTTACAGCCTTATTCATGACTACTGCAGTTCGCGCTCTGGAGGACGTCATCGCCGGCAAACAGCCGATGACGCGGCCTTTTGCAAAGCGCGTCAGGCTGCCGTCTAGGCTCGGTTACGTACAGCTGTCAAGGTTTCTGGACTCGCTAGAGCAGAAAACTAGACTGGATAGGGAGAAAGGTCTGATTCACGCAGACCAGAGCCGGAGCGACGCAACTGTTGCTATCGATAGGTATCTCGATGCCCAGGGATACTCTAACGAAGACTTGTTACACAGGGTTATCCTGTTAGAACACAAGAGAGTAGGAGACCTTTGGAAGCAGCTCTCTGGACCATCGGATCTACTCCTAAGTTTTTTTTCAAACAATGCTGACTCGTGCGTGTACGCGTCTTTACTCCCACATATCGCATCTTCCGGGCTGACACCTATGTAGGAATAGCTGGAGTCGCTGGGGAGTAGATGCGCGACTCCTTGTTGACTTGATATGAGACCGGTCCCTGTGAGGGAATCACGTCGGGATCGGGATTAGTCATGCGGTCCCAACCGATTGTCGAATTGAAGTGTGGGTCGATTCTAGACAGGAGACTGGTCCCCTATAGGGCCCGCCAATGCCTTTTCGGAACGAGCTTAAGAGCTTGAGAAGCAAGGCGGCTGCCTTATAAAATGAAAGAATGAGTCTGACACAAGCACTTGTCTTGTAAAGCCTAACACCTACCGAACACATGCGTATTTATATATCAGGTAGGTGGCGATAAAGCTCTGGGTAAGTATCGCGTATTGGCCTTGGGGTCACAGGCGATTGTAGATGCTCTTTCAGGTGTCTGTTTGAAGGGAAAGGAGAAAAGGAAACAGTGAGCCTGGGTGCCGAGCAGTGAGCTATATAATAGGCGCTGGTGGCGTCTGCGAGCGACCAGTCTTTTGCTTTTTGGGGTTCATGATGCTGCGCACAGGCACTGGCTTACAGCTAGACCCCGCGTTTGATGGCATTGCAGTCTAACGCCGTTTGTGACCTCATTTCTTCATATGTTTAATCTTGAATCCTCCTCTGGTCGTAACAATGAAACGCTCTTCACGACTATCGATTACTCAAGATAGAACGATAGGGCCTCAGATTCCGTGCCAAATTTTCGCCTCTGCCACCTGTGGCCGAAGTATTACCCAGCACTCGCTCCAGCTGCCCCACAGTCAATAGGGTCAGTTACATCCGCAATAACTACCGGTAGTCTCCACGCTAAGCTTCTTACGGCTCCTGCTTTTGTGATTGATGACAATAGAACCTTCAATATTATCCTGCAATACACCCTCATAGTTTGGAATCCATGGCGATGGGGGAAAAGGGATTTACGTGTGTCTGCAGCTTGATTGGCGACGTACCCAGCCAAGTAAGCACTACCCGTGCCACGCCCCATATTTATTTATTTATTTATTTATTGTATTACGCCCGGAGGGTTCCCCCTATAGAGCCACTACGCTAAGCTATAAACCTTCTGTACATGGTCCCATCTCACCTAAAGCCCCACACTTCTTTTCATCTGTTTCCAGCCTCGTTCGCTGTGACATGACAGGCCTACTTGAAGGTCAGTTTCTCCAAGTGTTCAGCGTCCTACCTTCAGCGACTGAAGCGCGGTCTGCCAAGTTGAAGGCTGTTGTGTTAGTATGATTATCCCTTGATCAGTACATGGTCCCTCGTCGGTCCATACTGAAGCGTTTCGTTGCCAATGCGAACTGTATTGTCGCCCGTACAGCCCCCATATCGGGCTGCCACTTGTCATCGTCTGACTCTGCCTTGCCTCCTAGGAAGAAAGACAGGTTTCCCATCTTTCCGCGAGCATATCGAAGCATGATTTCTCGTTGTACCGTCCATCTTCTGCATCGAAAGAGGGAATGTTCCACCGTTTCCGCCGACTGTCCGCAGGTGCACTCATCCGATTCCTCTGCCCCGATTTTGCAAAGGTAGCCACTCAGTCGTGATTTGCCAGTTCGAAGTTGTACCAACACTTCAGATTCCTTTCTAGTTAGCTCGTCGTACATCTTGCGGGTGTGCTTGCCCGGCCATGCTTTATCGATGCGCTTTGAGTGCTTTCCAACCCTTTCTGGGATCTGACGAACGCGAGTGTGTTCGTTGAGCAGCAGTCGTAACGTCGTTGCTCTTGCCTGAAACGTTGCTGGTTCAGCGGTGCATTCATCTCGCGTCGCTCTTTTCGCCTGCATTTTGGCCAGTGGCCCAAGGGTGAACTCCTCATTCTTTGCAGGCACCCAACGAAGTCTGACTCTGCAGCCTCTTTTCGCAAGATACTCAACAGATCCGTATATCGCCCGTATCGTGCACTGACCAGACTGCTGCCGCGGTCGCCCGATGACTTGCAGGACAGAGCGGTTGCTTGTCACAACTGTGAGCTGTCGGTCATGAAGGCCTAGAGGTACACACCTCAGGGCCATGGCGATAGCCTCGAGTCCTGCTGTGTAGACATTCTGCTCATCACTGGAGCCAAGGGTGACGGAGTAGCTGGCCAGCACCTCGTCTGCGCTGTCGCGGGAAGCATCCCGAACGACGCCTCCCAACCCGACCTTGCCTTTCCTTTGCGAGCTGGACGTCGCGATAGTGATGTCCTCCGGGTCATCCGACTTCAGCACCTCCGCTCGGTCTGCCTCGTACGTTGCCTGCACTCGTTCGTCCCACGGCGCCAGTGCGAACTCATGGATGACTTCCAGGCGTTTGGTATCTAGTCTTCCCATCGCCGAGGCGAGCTTCTGCATTGGCGACGCATACCTCCTGTTCAGCTTGAGCCTCAACGATGTCAGAGGATGCGTCTTCGGGAGCGTCCGCATCCTTATCCAGAATTTCGCTGCCGCTTGAGCATGCCGTTCTCGGAACGATTGCACGCCGGCCTCGCCCTCGGCCACTGCCGTTGCCACTGTGCGAAAGCCTCCCGTGACAGCCTGGGCTCCGATTCGCTGGGCCCTGCCAATCCACGCCGCTTCTTTCACCCCGCACGCGTGCGACCACACGTTTGAGGCATAGTCCATGGCTGGCGCCACCGTCGCTACGAACAGTTGCCTCGCCATCCGTGGCGAGGCCATCTTCAGTCGTTTCAAGCACATGGCCGCGGCCAGCCCTTGGCGGCTGCTCTGGCGATGTGCTCTTTGAAGCGAAGCGCCTTGTCCATGATGACTCCCAACAGCTTCACGTTGCTCTTCGGCTTGACATCGTTTCCTTTGATGATGAGAGGCAGGTCGCTGTCGCGCTCCGCGATGCGTGTGAAGTGGATGACGGATGTCTTCTCTGCTTCAAATGTGGCGCCGCTGCGCTTCTCCCAATCAAGCGCCTCATCGATAATCGATTGAATACCATCTATGTTTGACTCTGCCGTTGGCCCCGTGACCCAGGCAGAGTAATCGTCCATGAAGGCGATGGAGCCGCCATTGTTACTGATCCGTCTTTGCACCAGGTCTGCGTTGAAGAAAAGAAAAGCCACTGGCGACAGAGGGGATCCTGGGTAGGCCGGCCTGCGGCAGGGTTTGTTGCTCGGATGTGTGCCCGTTGACAACCACCGACGCGGTCCGTCCCGAGCAGAATGCGTCTATCCACTTGACCAGACGACTCGGGATGCCTCGGGCTTTCATCCTTTCGAGCATTCGCTCTTTGCACACTCCGTTGTATGCGCCTTTGACGTCAAAGCTGATGAGACTGAGCACTCTGCCCGTTCTCCAGGCCTTGTAGATCCGCTCCTGCAGAAGCACAAGTGCTTGATCTGCGGACCTGCGCTTCCGTGCACCAAAGTGGTTCGCGGGCAAAAGCCCTTGAGCCTCTACTGCATAGCTGATACGTTCCGCAACGACTGCTTCCAGGATTTTGCCAAGCGTTGACAAGAGAGAAATCGGTCGCCACGCCTTGGCCAAGGTGTAATCCCCTTTGTCTGGTTTCCTCAGGGAATGATCTTAGCCGTTCGCCATTGATGAGGCACGACGCCCTCTCGGAGCGATGAGCTGAAGAGCGTCCACACCCGGTGCTTGACCACGTGCCAGAGCTTCTTCCACACGATCGCAGGAAGGCCATCCTCACCAGGCGCTTTCCAGGGCTTCGCCGCCATCACCTTCTCCTCAATCTCTTGCAAGGTGAGGTCTGGCATGGCTATTTCTTGTCTCTGCGGACGTTCACCCTCCGGCTCGATCCTCGTTGGCAGAGGCGGAAAGAAGGTGCTCAGGAGTTCCTCGGCTTGCTCGCCCTTGCTTTCAGTGATCGAGCCGTCGGCTCTCTTCAGCGGGGCACCTTGTCATCCGTCATCTCCGTACCAGGCTTCAGATACTTGGCAGCCCTCCAGATGTTGCTCCTTCGATGACGAAGTCATCCCAATGGGCCTTCTTTTGTCTCCGCAAATTGTCGTGGTACTCCTTCGCAGCCTCCTTGGCGCGCTGCTCCAGATCCGGCCGCGATTGACCGGCTCTTCGCTGCGCCCTTGCTTGATTGCGCCAATACGTGTACGTCCGACGGAGTCGCGTCAGGTCCTTTGTCCACCATCGCTTCGCGTATGGCGGCGGCTGGGCTCGAGGGTCAGATCTCGAAGCGCCTTGGTGACCACCCGCATGAGCTGATCCGCCTGCGTCTGCACCCCACAGTCCACGGAAGAGGCCGAAGCTCGTCCTCGACCCTGGTTGCGATGGCGATCCACGGCGCGTTCTTGAGCATCAGGCGCTGCGGAAAGGTACGCTCCGGCACTCGAATGTCGAATGTCGTCTGGATCGCTCTATGGTCTGATCCGTGCTCTGTTGGATGAATCACGCAGGATGTCAACTCGTCCGCCAGTTCCGCCGATGCCAACACCAAGTCGATGGTGCTCTCCTCGTCCGACCTCTGCCACGTTTTCGTCCCTCTCGCGAGAAGGCTGCTAAGACCAAAGTCGTCCATCAGGTCAATGATGGGTTCGCCCTCCCCTTGTCTGCTCGCTGACACTTCATCTCCGCCCCAGAGGAGGTCGTGGCGGTTGAAGTCCCCCGCCAAAACCACATCGGTGCGTCTCCTGTCCCATTGCGGAAGCGATCGATCACGTCGCGCAATAGTTCCATCGCGTTCGTCAGCGCCTCGTCGTTCTTTCCTTGCACATACACTGACACCACCATCACCTCCCTTCCCTCAAGTCGGAGTACCGCTGCTGTGAGATCGGCCGACGGCACAGGCACTTGCTCCGCCTCAAGGTCACTTCGGATCCAGAGCATGCTGCGGATCAGCCATAGGGCGTCACGAACACACGTCGGAATCATCTTTGTCCAGTTATGGTGTCCCATAGGACTCGTCACCACCTTTCCGTCGATATTGCGCGCATGTGGCTCAGATATAGCCAGTGCGGCAAAATCCTTCAGGTCTTCGTCGTTCATCAGACTCTGCTGCACCATATCACTCTTGTGTGCATTCAGCTGTAGGATGCGGAGGACTCAAGCATCGCTGCTCGGGTTCCTCATCCTGCACTTCCAGCTAAACGACTCATGCGGTCCGCCGCACGGGACGCATTTTGGCTCAATCGCTGTGCACTCTCGGTGGTGATGCCCAGCGTTTGCGCACTTGCCGCATGTCCGCTGCTTCTTGCATGAATATGCTTTGTGACCGATCTCCTGGCAATTGAAGCATTGGATCGGTCCCGTTCTTGGCTCGAACTTATAAGTGGTGGCCGACTCTCCCGCTAGGTCAAAGTAGTCACCGTCCAGAAGCCTTTCTGCATCGCTTTTCTTGGTGACATATACTACCATGGATCCGTAGGCTTTACCAGACTCTCGTTTGCTCAGCCAGGAAATCTTGCCAATGGTCACTCTGTTTTCGGCACTCAAGGCTTCGATCGCTCCGGGCAGGATATTGCCCTCCGTGTCGAGGATTGCTGTCCGGTTGGCGTTGTCGACCCGGACCGGATACAGCTGGTCTCTCATGATTCGCGCTCCCTCTACGGCTGTCTTCTGCGCCGCCTCTTTGACCAGCTGAAGCTCGGCTTCATCTCTGCAGACTATCTTGATTCGGTCGGCGTTCCGGGATTCTCTCACAACTGCTGCGCACCTCCAGGTCTCATGTCCGTTCTTCGCTCTCATCTCAACCTCGATGGCCTGTCGTATCTGCCCGATTTGCGCTTTGTTCCTGTTCGGCTCACTTACACGAGACGTGTCAATGGTACAATGGACAGAATCGTTGGCTGTCTGCTGTTTGGTTGGACCAGGTATGCTGCGTGTACTGGAGGGCGGGCTGTTTGGCAGGGCGCGCGCGACGTCCGCAAACATTGCTCGAGGGCCGCTTGACAAAGCCACCTCGCCCGATACATCCAGCTTTTGCATCAGCTGATCTAGTTGCTCTTGCCACGCCCCATAAAGGTGGTAGTAGTAGTAGTAGTATTGATTAGCGTCTGGGACATCCCTATAAGGGCAAAAGACGTGCTAGGCTAGGTATAGTACAAGATGGGGATGCTCGTCGGAGACCCGTCGCGCGTTCCTTACTTCTACTCCCCTATCTAGCAATTCTTGGACTCTGTGGCCGCTCGGATTCTCAGGTCCCTTCCCCCGTCAGCGGGTTCCGGGCACGGCGGCGAAGCCGTAATATTAGTCAGTCTTCGGTCAGAGCCGGGTGACTGAGAAAGCCCACGCAGTCAGCTGGGCCGTAGGCCCACAGGGAGCCTACGGGCAGAAAACATAGAAAGAGAGAGTTGTACATATTAGGTTGGAGGGTTGCCTCGAGCTAGTGGCGGTGGGAGATCCGGTCAAAAAAATCTGCCTCCCTTTCTAGCCCGAGGAACCGGTCAAATCCCTTCCTGGTGCCTGGTTGATAGCCTTGCCCGCCGTGGGGCTAGCCTTAGGCGGTGTCGAGTACCTACCTTCCGGCAGTAGAAGGGGTGTGTCGGTGATTTTCTCCTCCCGCAAGAGCATTCGATCCGGGCCTCTTCGTGGTTAAACCTCTCGTGGTAGTCGGCGAAGTCCCCGTGCCCGCTCCTCGCAGCGAGCAGGTGATGGAGGTGCTGTCGTTTGGTGTGCAGCTCCGGGGGGCACCCGAGCGAGGCCTTGAGCTCTAGGCTCTTGTAGCTGCTCGGGGCCCCCGCGGCCCACCAGTCCTGGAAGTCGCGCCTGGCCGCAGCCTTGGCCTGTCTCTTGATGTTCGCGTAGGTCGGCGGTCTGTCCGGACCCTCGGCCCGGCAGCCCTCCTTTGCTAGCTGGTCGGCCCGCTCGTTGCCGGCGATCCCCGTATGGCCGGGGCACCAACGCGTGCTGACATCTCCGTGTCGAGCCGCGGCCTCAGCGAACTTCTCCGCAGCCGCTTGCGACGAGATCGATGGGCTGCCTCGTATGGCTCTTATAGCCGCAGTGTTATCAAGGCAGACGACTATCGGCCACTGCTGGTCCGGGGTTCTGGGGGACCACGTGAGTGCCGCTCGAAGCCCCTCGAGGGCGCCTTCCACCTCTGCGTCGTAGACCTCAGCGAGTAGGACCCGACCGCTGCCGTAGGTCACTTCGCTAGGGCCTAGCCACACTGAGTACCCATACCCGCAGGCGCCGTCTTCGCTCTGCGAGCCGTCAGTGTAGACGATGAGGGTATCTTCAGGGCATACCCGAGCCACGAGTGGAAGTCTCGAGCCGCCTGCGTTTTGTCTACGCCCCCTGTCGGGTCGGGCTGAGGGGGTGCTGGGGGGAGAAGTCGGGGCCTCGGAGCATGGGCCGTCATTTGGTGAAGACGCAGGAGTCTCGAGGCGTGCTGCTTCTGGGCCGCGCGAGGGCCCGCATACCGTGCCTCTTCATTAGCTCCCGGCCAGGCGTTGGGAGGATGCTCATACGGGGTCAAGGGTGCCGCTCATCTAGGGAGCGTAGACGGACCGCGGCGCGTCTCTGGGCGTCTGCGAGGAGCAGCGTGGCAGGGGGGATGCCGGTCTCTCGGTGGAGGGCCACAATCGGCATGGTACACCAGACGGGCGCGATAGCGCGCATTGCGACGTTTAAGGTCAGCTGGATCCTATTCTTCAGGTAGGTGATCCGCGACGGAACTAAGCGGGCAGTCCCCCACACAGGCCGAAGCGCCCCCGGGTACCATACATGGGCGCCGTATAAAAGGATCGGGAGGACGCAGGCCGTGACCGCATGCCGTGTCGACCGGGAGGATTCCGCGCCGGGTGTTTGAGAGGTTCTGGAGGAACCCTGCGGCCGTCATCGCCTTCGCGGCCCACTTCTCCACATGCGTGCGGAATGAGAGCTTTCTGTCGTACCAGACGCCGAGCCAGCGCAGGTCCTGCTGTGGCTCCTTTCTACGGACCCGTGCCAGACCGACGGCAGGTCCCCTTTGTATCTCGGTCTCGTGAAGTGGATGACTTCTGTCTTGCCCGGGTCGAACACTACGCCATTATCGGCTCCCCACTGGATGAGCTCACCCGCGGCGCGCGTGGCCCGGGCGGCCGTCTCCTGTAGGGACCGGCCCCGGATCAGGGTGGCCACGTCATCTGCGTAGCCGAAGCGCGAGTTCGGTTCCCCTATCGAGTAGATGGGCACTGTATAGAGGAGGAAGAGAATCGGGGAGGCCGGGGAGCCCTGTGGCAGCCCGCACGTCAGGGGGGTTGTCGGCGTCGTTATATCCTCGAGCCGTATTCTGGCCGATCTCTGCTCCATAGCAACCTGCCCACCGGACCAGGTTTGTTGGCCAGCCCTGTTCCCGTAGGCGTAGGAGGAGCCGGTTCCGCAGAACCGTGTCAAAGGCGCCCTGTATATCCATCGTGATTAGAGTGGCGACTTTCCCCTCGGTGAGGGCCGTCTCCGCGTCGTGGAGCAATGCTAGCGCTAGGTCGAGCGCTGAACGTTTGGGCAGGGCACCCGCATGCTGGCTGTGGATGACTCGTTGTGTGATCGCAGCCCAGGCCAGGCGGCGGGCTATTAGGCGTTCGAGTCCCTTGCCGAGGCAAGCTAGGAGAGAAATCGGCCTCCAGCCTCTCGGAATAGACAGGTCCCTCTTGCCAGGCTTAGGGATCATTACGACCTCTGCTGCGCGGAAACAGGCGGGGTGGTAGCCCAGGTGTAGGCAGCCTTCATATAGTCCCCTCACCGCCTCGCCGATGTGGTTCCAGACGCGACGCAGCATTCGGACCGTGATGCCGTCGATCCCCGGGGAGGTGTTGCCCGTAGAGGTGCAGGCGCATGCCGCATCCGCGAGCGTGACGCTGCAGTCGAGAGTCCTCCTGGGGCCAGCACCTCTGGGGCCCAGGGGTCCGGGATGTCGTCCGCGGCCCCGCGCCTTTCTAGGATCTCGACTCGGAGCGCGTTTGCCTTTTCCGTCTGGGTCTCGAAGACCTGGTCGCCTACCTGTATAGGCGGGGCCCGGAACGGGCTCGGTTTCCTCGACCACCGCATGATCTTATAGATATCCTGGTTGCTCTCGGCGCCTTCTAGAACAGTCTGCCAGAAATGTCTCTTAGCCCGCCGTACCGCCCGGCGCAGCTCCCGCCGGGCAGTCTGGACCTCTCTGCCGTGCCCTGTGGGGTAGATCCGCCGCATAGCTCTTAGTTCGGCCGCTGCACCGGCGCACTGATCGTTCCACCATGGGGTGCCTCTCGCGTTCTTCCTGGGCCGTCGGCCCGCTGCGTCGGCCGCCTCTTGGAGTAGGCGAGACAGCGCCTCGGCCAGCCTCTCAGGCCTCTGGGCTCAACGGCCAGCCGGGGTAGTGCTGTGGCCCCAGCCCGCACAAGTTCCTCGAATCGCTTCATTTCTTCCTCGGAGCTTACCCTTGGTCTAGCTATCGTCCTTGGGGAATCCGCCGGGGAGCGTAATGCTGATCGTGTAATGGTCCGAGCCGGTATGAAGGTGCTCTTCGATAAGCGCGTCAGCAGAGGGGATATTGGCAAAGGCTAGATCAATGGTATTTCCGCGGGCGTGTGTGGCCTCGCCTGGCGTGGTGAGCAGTCCGAGCCCCTTGTCGGCCGCCCACTGGGCGATGTCCTTTCCGTTCCTCGCACTCCGGGCTCCAGGCTGCCAGGAGAAATGACAGGCGTTGAAGTCGCCCGCGATGAGGCATCTCTCGGGGACGTCCTGCTGGTGGAGGAGGTAGTCGAGTGGCTCGGGTGTCTTCGCGTGTCGATAGAAGTTGATAATAAGGGTGCTGTTTACCCGGAGCCACAGGATATCACGCGTAGGGGCGGGGCAGAGTTGCTCTGCCCGTATATCTGGGTGGTTCCGGACATACGAGATCACTCTCGGGGCCTGATCCGGTTCCCAGGCGCGTTCTGGGGCGAATGCGTGGAAGGAGCGGTGCGTCTGGGTCCTGCAGGCTCCGCCTTCTTTTCTATCCAAACGTTCGGTTCCTGGATGAGCACGACGTCGTAGTCTTCTGCTTCCGCTAGTCGTAGGGCTATGCTATGATAGGCCCCTATTTTGGCCACGTTGGCCTGGAGAACTCGGATCGTCCTCCTGTCGCGAGTTGTTAGTGTTAGGGGCCTATTGTTCATAGGGGTCCAGGGATACGTTTCGTCGGCGCCTCTTCATAGGAGACTCGGATCTGTCTTCCTGTGGTGGAGGGAGCGTTGTGGAGTCTGGCGCCTGCGCGCTGGTGGGGGGCAGCCGCTGGGGTCGACATTGCTGCTGCTGTTGCTGCTGCTGTTGCTGCTGCTGGTCCTGTTGCTTGCCTAGGCGGGCCTCGGCAGCTGCAGCAGGGCGACGGGTCGGTCCTTGGGAGGGTTGGGGAGGCGGTCGCCGTGGCCCGTTCGAGCTCCATATTGGCTTGCCGGTATAGCTGAGAGCCGATCTTCCTTACGGCGTACTTCTCGATCTTGGAGAGCCGCACGAGTTGGCCGTGAGAGCGCCTGGGTCTGGCAGGGCACTCCTTATGGTCCGCCGGGAAGGGTCCGGAACAGTTCGCGCACCTCTCCGGCTGCTTGCAGTCGTTATCGCGATGGTCTTTCCCGCCGCATCGTCGGCAGGCTTGTTTTCGGTCGCAGGCGTAGCGGGAGTGATAATCCCAACAGGTGTCGCACTGCGCGGGCCGGGCGGTCTTGGCGATCAGTCGGGCTAGTCGGCTGGTGCCGAAGAGCCGCCATCTCCTCTGTATCGCCGCCTGAAAGGACACAATCATTGTCACAGTGGGCTGGTCGGAGCTTTCGGGTATCTCTTAGCAATGTGCACATCAATTGGTTCGGCACCTGTCTGGAGCTTGATCTCTTCTTTGATAGCTTGGTCATAGTCCACGGCGGCCCCCCAGATATCCGTGAGCTGCCTGGGGCAGTCCGCCACAGCGTACGTGTGCCACTTCTGGAAGCCTTCAACCGCCACGGCCCCGAGGCGGGCCGCCCAGTCGTCCTGCCGTTCCCATAAAGGTGGTAGTAGTAGTAGTAGTATTGATTACCGTCTGGGACATCCCTATAAGGGCAAAAGACGTGCTAGGCTAGAGAAGACTAGATACATAGAATATCCCGAGTACCTGGACTAAGGACCGTGTGTAGCACCTAACCACTCCATCTAGCAATTCTGAGGCTCTGAGGCCGGTCGGAAATTCAGGGCCCTTCCCCGTCAGCGGGTTCCAGGCACGGCAGTGAAGCCGTAATAGTAGTCAGTCTTTGGCCGAGGCCGGGTGACTGAGAAAGCCCACGAAGTCATGGGCCGGCCGCAAGCCCCCTCGAGGAGGGCCTACGGGGCAGAAAGAAAAAGAAAAGGAAAAGGAAGCAGAGAGTGTAGCAATGTTAGTCGGGGGTTCGCCCCGATGGCGATTGTCTTCTCCCGCAGGAGCGTTCGATCCGGGACCACTTCGTGGTCATGACAGTTGGCGGAGTCCCCGTGCCTGCTCCTCGTAGCAAGCAGGTGGTAGAGGTCTTGTCGATTGGTGTGCGGCTCCGGGGGGCACCCGGGTGAGGCCTTGAGCTCTAGGCTCTTGTAGCTCCTCGGGGCCCCCGCGGCCCACCAGTCCAGAGGAAGTCGTGGCCGCTGGGCGGCAGATGGAGTCAGGGCCGCAAGGCGGCAGAAGGCGAGGCCAGCCAGTAAAGGCGGCAGAGGGTGCGAGGCAGCGCGAGGTGTGCCTGGAAGGGCGAGAAGAAGTCGGGCCGCGAGGCGGCAGAAGAAGTCGGGCCGCGAGGCGGCAGAAGAAGTCAGGGCCGCGAGGCGGCAGCAGAGGTCGGGGCCGCGAGGCGGCAGAAGTCGAGGCCAGCCAGTAAAGGCGGCAGAAGAAGGCGATGCCGCGAGGCGGCAGAAGAAGGCGATGCCGCGAGGCGGCAGAAGGCGAGGCAGCGCGAGGCATGCCGTTATTCGAGACCAGCTTCCCAGAGGAGACGAACTCTCCAAAGTCTGCCTTTTGGTGCTTGCTAGAGCCCCGTTAGGGCTAGAGAGGCAGAAGCATGGTCGGGTGACCTGAAAATAATTATCCACTAACAGGCTGCTAACAGCCCGCAGAAGAGAAGAATTTTTACAGGGGAGAGTTGTCCCATAAAGGTGGTGCGAGTTCTACGAGTGACAATAAAGTGGGGCGTAGCACGGGTAGTCGAACGTAAGTGTTCATTACTCAGCCATATGACATAATTTATTATTATTAAATTGTACGCTAGGGGGGGAGCCAATGCAATGCAATGCAATTTATTCCGCCCGGAGGGACCAACCCTAGAGGGCCGCGACACTCAGCTATTTACAGATCCTCCACTTTCGACTGCAACACCCAGAAGCCCCACATTTTGCTCCTATCCGTACATTTCAGCCTCCAATTTCGCCGTTGACAGGCCTGCTTGAAGGCCCATTTCTCCAAGTGTTCAGCATCCTATTCTCAGCAGCTGAAGCCCGGTCTGTCAATGAGAGGCTGTATGGTGCTAGTACTGTGCACTCTGGTTTGCCAGTACTGTCATCGTTGGTCCGTGTCTAGTCTCCCGGTTGCCATCGCGAATTTGATCGTAGCGCGTACTGCTGGTAGGTTTAGGGGTGATAGACGAAGGTGAAGATTTTGAAGATTTTGAATGAAGGATGAATCAAATGAATTGAATTTTTTGGATCTTGATTCAAAATCTTCAAGCTCCAATTTTCGCGATTCAAGTTGGGTTTGGGCCAATTCAGGCCATTCATGAATGGTTTGAAGGGATCCCCTAAACGAAGTGAATTTGGTGTGTACCTGAGCGATTGCAAAGATGCCTCAAAAACGCCAATAAGTAGTATATAGTTTTAAGTTATAGCCTTCTAAGAAGTCGATAATCCCGAATACTACAAAAATTAACTTACATGTCACGGGCTGTGCCCGGCTGGTGGACCCGGTTGTACCGGGTCCGGTGGGTCGTGCTCCGGTGGCAACACCGGCCCCGCTCCGCGGACCCAGAAGCTGCGAGAACATTCCGAGAAGGGTAATATAAGCTCGCACTCGAGGCTACGCCTCGAGTTCAGCTTCTTTCCTCCTTAGTTCTAGATAGATAACACCTAGGCACTTGCTTGTTGAATAAACTCCGGGCCAGCCTTTCACATATCTAGAGCTCCTTCTAAATACCGCAAGCTGCAGACTGCTCGTCAGGATGGACCAGCAGAGTGAGCCCAAGTCTCCAGCAGCAATGGATTGACCAACGCATTCAAGAAGCGGTCAATGCGACTCTCAGCCCTCTACAGGACCAACTTTCCTTGCTGATGGAGCAACTCGGGCGAGCGCAGCCGCAGAGCGCCGACTTGCAATCGCCGCCAGTGGCACGAGGATTGGGCGAGAGCACGCCTGGCTTGGGCACGCCCTCCCAAAACCTGCGGTACTGGAATGCGGAAACCGTTGCCCAACCCACCCAAGTATGACGGCTCACGGAAGAGCTACTCCGCCTGGGCCAGGCAGATGCGAGACAAGCTGGACCTTGATGCACACTACTACAGTGGAAATCGCGAACTTTGGTACCTCATCAACTCATGTTTGGACGAGCGACCACAGCAAGTGGTCGCTACCTTTACGCCGCGGAGGCCCTGGGGTAGCTACGACCCCAAGAGTTCATGCGATACCTCGACCGAACCTACCAGGACAGCAACATCAATCCCGCGCTGCTGCCACGCTGAGAACTATGCGGCAGCGCGAGACCAACCTCTCGCGTCCTTCCTTCCCCGATTCGAACAGGCATTAGCTGAAGCCGGGGAGCAGACTGGCCGGACAGTGCAAAGATCGTATTTCTAGAGAACGCAATAACTGCACGCCTCCAAGAGAGTTTGGTCACAGCCGTCCTACCGACGACTACCAGGGATGGCTTGCGAGAGTTCAGGAAATTGCGGGCAGATTGGAGAGACTGAAACCCGGTAGGCAGCCGACGTCGACTGAGCGGACGCCTCAACAGCTACCAAGGCAACGACCCAGGAGGAACCGGAGGACCCCGACGGAGATGTTAAGATGACGGACATCAACCGTATTGGCCACGAGTCGAAGGGTCGTCGACATGTCGATAAGAAGCCGAAGGATGAGCGCCGCTGCTATCGCTGTGGTCGGACGGATCATCTTATCGTGGACTGCCCAGCCCAGGTGGTCTTTCCTGGCGAAGGAAGCAACAGCGACCTAAAGCTGCGCGCATGAAGAAGCCCGATGCCGCAGATGATTCGGAATCAACCGCAGCATCCAGTGAGGACGAGTCGGCCGGAAAAGACTAGCCCGGGCGAAAGCGGGCGCCGGGGCCTGCAAAGGCAGACATCCGGGACTGGGAAGCGTTCAAGCCACGAATGAATAGTCGGACTGTATTAGTCAACGCGCGGGTAAACCGAGGCTATCGAATACGCGCCCTTGTCGACTGTGGATGTGACTGCTATGCCGTGATCGACGAAGCCCTTGTTCGGAAGCTGCGGATACCCTTCGTCGACTCGAAACCACGAGAAATTGGGGATTCTCAGAGTCAGCGAAGAGTGTCATATCCCCAGGGTCGTGGCTGTTGTGGTCGAGACAGCTGGATTTGACGAACGTGTCTTTGCATACGTGATCCCAAGCCTGGGCCAGGACATGTTCCTCGGCCGGCCTTGGATGGAGAGAAATCACGTCGTGTACGATGCTGCCAAGCAGCGAATGTACCATGGGAGGGCAGGTGTGACGATACGCCTCATTGGGCAGGAAGAGCCCGCCAAGATACGCGCGATTCGAAGCGCAAGACTCGTGTCGGCAGCCGTATTCACGGCGGAATGTCGACGCGCAAAGAGACGCAAGAAGTGCAACGCGATCTCGATTCATGCAATCAGTTTGTCGGATATAGAGGGCGCTTCAGCCGAAGCCGCCAGTCGATCCGAGCGAGAAGGTCCCGGCAGAAGTGCTGAAAGAATTCCGCGACCTATTCTCACCAGGAGAGGCAATGAAGCTGCCGCCACATCGACCGGGTGTGGATCATGAAGTCAACCTGCAGCCTGACAAGAACGGCAACGAGCCACCCCTTCCGTGGGGCCCACTCTACAACATGTCACGAGAAGAGCTGTTGGTCTTGCGAAAGACCCTGAAAGACCTGCTGGACAGAGGATTCATCCGAGCGAGTAGCTCAGCGGCTGCCGCGCCGGTGCTGTTCGTGCGGAAGCCGAATGGAGGGCTGCGATTTTGTTGCGACTACCGAGCGCTGAATGCAATCACCAAGCGCGACCGATACCCACTGCCCCTCATCGCGGAGACCCTGCAGAATCTGGCCAAGGCTAAGTGGTTCACCAAGTTGGACGTGGTGGCCGCTTTCCATAAGATCCGCATGGCTCCGGGACATGAGGAAAGACTGCATTTCGCACGAGGTTTGGGCTCTACGAGTGGCTCGTGTGCCCTTTCGGCCTGAGCGGCGCCCCGGCATCATTCCAACGATACATGAACAGTGTATTGCGCGAATGGCTGGACGACTTTGTCACAGCGTACCTGGATGATGTACTGATCTACTCGAGCGGTTCGAAGGCGGATCATGAGGCTAAGGTGCGACGAGTTCTCCAAGCACTCGCCGACGCTGGGCTGCACCTAGACCCAGCGAAGTGCGAGTTTTCGGTACAAGAGGTCAAATACCTTGGGTTCATCGTCAACGCAGGAAAGGAATCGCCTGCGACCCCGAAAAGCAGCGCGCCATCCGCGAATGGGAGGCCCGACCACGGTGAAGGGTGTCAGAAGCTTTCTGGGCTTCGCCAACTATTACCGGATCTTCATCCCCGACTATGCCAAGATCACGCAGTCTCTGGATGCCCTGCTTAAGAAAGGAACTGCCTTTCATTGGGGACGAGCGGAGAACGAGGCGTTTCAGGAGCTGAAGCGACGATTTTGCGAGTCACCGGTGCTCAAGCAGTGGGACCCGAGCCTCCCGACCTTTTTGGAGACGGATTGCTCAGGCTACGCATTGGGAGGCGTCCTGTCGCAGGAAGGCCCAGATGGACGTCGACACGCATGCGCCTTCTTCTCGAAGCGACTTTCGCCAGCGGAGTACAACTATCCCATTCACGACAAGGAGATGCTTGCCATCATGAGATGTCTCGACAACTGGAACGCCGAACTTAGGAGCTGCGGCCCATTTACAATCCTTACCGATCACCGCAACCTGGGTATTTCATGACACGCCAGAAGCTCACGGAACGGCAGAGCCGTTGGGCAGCCGAATTGTCCCAGTTCGACTTCAAGCTCGAGTATCGACCGGGAAGCGAGGCTGTCGTGCCTGATGCGTTGTCCGCCGTGAACAAGACAAGCCACAGGGCATTGACGACGAGCGGGAACAAGGAAGAATGATACAGTTGATACCGGATAGTGCCATTCCATCATCGACAAGAGCATGTATCAACGCGATGAGTTCTGACTGTTCAGAGGCATCCACCCTGCCGAAGATGAAGGTCTTCGAGGTAGCGGACCTGCAGCAACTCTGGGACGAAACGGTGGCGAAGGACTCGATATTCCGGGCAGCCTATAAGGCAGTCCGCGATCGCGAGCGTGCCTTCCCGCCCTCGCTGGGCCTGAAGATCCAGATTTCAGAATGTGCGATCGACGCAGGCAAAGGCTGACATTCAGAGACCGTATTTGGGTGCCGGGTGGATCCGGAGAGGAGGGTAACCAGGAGGAAGCTGAGAAAGACCAGTTGAGAACCCGCATTGTGCAGCAGTCGCATGACTCTGTTGCGACCGGTCATCCCGGCAGGGAAGGTACGCTGGCTATTGTGGCTCGGCGATTCTACTGGCCTGGGCAGTCCCAGCTGGTTCGCCGGTACGTAGCCAATTGCGACACCTGCGGCAGAGCACACATCTGGCGCCAGTCGAAAGGGATTTCTCAAGCCTCTGCCGATTCCAGATCGACCCCGAAGCCATTTGTCCATGGACTTCATCACAGATCTGCCGCCTACTGGACCGAGCAAGGCAAGGTACCTGTGGGTGATTGTGGACAGACTGACAAAGGCTGTGACCCTCGAGGTGATGGACAACATGGAAGCTGAGCAGTGTGCAAACCGTTTTCTCCAGTGTCATTACCGATTTCACGGAATGCCACGGTCCATCGTCAGCGACCGCGGAGCAACTGGCTAAGTAGGTTCTGGAAGAGGTTCTGCCGTCTTGCAGGTGTCACGCAGAAATTGAGCACGGCCTATCATCCTCAGACGGACGGAGGCCAGAGAGAATGAACCAGGAGATCGAGGCCTACCTGAGAGCCTACGTGTCGTACGTGCAGGACGACTGGGAGAACTGCTCCTGCCGCGCAGCTGGCACTCAACAATCGTGAATCCGCAGCGACCAAGATCAGCCCTTTTTCGCTGAGCATGGTTACCACGTCGATCCCATCAGCGTCGAGGAATCGGAAGAGCCACCGAGGCATAGAGAGGAAAGCAGAGCTGATAGCCTACTCAGTCGCCTGCAGGAGGTCAATGAGTACATGCAAGCAGTGATGGCCTCCTCACAGCAACAACAAGAAGAGGCTGCCAACGCAAAGCGACAGCCTGCGGAGCGATTTGAAGTTGGTGACAAGGTGTGGCTCTCGATGGCAAACTACAGATCGCCACGACCGTGCAAGAAGCTCGACTGGCTGCATCACAAGTACACAGTCACGAAGGTAATTAGTTCGCACGTTGTTGAGCTCGATGTTCGTGGCTCAATTTACCCGCGATTTCATGTTGACCTTTGCGGCGGGCGCATCAAGATCCGGCTCCTGGCCAAAGGTAGATGACGCACAGCCACCACCGGTACAAGATGAGTCCGGCACGAATCTGTGGGATGTCGACGAGATTCTCTGCGCGAGATGGAAGAAGCGGGGACGAGGGGAATTCAGGCAAGCACTAGTGCGATGGACGGGCTACGCAGAGCCGACTTGGGAGCCAGTTGAGTGGTTGCAAGGAACAATTGCGATGAAGGCATTCGAGGACAAGTACGGGCCAATCAAGACCAATGATGGCCCTAGGGAGAGGTACGAGACGCTGGCAGGAACGCAAGAACCCGCAGACGCCGACCTGGTCGGAGGACAAGGGGTAATGTCACGGGCTGTGCCCGGCTGGTGAACCCGGTTGTACCGGGTCCGGTGGGTCGTGCTCCGGTGGCAACACCGGCCGGCTCCGCGGACCCAGAAGCTGCGAGAACATTCCGAGAAGGGTAATATAAGCTCGCACTCGAGGCTACGCCTCGAGTTCAGCTTCTTTTCCTCCTTAGCTCTAGATAGACAACACCTAGGCACCTGCTTGTTGAATAAACTCCGGGCCAGCCTTTCACATTACATAAATACTGATCCGCCTGTCCTAGGCAAATCGACTGAAAATAAGCACTTTCAAAGCTCTGCCGAATCCTCAAAATACGTCGGTACAACGCGTTCGAATCCGCCACTGTACACGGCTACACTCTTAGAGCCCCAATCCTCCGAAGCCTCCATTGTATCTAGACAGGGGGTTGATATCGCAGACTTATCGGCTTGGATGCAGGAGGTTTGGGGGTAGGGTTCAGTGGGAGCCTCGGTGGGAGGAAGAGGTTGAGGAGGATTCTCGCCTGAACACAGATTAGCATATACCTACATATATAATGAGGGTATATCCATACATACCATCTTCCAGCTTGCCCGGAATGTGGTCTGGTCTCCAAATAATACTATTGGCAAAGGGCAGGATGTCATACTCCATGGCCGCCTTGATCAACGCCTGATCGATCTTATCTTCCTGAGTATAAGCACTCCGTAAAAGTGTTAGTACTCGCACCGTATCTGCCTTCAAGGCGTGACGGCGGATACCGAATTCGTCTCTACAACCGCTGAAGAGGCGTTCCACGTCAACTTCAGAGCCAGAGACAGAGAGAAGATCACGCGCCGCCGCAGCCAAAAGTGGCCACTCGACCTTGTGTTCTTTCCACCACTTCAGTAGGAAGTCTGGAGACTTTGCAATAGACTCGTCGAACTCTATTCGAGGAGCTGCAAGCCACCGTTCAAGCTCCGAAATAGGGATCGCCGCGCCCGTCTCCGCCTCCTCGCCTTCTTCATTTGGATGGCTCTCCATTGCGCAATGGAGACTCCTTGAGGACGCTCAGCTGGTCTGGATTGGCTCATAGTTGAGTTTGTGGCATTCAATGCTGCTAGCTCCGGCCACTCCGTTTTGAAATACTTCTTGACTTTAGCCATAATCTCAGAGTATTGATCCGGTATCATCATTTCCAATTGGTGAGTTTTATAACGCGGATCCAGGATGTGAGCTGCGAATAGCATCATTTGATCGTCAAGCTTCTTCATATAAGTAACGTGTTTTGCTTTGCCCTTCGAGAAGGCGTCTCGAATGGACATATCAAGGTCTGTAAAGTCGCCAACTCCTTCGACTACATCATCAAGGAGAGCTTCCAAATCCCAATAGATATCGAGACTTTGTGAGATCGGCGGCATAACTTCGGAGACTTTCAGAGTGTGGTCTTTAAACGGCTTCAGAACCTTCCGCAGTTGATGAGAGCGACAATCTCTTCTGATAAGGGCAGGAGGCACTTGACTTGCGGGTGAGTATCAACGAACTCAGTATACTCTGCCTCAAGCTCGAGGAATTGGTCAATCATGTCGTAGGCCGAATTCCAGCGAGTGTCGACATCGTAGGTTGGCTTCCGGTAGTGCGTGCGCGGCATGCTTTTGAAGTCTTGCTCCCTAGACCCGGATCTCAACATCCAGAGATTGAGGAGGCGGATTTTGGCAATCCCACTTCGACTAGAGTCTCCCGGAATGGTGTAGTTGTTGCTTTTATTCTCTTCGTCCCACTTGTCAAGCATCTTCTTGGCTTCCTTCGCTGTGCCTGCTTTGAGATCTTGCAAGACGCCCTCACAAATGAGCGAGGTAATATGAGCTAGACAGCGGATCCAACTCTTCCTGCCGTGAAAGCGCATGCGGGCCTCCCTATTGGGCTCACCTTGTCGTCGAATTTGGTCTTGAGAGAATCGTACAAAGACTGACAGAGCGTGCCGTTATTGCCGGCGTTGTCTCCCGTAATGGCGAGAAGCTTAGGCTTGAGCCTGAGCTCCTCAAGCGTCCTCTCAACTATCTCAGCTAATTGTTTGCCAGTGTGAGATCTTTTGAGCTCAATAAACTCAATAACTTCCTCTCTCTCCTCAAACTCCGGTGTAATCCAGTGCGCAATAATGGCGAAAATGGGCACCCGATTCGGTGCTGTCCAGATATCAAGGGTGAACGAGATGGTGGCACAATTGTACTCAAGCTCAATCTTCAGCTTCTCCCTGCGTTCGACAAAGTCTGTATATATAAAATATGCTGACACCCTCACCGGAGGTGGGGAGGGTGTAATACAGTCCGAAGGATGTATCTCTATGACATGATGCTCGTACCTCTGGGTCTGGCTATGCGCTGGCGCACCATGAAGCGGTTTGTGCATGACAATGACGAGCTTTGGCGCTCCGTGCACTATAGCGACGTCATCAAGAAAAGCGAGGTTGGAACAGTGGTTGGCGAAGTTGTTGTTGTTTGCGCCGATGCTCGTCGCGAACTTTCATCAGAACACCTGCTAATCTGTTAGGGCTTATAGAGCCTCAAGCAAGAATAACATGATGGAGCTCTACTTGCCATCAGGTAGCTTCTCATAGTGGAGAGATGCCCGTTCAAAAGGCGTATCGATCATTAGGCCCTCCAATGTCTTGACCCTGGAGACTGCAACGTAGCTAAGCCCAGTCTGGAAGTCACGTTCAGACAGATCGGTCACCATTTTGTCAACTGTGATGCTCTGTGACTTATGAACCGTGATGGCATATGATGCCATGAGTGGGAACTGCGTTCGGGTACTGGCGGACGCCCCAAGAAAGAAGTCTCGCTTCACTGGGAGTATGGGCACTACCTCGCGCCCATCATCCGTGGTTAGATACGATGGCCCGGTATACTTATCCATCACCATCATAATGACACATGGCGGGTCACGGTGCGTATCAGCGCCAGGCGCCCAACCGATGTCATATACTGTCCCTGGGCCCCATTGACTAGGCCTGTTGGATGCCAGATGTTCTGGGTTAGCATGAGACGAGCACCAATACATACCGGAAACTGGCCAGCCAGGTTGCCAGCTTGTTCCGACGTTGCCTTGTCAGCACCGTTACCAATGTTCTTCGCCATGACTTGGATTGCTGGACGCTTGAGACGGACGAGATGCTCGTAGTTGTACTCGCTAACACGAGCTTTCTTGCTATAGATACGAAGAGCAGCATCAAACGAATCTACGTCTCGCTGGCCTAGCTTGGCCTGCACACGCTGGCTCAGAAGTTTCCATGACTCTATGGATAGCTCTAGGCCACGTAATTCGTCAAGTGCAAGACGAAAGCTAGCCTGGTCGTCGCCCTGTTGCCGCTGGACCTTTTGCAAGAAGACAGTGTGGTTAAACGCCCTATATGCGATCTGGCCAGAGACCTCGTGCAGGTCTTTGAGTGGTCCATCAAAGTAGAGGGGTTTGTTCGCAATCGGCGGGAGCTGGAAGAAGTCACCAACGAGGATGATGCTTATGCCGCCAAAGAATTCGGCTGCTCTAGCAGGAAAGACTTGGCGGAGGCGTTTGTCGATCCACGAAAGTTGACGCAGACCTAGCATGCTTTTCTCATCAATCACGAGATACCTAACGTCCCGTAGCTTCTTCTGAAGAGCATTAGCATCTGCTGGGGAGAGCTCTGTAAACGCCCTATCAACAGGTAGCCGGAGCAGAGAGTGTAGTGTTGTCCCCATTATCTGGTTGCTTGCAACCCCAGTGGGCGCAGCTCTCCAGATTGGACTGGGCCGGTTCCTGGCAAGCTTCTGAAGATGTGAAGATAGGACTTTGATCAGATAGGACTTGCCCGTCCCGCCACCACCGTCAACATGGAGTAGAATCTGCTCCTCGCTCTCGCATTGGAAGTGTCCGACTATTGTATCGTAAACTATCCGCTGCTCTGCGTTGAGCGTATCGCGGGCCTCTGAAGGCAGGTCTTCAACATCCATATAGAGAGGATTCTGCGCAATGCGCTGGCGCCAATAATCGCCCTGAACGATCCCTGGATCAGCGTAGCGACCGACGTGGGGTGTCCAATCGTATTGGATATCGATATCCCGTCTACCCAGGAGATCTACCATCTCTTGGCTTGGTGGGCAGTCGGGAAGCTGGCGGGCAAGCTCAAGCCAGTCCTCCTCCAGAAGGTCAGGCTCGTGAAATTCTTCCTCGAACTCATCCGGATCCGGTCGACGGTCTTCGGCATTAGGTGTGCCATAGTAATCATCAGGGTGCTGGTGGTTCGCAAAACAGAATTCGGCGGCAGATGCATACGAGTCATACTCTACACCGTTGATCTTGCGTAGTTCGACGGGATCGCAATGAGGGTGAGCAAGCATTAGCTTTACCCGACAAAAATCATCGTATTGGTGATGCTGCGGATTCGACTTGTACCGCGGAAAGTAGTATAGCACTCGAGGCTTAGCTTGACGACTCCAACGTGTCCACTTTCTCCCATCCCTCTTGCTTGTATTCCAGTTGGCTAGGAAGTCAAGGTAAGTGAGTTCTTCGTGAAGGGCAGGGCGAGAAAGATACTTCATATATCCCAACGACCTCAGCGTCGTCATCATGATCACCCTGGAGGCGAAGCGACCGGCCCTGTTGCTCGTAGGGACGGCAATCGACGGCTCTTACAACACGAGTACCTTCCTGGAGCTCGCAGTTGAGTAACACATGGCAGATCTCTTGGCCCGAGAGTCCCTCTCAGCAAGCAGCTTGTTCATTAGACGCGAGGCAAAAGAAAGAAGTGGATTCTGGTGGGAGACATAGGGCAAGATTTGCTGCCCCAGGCTTGCATAACTGTCGGTCCGCTTCTCCATCTTACTGCAATACTTGGCTGCGTAATTAATGACGGCTTGAAGGCTGGTGCAGGGGGAGATATCAATGTTGGCTAACCAGCCAAGACTGAGACACCGGTTGTAGTGGTTCATAAGGCTATCATTCCTGGCCGCCTCGAAGGAGAAATAGGAGTGTCCTTGGCGTCGAACAACGTCAGCCGTATCTCTCGCATCCCGGGGGAAGAAAAAGCGGCAAGAAATCTCGTCTGAACCCTTCTTCTTTCGTAGGCAGTATGTCTCACTGCAATGGTGGCGTTGGCAGCGATTCAGAATTTGTGAGAGCCATTGGAACGTCAAGGGATGCTGCACCGGATTCACAGCCAAGGGTTACCCTCTCCTTGCTGTTGGACTCGGGCTGGCTCAGGATTGAATGCTGTGACGTGGAAACTCCAGACGCGGGCGAACTCTTTGCGCACATGCTCCTTTCCAAGTCAACACTGGGGCACCATCCATCCAGTATAGGCCGTGGCAATGGCTACTTCCACGACCCTGCCACTCATACCTGTTCCAAAAATCAGTGACATTGAATTTCTGCTTGAGAACGATATCTCTGAATAAACCAAACCGCCTGTGGAAGTGCCAGGCTGCAATATGTGGGTTGTCACGGAGAAGTTTGCTAGACATCCCCATTCGTTGTTGCTCGGGCAACTCCTGCCAGTCTTGAAACTGGGGCAAATGCTGATAGAGGCTCCTCCAGTGTAAGTCTGCCGGGCTGAATGTAATAAAAGCACCTGGACAGCGAAGGTTGTAGGCGTAAGACTCGAGCTCTCGGCGCTTTCGGTACCAATACGGGCGCGTCCCGCGAAGCTGTGCTGTCTGGCGGTTGATAGAGTTGAGCAACTGCTGGGCTTCTGCAGATTCAGGGTTCTGGAAAGCCTCAAGTAGATCATCTCGCGTTAGTAGGCCCTGCCGTTGTTGGTGTTGCTTGACGAAGTAGCTGCTTTTCGCTCGTGCCTGTACTCGCATCAGCGTGTTGAAAACCACAAACCGGAAAGTGGGATGGCAGGCAAATCTGCCATCATGCCATCGAAGGGCATGCTGTATGTAGTCCGCATATTTGATAGGCCGTAACCTTGGCTCGATGAAATCAGCTTGACCGCGAGGAAATAGTGTCGGAAAGGCTAGGGACAGGAGTGCCTGTGACTGGTTGAATTCGTTTATCGGTGTTCTCCGAATATCTGGCATTTCAAGCTGATGTTGTGTCGCTGGCCGTGCAGGGGGTGGTGCGTCGTGCTCGTCGCCAAGAACGTGCGAGTGCAATGCTTCCATCTCTGTATCCTCTGGTAGTAGATCTGGCACTGCAGACTGATCAACCTCATCTGCCTCAATGTCGTCATTCTCGATGTCACCCAAATTACCTGCCAGAGGATCGGAGACTTCCACAATAGCAACCTGATCAAGTACATCGCCATCTTCGGGTAGCACTGACATCCGCTTCTGGCAGACAGTAATATCCCGGTAGCCCGGGTGGTTATGAGACAGGAAGTCCAGCCACTGCTGAAGACAACGACGGCGCACGCGGAACTGGCGTCTGAATTGGCGGTTAAGGTGGGCATGTTCACCCGCATTCGGAGGACGTAGCAAGATAACATCTAATTCAGGCGGTAAAAGGGGAAGTTGTCGATACACCTTGCCAACATCGCGGAGAAAGTGCACAATATGGCCACGATATTTGTATTGCTGCCCTCGAACCTGCATGACGTTCACGAACACATGAACTGGAGCAATTAGCATCTCTTCCACTTTCGTCAATTGGGGGAGGAACGCAGGGATTGAGCCAAAATCCAACTGATTTTCGGCTGAAAAAAACAAAGGCTCATCCTCCTTTTTGTTCTTGTCCTTGGTCACGCAACGCTTGCAAATGTCATCCTTCAAGCCCATGTCAAACCATGTCTCCTGACAGCGAGCGCAGTGTTCCATTCGGTCGTTTTCCAGCTCCGTCCAGAATTTCTCCAGGAGCTCCTTATCCCTATCAGACAACGGGCAATGGGACAGATCACCCATCCAGCCAGGGTCCGGAAGCTGGAAATCTCGACGTTCGATGGCCGACTGCTGGACAGGTGGGCGGAAATATCTTCCCCGGGCATGTCTCGGCCATATAGAAGGACTCGATACTGGAGATTCGATCGGCGCTCCAAGTCGTACGCCTTCTTGAGAAGCAGTCGAGGACCTGGTCGGGAAGGAATCGGCACCTGCGCGCCCGCTCCTCCTGTTGACGCGGCAATTGGTGTTCCCAATAGAATAGGTTCTTGTGAAATAATCGGTGTGCCCAGTTGCAAGTCTAATAATGGCAATCCTTGTCGACGTATTGGGGATAACCCAGCTTGTTCTGCAGTACGCTTAGAGGTGCCTGGGGCATGTCGATTCCTACAGCCGAGACAGTTAACCGTAAGCGGTCCACATGATATGGAACGACTTTTCTTCGAAATGAATTGATCTGCCGGCTTCGCCTGCTTGCAGTTCCTGCAAACTTTTGTTGAAGGGATAGAATCAGCCATTAGCATGCCGGATTGGAGGGAAGGTTTGGTGAAGAAGGATGAGTGTCAGGAGCACGGGGCTTATTCAGCCAGAAGTGTGCTGGAAGCTCTCGAGGAGCTGGCTAGCTAGTCGATGCTCAGGGCAGGCTGTGAGACCCTCATTTGGTGGCGTTATTGCATCGGCATCAGCCGAGCGCACCCCAACGGCTCAGCCCGGGGACAGAGTGGGGACACAGGACATATTCTGACCAGTCCCCGATGAGTGGGGACTCAAGGACGTATCTGACCAATGAGAGCGGAGCTTATGGTGTCAAGTTATCGTCGTAATAACAGTCCTTCGGACTGAATAAACTCCGGTGAAAGAGGCAGGTCAGACACAAGGACTTGAGTCAGGTATCGATACAGTAGAGGAACATTGCCCTAATCGGGATACACGGGAATTGGCCCTGATTCAGAGCCTCCACGGGTCCCATATAGGTATCTATTCGTATAAATACCCCCTCAATGTCGCACAGATAGATAGAAAAACATGCATCATCGTTTGGACTCAATTGTGCCTGCCCTTATCCTTCCGCCCGCGCTCTCAGCTTGCTGAGAGTTTGTTACTACTCGTGCCCACCCCCACTTTAAGTAGGTATGCGCGGGGAATGCGCGCATGGAAATTTGCGGTATCGGCACTCTTGCGCTACCGCGCCACACTGGGCCCATTTTTGATGGCTTGATAGTCAGAGGTGATGGCTTGTTAGAACCCCCCTTAACTTACAGCTAATGTTAGTAAAGGTACACGAGCGGGAATACGGGAGGGAATACGGGAGGGAATACGGGAGGGAATACGGGAGGGAATGCGGGAGGGAATGCGGGAGGGAATGCGGGAGGGAATGCGGGAGGGAATGCGGGAGGGAACGCGAGAGGGAACGCGAGAGGGAGGCCGGGGAGTAGGAAAGCGCAACTCTCGTTGGGACTCTGTATTAGAGAGTTGTAACAGATCAGCGCACTGACGGGCCTCGTTATCCTTACGGTACTGTAAGAAATCGACTAGATCTCCGCTCTAAATAGAAGAAAAAAAAGTAACCAATCCTTATGACAGCCGCTTAAGGCTATCTACTCGTTGCGATACCTAGGAGGAGGATCTCGCGAAGAGAGGATGCAAGTGATGAATTCATCAACGTACTTCACCACCTAGTTGGCCACACCACAACTGGCCACTACCCTGCCCAAATCCCTGCCGCTCCATATTCTCACCTGTTGGATAAACTACGCAATAATGTCGCTGTCACATTACTAAGGATTAAAGCGATGGTGTCGAACGTTCTAGATAACAGCGTCACCTAAGCAGCCTAGGTGGCAAGTGGCAACATCGCCACCTAAGGCAAAACAAAGCACTACCATGCCCCACCCATTGCATGTACACCCCCCTCACCGCAGGGGCAAATGGGGTTAATATACTTTAGCGCCAGAGGCTCTCTTCCTTCTTTCCGGTTCCATATACCCCCACTGGGATTGGGCAAGGGCAATTAAGAGCGCTACTATATAAGGCTCCTGCAATGGGTCGTCGGTAGCGAACTCCCTGCACTTGCGTCTCACTAGCGCTAAGCCTGGCTTGTGATTTCGGCGTCCAACATATTGGTTATATAAATAATCTTCCCACTCGTGAATCAGCCAATTGTCTTTGGTCGATATGAGCAGCGACGGGAGGAGGAAGGCGAGAGCCGGAGTCGAGTAAACACTCGCGATGGACGAGACATCTCAAACAGGGAAGCAAGACGTGACGATAGCCCCCGGGCACAAAGTATAGATCCGAGCTTTTTACGCATTAGCCAAAGGTGTATATGACGACGAGTTACGACCTATAGGCTGCTTACCGTGCCCATAACGGACTGTCGTATCGGCTTAGAATAGCTCGCATGGCATATTCCCCATCACGAACCCAGCGACGCTTCAGGGGCGTCGCAAACAGTCTCTGCATGCGCTCATTATCCTCGGGCAGTGTGGCTAACAATCAAGCTCGAACTTGATAAGTCTCAATCAAGTTTGACTTCCCATCAAGTCAAGTTCTCAAGTCTAGTTTAATAGCTGTCGTCAATCAATCAAGTTGCAAGAGTGTCAAGTTGTCAAGTACTTGATGTCAATAATTAAGAGGAGATGACTACCCTGGACCGGTGCGAAATTGGCCAATTACATTGCTTAGAATCGACGTACTTTGCCCATTGTGCGGCCGTTGTGCGGTTATGGAACGTAAAATAACTTAGCGCATTGCCCCCACTGGGATCTTCACCCAGGCGAAGTGGAACCCTACTCCTGCTCACCAAGCCGCTATCCACAACGCGTCGAATCGACGCGTTATGATGTCGCTACACGCGTTTTGGGGCCCAAGCCGGTCGTCAAGTACGCGAAGCTTATCTGTGACGTCTTCCTCGAGGCAATCTACCGATCTAAACGAGCCGATACCGTCGACCGAGCAAACGTCAGGCGTGGAGCAACCTCTCCATCGGTCTACCTGCCCTCCACATTCTCTGTTGTTCCCAATTGACTGGGGAGCGCTTCGGCGGCACGATGGCACGATTCTCAAGGGTATATAGTATCGCATACGGGACAAGAGGAACGTGGGCAGACGAGTGAAGGTCTCGTGGATCTATTCATATGGAGCAGAGCTGGAGCATAGTAATGACAAGTACTTCCTGTGCGCCGATTGCCATACCAAGAAGCGGTATACCAGTCAGTTATTCGCAGCAGAATCGACGACAGCCGCAATCCAGCATCTTTTAGAGTTCCACAAGATCAAACGGCCTTCGAATTCGACCACCGATGACGATGATTTCGACGCCACCAACGCCGCAGAAGTTTTCCAGCTCGTCATGCCATTTAATGAGGATAAGTATAAGCAGAAGCTCATTGACTAGGCCATCAAGCTACGCCTTAGCTACCGAGAAGTCACGGACAAGTCGACCACTGATTTACTCACATACGGCAAGCCTCCGCTCGCGCGCCTATTGCCAACGCATCACTCAACGCTCTCGCGGTGGGTGAAGGATTCGATAGCAGCACGCTTACCATTCATCATCGAATTTATGCAGTCCGCACTCAGCACCATCAACCTCTCGATCGACGGATGGCGGGCTCACAATCGCAGAGAGTACATCGCTGTTTACGGACACTTCGTCGATAGCCAAGGCCATCCTCGAACACTCCTCCTCGGCTTCCCACGACGTTATGGCGGTCACACTGGCGACGACCTCGCAGCACTGGTAAAGCCAGTAATTCTACAATACGGCATCGGCGAGAAGCTCGGCTCCTTCGTTATGGATAACGCTAATGACAACGACAAATGCCTCGAGGTGTTACAGCGTTCCTTTTCCTCGATCGATCTAGAAGCAGACCGTATTCGCTATATCGGCCATATTATTAATCTCGTCGTTAAGGCTCTCTTATTTGGCGAAGGCGTCAGCGCGTGGGAGAAGAACCTTATTGAGGCTTCGGAGGAGCAGCGTGTAGCTCTCTGGACCCTTAAAGGCGTCATTGGCAAGCTGCATAACCTCGTTGTCTACATTAATCGAAACGACGCACGCCGTGAGCAGTTGAGCGCTCGCATGCGCGTCACGAAGACAAGCGACGGCATGCTGTTCGTCGGCGTGCTCCTTAGTGACGGTGGCATTCGATGGAACGCGACGTTCTACATGATCGAGCGTGCTCTTAAGTGTCGGCCTGCCATCGATCTTTACTAGGCGTAGTAGAAGCCTCCAGATAAAAACGACAAGCACAAGAATGACTTCCTCACCGAGGCTGATTGGCACGAGCTTGAGCTCTTCTATAGGCTCCTGCAGCCCTTCGAGCGACTCACGAAGCGACTGCAATGCCGTGTAGATGGCGAGGGCAACGAGGGCGGCTAAGGCTCGGTGTGGCAAGTACTTTACGCCATGGACTTCTTGCTCACGAAGCTTGAGAGCGTCAAAGAAGAGATACACGCAATGGATGCTGATAATAAGGACGAACTTCCGCCCTATTACTCCGCAGGCGTGCTCGCTGCATGGTCGAAGATCAACACGTACTACGAGCTCACCGACCGATCACCGATCTACCGCATGGCCATCGCTCTCCACCTAGCCTACCAATTCGAATACTTCAGGGCGAAGTGGTAGAAGCGAGAGGATTGGATAAGGACAGCACAGAAGGAGCTAACTGCATATTACGATCGCTTCGCCGCAGTCACGGTGGCCACTGACCACGTCGACCAGGCCGAGACTTCTCCTTGTTCCTCGCCGACAATCGACGACGAATTCGATGCTTGGGGCCATACAACAGATCGACCACACCGTGGCAAGAGGAGGAAGGTGGAGACCGAGTGGGAGGTCTGGATAAAGCAGGTGCCGTCGAAGGACGACATGAACGTTAAGAATCCTCTTGCGTGGTGGGTGGACCGACGCCACGTTTGGCCCATTCTCAGCAAACTTGCCCTTAATATCTTCAGTACGCCGGCGATGAGCGCAGAGCCAGAGCGCGTATTCTCCGACGGCGGCGAGCTTATCACCGATAAGCGCAACGGCCTCGGCGATGACACAGTTAAAGCTGAGATAATATAGAAGAATTGGATTACTTCCAAGATTTTGCATCGGATTGCGACACCTCGAGGTCTATACAAATTACCGGATTAGGTATAATACATCAAGTACTTGACAAGTTGTCAATCAAGCTCCTTGACTGGTCAAGTCAAGCTTCAATCGAGTTGGACATACCTTCAATCAATCGAGTTCGATGGTCGAAATTGAACTCGATTGATTGTTAGCTACACTGCTTGGCGTCTACTGGATGGCAAGTGTCGGATACGGCGACCTGAAATACAAGTCCAGGAGGACTATTCTCCTTCCCGTCGCTGCAAGAGGAAGAGTCTTGAAGATCGATAGGTGCGAGCACCGGATATGCATCTGCTGTAGGTGACTCTGCAATCTCGCCTTGCGCCTGTTCATCGCGACGGTCTACGCCGTTGTATTGAGTTTCGGTGTCCCAAACCTCCGAGGTTGGCGAGGTAGGACGTAGAAGCCTATCGAGGGCAGGGAGATGACCAGTTTGTCCACAAGCAACCGACTCAGTATTAAATGGACTCGCATCTTGCTGAATCGTCGAGGCAGAATTAGTCGACATAGCGGGCAGAAGAGCCTTCGTTAGATCGTCCGTCGCTCGTTGGCTCTCGGAGAGCTGCAAGATCAAGGAGAGTGATAGAGAAGAAGAAGAATAGGACAGTTGATGTCTATGCTCCTCTGCTTTTCACACGAGTGTGGAACGGGCTTCCCTGGTCGAGCTTGTCTCTAACCCTTGATGCGAGCTCCGGCAAAATATCCGTAAGCCCTCCGCAGTGCAACTTTGGCCACCTCTTGGCATCTTTCAGCCGGGTAGACTCATGCACCTTCCTCCTCTTTCGGGCCTCTGGTCCGCTGTTGCTCGGCTGATGCCTGTGAGCCAACCCTTAAGGTAAACGTCTAACAGTCAGCCTAAGTCTTTAACCATCCCTTGCATTGGATGGTTCGTGTATCCCCGACCAGGACATATCCAGCTTCTGCATATACGCGCCGATCACATCCGCCATTTCTCCAAACCCACCAGCGGCTAGTTTCCAAATAGGCACCGGGACGAATCTCTAGCGTGACTGGGCGGACCGCCTCTTCCGAACCATGCATACTGGCCCGCAGCTACCCTGCAGTGGGAGTCAGGGGGTGAGCGTGACGCAGGATTCAGCCTGTTGATTTCTCTTCCCTCATCCTGGCATTGGAAGTATTGGGGAGTGGCGAAGCTTGCAGGGAAGCCTTGTGACAAGGAAAGGGCTGCCCACGTCGGCATCCACTTCGGAAGAAGGAGGTGGCTCTCTGTGAGACCTGCGTCCACGGCTACCGAGGTACGAAGGTTTCGCAATATTGGTTGGATATAACGGTTATGAAGTGTTGGCGAACAGCAGGGGGTCTGAAGCGAGCGGTTCCCCGGACGCGGTCCAGCTAATCAACCGACTCATCACGTTTACGCAGGGGCGAGTGTCCCATTTCTCGCCAACACAGGGCAAATGTGACCTGTAAAGTGCAAATCCGACTGTCCTTTGTCCAAGACCCTGAGAAGACTGCAAGAGCTACTCCAGGGCCAGCATGCGGCTGGGCATAAAAGGCGTGGAGCTGCTGTAACTAGCTTGTTCTTTTTCCAAATACTTCCCTTGCCAGAGATCTACGACAAGTTTTGTTCATTTCCACGTTCTTGCTTTTGCCAACCCTCACTCTTCCACGATATCCAGGATTGCGCCAATACTCTACTTACGAGACTATTCTTCTAATTTTTTAAAAAAAAAATCTTGCTTCCCCCTTTACTGGCCAAGGAGAGCCTATAGACAAGCCTGCGAGCTAAATGTCACCACCCGCAGTAAGTGACATAAACCCAGGGTAATACAGTAGACAGGAACGTTCTTTGCTAATAGGAAACTCCTTCTCTCTTTCTCTGCTCTAGCTGAAAAACAGATTAGCCCGAATTCGAGACAATTAGAGGAGATCACGCGCCCGACGGAGAGAGTATGTCCAGGAGCTCGAACAGCAACTTAGAGTGTACGAGCTTCAGGGCAGCGAGGCCTCTGCTAAGATTCAAATGGCCGCGAGAAGAGTAGCCAAGGAGAACAAGCAGCTCCGAGAATTTCTCAACAGGTACGGCTTTAGTGACAACCATATCGCCCATTTCTTGCAGTCGGGTACCTTCGTGCCACTTGATTCCGACCAAAGCCGTACTTTTCGCGCCGGCGACCCTGGGGTCGCCGTCCAGTCGCTGGAACAGCTTCTGATGCCGCGACGACCGGTCAGTCCATATCAAGGCTTCTTCGTCTCTTCGTCGAGACAATCATGCCAGGAGCCATTCACCACCAGCGGGTCGACCACAAGTTCGTCCGTCTGGGAGCCACCGCAACTCGCGACGTCCTCGTACGGCTATCAACATCGCATGGGCATGGCAGTCATGGGCTCGGCGGTTCATCCCCCATACCCACTGACAACCCTGTCGAGTCACGCGAGTACCATGTGGCAAGACCGAGTTTGTGACGGACCACCGTCTCCGTCGATATTCGACAGTTCCGGCCAGCCCATGGCCACGGCACAGGCTACGGTCATAGGCGATCATCCCGCAATGACCTTGCATTGTTCTCTACCGAAATATTCAGACTCGACGATACCACATTACGATTTCCCAGAGTGTACCCGGTCCCAGAGGGATGGTTCAACAATGAAATGATTGACGAGACAGATCGACATCTGGTACCGCTGTCGAGGATGGCTGAATGACTTGCCTACCTGCAGCTCCACCGCGTTCTTCAGGTACTTGAGCCAATCGTGGGACTTCAGAGGAGGAGAAAACAGATAGATCGCTATTATGGTCAGGGAAACTCTTCTACTGTTCTCGAGATCTACTCGATGCATGTTAGACCATAGCACTGTAAGCATGCTGCTGCCGTTCGAGCTTCGATGTCCTCATCGTTTTTACCAGTCTCATATCCCGGCATGTGATTCAGCTTTTCGAGACTGAGGCAGATAGGAGGTTCGACTTGATGCCAATTTGCAATCTCACACTCAAGGCCCCCGTACGTAATTGCCTTTTGCTGGTGGTCAGGTCAAAAGCGGACCGATGTCGCAAAATGACTGATCTTTGTGAGGATAAACATGACCTTAGACCGTGAGCTGCGAAGTTGGTCGATTCGGAAGCTGTAACAAAACTTGGGACGCCTAGGTTGTATTCCCATCCGCCCAGCCCACTTCTCCCAGTAGTCGCCATTGATGAGGGGTCGCTTGCCCCTTGCTCAGGAGACCGCAACGTCGAGATAGGATATCATGGAAACCGGGAACCGACGTAATGGAACCGAATCGCTTTCGCCGAGTCTATATGCGTTGTGGCTTCGCGAAGAGGAGGTACGACTGGCTCTGCACCTACTTTGCCACGATCTGTTTCCCTACTCCCATATGTTGGGGTCGATTCGCACACCACACTAAGAAACGGACTTGGTTGCTCAGCGTCGCCTAGGCCTCGGAAGCTCCGGACGCTCCATGTGATGTAATGCACACTTTTGAATGGGACCTCAAGTCGTGTTCACCAATGTATGCCTGTGAGCATCCCGCCACTAGACATACATAGTATCGACCGCAATCGGGCTTTTGTTGCTCCATGATAGATGGCGCTACTGCATATGGGAATTCCGACCTCTGCTGCTCTTGTGTCACTCCGGATGCAAAGGCTTCTTGCTGTTTGTTGTGAAATGCAGGGATTCTGCTCGGCTCACTGCCTTCACCCTGGCCCAGTGATCTTGTTGGACTGGACTGGACTGGATTTCGAGGTCGGATCCAGTCCAGTCCAATGCACAGCGCTGAGGACTCCAGAACCGCCAATGCAAATCCAATCCTTAAATGGATTAGCTCAAGGTAGTCGATATTCCGTATTTTATAGTCATCGCGAGATTACCACGGAGTCGATCCTTGTTCAATGCTGTGCGGTGTGTGATTGACATCAATAACGCTGGTTAACTACCGCAAGCCCTCCTGGGGCTGAGGAGTATTATCATGGAGGTAATCATCTTGATCCACGATCCGAAGGTCCTCGTCGTCCATTTTAGCTTCAGATCCATCCCCAGCTTTGTAAGCCTCCTGCAGATCAGACTCCCCTTCTAGTCTCCCGATGTTGATATCCTCAAAAGTATTTCGTGCAGGTGGGCCGTACCAGGACCGGAGGCACTCGCTAGCTTCAATGATGTCGATCTTAAGCCTCGACCTCCGGTCAGAAAGCAGGATCTTAGCGCTGCTGAATAACCGCTCGCATTCATCCGACATTGGTGGAACAGATAGAACATCTAGTGCCATGCGTGCTAGATCAGGTTGTGTATGATAGCGATCGTTCCAATACTTGATAACGTCAAAGCTTTCCTCCTCACCAAGCCGGATAACATCTGTCTCCAGGAACTGATCGAGAAGGTCGATGGCGGGCAGGTCTGTTGATCCGACCTCGTGACGAAGCTTCAGTCTTTTATGGCTCTTAACAGCCGCAAAGGCTTCTCCTTCCTAACTGAAACAGACGACGTTGGACCGGGCGAAGCGGAGACCGAAGCCTGCTTTGTGGAATGCCTGCCCCGATACTCCTCTAGCCAGAGTTCTCTAACAAGCCTCGTAACGCCCGGGATCCATAACCGTTTTCTTCGTCTGTCCAAGCCTCGACGTACCACTGACTTTTGAGAGTCGGATTCAGCGAAATGGCGGTATAATATGCCGGTGTCTCGTCCACTTTATTGAAATACTGCTCGGCCTTACGCCAGGAAGCTTCTGCCGAAGCGGCAAGAAACGCAAAGTTGTCGGCTTCAGCAGCGGCAGCTCCACGACTGGTCTTCCTTCGAACAGCCGCCCTGTGAAGTTCCTCGAATTTAATCTTGGCCTGCTGGATCTCATTTAGCAACCAGTCGAGCGTCTGAAAGTGATCTGCTAGCGTTGAATGCCTGCCTTCCGTCGACAGGGTTCCGTCGTAGAACGTCTCCAGCTGATCATGAAGGTGTGCAAGCTCGTTCCACTGCTGCTCAGACAGGCGGTCTTCAGCGAGACTTTTCTGGCTCTGGCCAGCCTCATACTGGTCACAGAATATCTGAATTCTCTCCTTGACATTGAGAGCTCTGCCGATTGACATGAAGTATGAGTTCCAGCGCGTTTGCTGGCTCTGGATAAGCTGGGCTAAATTAGTCCTGATCGATCTGCTGGTTCCCAGAGGGTACAAAGGCAACTCACCTCTAAGCCATCGAACTCCGACAGTGCTCCCCCACAGGCAATTGATCTGAAAAACTGACGGCGCTGAGGACTGGCTCGAATATATCTGATGATATTATGAAGCCTGCCGATGGCGCCGCGCTTCCGCCAGAGCTCCCGGATTCGCGTCATGTCGCCTTCTTTGTATGCAGCGTCTAGATCTTTGCAGATCTTTTTGGCGTCCTTTCCGATCAGGAAAGCCTGCGCGCAGAGATTCACAATATGCCCAAAGCAGCGGAGGCGCCTGCGTCTTCGCTGCTTGTCCGACATACTGGGGTAAACGGCGCGCAGCACCGAGTCAACGCACACATCGTTGGCCGTCGCGTTATCGGCCATGAAATAGCCGACCCGGTCCGTAATCTTATAATCTTTGATGACCTGTAGCAGGACATCGGCCATGTTCTCTCCCGAGTGTTCCCCTTCCATTTCGCGCAGCGCTAAGACAGCAGTTCGACGCAACCCAGATTTGTCTATGAAGTGTGCTAATTACTACCCCAAGCACTGCGAGGTAGTTTGGCGACGTCCATAGATCGAATGACAACGAAATGGAACTCCGACTGTCGAGCATGTCCTGCCGCAATTTCTCCTTCCTCACCTCGAACGAATTCATCACCCACTGTCGAATAGTTGACGCTGCCCTTGGGAGAAAGTTCGTCAAGGGCGGGAACAGGTAAAAGAGGAGATCGCGAAAGTAGTCATTCTCAACCTGGAAGAAGGCGATATGGCAACCGACCAGCCACCGGACGAGCAGTTCCTTGAACCTATCTAAGCGGCGGGAGAAGATGATCGACTTCACGTCTTGGTAGTCGGATATCGAGGGCTGGCTCGAGTCAACCGAGTCTCCTCGAAAGCTCTTGTGTTCCCCAGTAGATTTGTCGATATCATGTTTCGAGTGGAGGTGGTCAAGCGCTGTAGAATTGCCACTTGAGATAGCTGGGAGGTCTTGTTGACGACGCTGCTTCTCGCAGAGATAGCAGTACCAGACACGTTTATCATCTATTTTTGACTTCAGGTCCTCACCGTATAACCATATGACGGATGTACGCTTCTTTGTTGATTTAGGGCCTCTTGCCAGCACGGCACAGCGAGTATATTCCTCTCCTGAAGCCTGAACTCATCTGGCTGGATCAGGGCCTCCGGATCGCGACGACTGTTGATCGATTCCGGGCGAGAACAACATTATCTGACCTAGAGGGCTTATTAGAAGCGCCAGTGAAGAATTGGGTGATTGTCGATGCGGCCATTTGGAACGTTGATCAAGTTAAGGTTACGGTGGTTACCTTGTTGGCCAGATGGAAATATGGGATTCCTGCTGCTAGTTATACCGGCAGTCGGTCACATCTCCCGTCTGGCGAATTTCTACGTTGGTAGTTACCACTGCTCGTCATGAGCACGCTGTATTCCAATCAATAACGCGTTGTTGTGGTAGCCCTGAAACGAAAATTGGCGTTGAGGTTTTCTTCTTTCCTAATTAGGCATGGTCCATTGGAGCTCCAGGAGCCTCCAGACCTCTCGATCCAGTCCAGTCCAAATTTTTGAAACTGCAAATCCAGTCCAGCCAAATCCAGTCCATCCAAATCCACTCCAATGCTAGTCCAGTCCAACAAGATCACTGCCCTGGCCCGACAATTTGCAGTCGTATTCAAGGGCAGTGACGAGGAGTCCTTCCGCGTAGTCGGCCAAGTCAAAGGCTCGGTCGTCCTCAGTACGAGGGCTAGCTTCATCGGCCATTGATGAGCACTAGTGCAGGAGACGGCTGAGATGGTGTAGTTAAGAGATTCAAGACTGGCGAAGGGTTGACGTGGGTGACATGGACTAGGCAGCCTGAGTCGGAGACAGGCTTGGACTTTATAGTGCCTGGTCTTTCACTACAAGGTTGGAGTCTGAGGCAAACAGTATAGCCAACACGTATCTTAAGGGGGGAGATGGCCGACGTGGGAATGCTAATCATGTTTGGTGGGAGCCGGCAGGCACACCATGCGTGCCGCCCGTGCGGATGTCACTTGACTCCGAATGCTTACTGGCTGCAGCACCATGGAGGCTTTACACCGGATCAATGTGCAGCGGGCCAGCAATTGTTGTCAGAGACTTGTGTTCGTTTCGTGTCACTCTTGACTACTCGTCCGACCTTGCACCTGGGCGGGATTTGCTACATGCCACTATAAACTTTTGAACTAGTTTGAGCCCTTTCGACGACTGCGCGGTTTCTGGCAGTAGTTCCAGTTCCTCATGGCGCTGACCTAGCTCAAGTTGACGATGGTGCTGGCCATGTCATCAAACATCGTCAGATCCCCCACTCTCTCCTCCACTGCATCTTGCATACGTTCACCATAGTGGTTCAATATAATGTGTGGTTCAGTCCAAGCAACTCCAAAATCAACAAGCTTCCCATCTCTATAGTTATCTTCCTTGATGTCACGGAAATATCCCGATCGAATGTAAAGATGATAAATATCGTAG